GTGTTTCGCACCACTGAAGCTTGGAGGTGCCAGATCTACCTAAGTAGTGCAGATGAGTTGAAAATGATACACCGCAATATAGATTAGCCCTCAACGTATAGATCAAACCTTGATATAGCCCAATGAGCCTCGAAAAGCACAATGATCATGCAGAGCAAGGGATCAACCTCACTGCATAATAAAAAAGAGCATGGTCAATGTAAAGAAAGTGAAAAAAAGAAGACAGAAAGAGAGGGAAAAAACATATATTGACAGCCGTGCCGTATCCCAAGACCGACAAAGATAATGATAATAAAAAGCGATAGATAACAAACACCATGGATCTTTCTCCAAAAGATTCGGAAAACAGAATGAAAGACGCAATTGGACAACAAAAAGGGGAATCAAAATGTTTCGTGAGACGAGGTTGGCGTCAAGGTCGGCAGTCATCAAAGCGAGCGAGCCGCGAACCCACAAACATCCATATGACAGTTCGACAAGGCCGCTTTATTTTTGTTTTCTGGTTCTGCCGGGTCTGTTGCTTCGGTGCGATCTGAGATGGCGTATATTGGGGGTAAAAAGATTAGGGCCATTCAAACATATCCAACAATCCCGACACCCTCGGAACATCCAATGTAAACTCTTCCCGATCTGCTGCGCAAGGGGATTCCGGGAGATTCGATGGCGCAGCGATTCGGGTTCGAGTATGGGGGGTTTCTTTTTTTTTTTACATGACAACGCACTTGGAGCAGCAGCCGGCGCTCTCACCCGGCTCACTAACATCCATCTTGCCCTCTGGTGCGCGGGCGCCGAAGGCACCGCTGCCGGATGGGTAGGAGGACATCTCCTTGTTGTAGCGGCGAATCTCGCGGACGAGGTCGTAGAAGGCGTTCTCAACGTTGATGCGGGACTTGGCGGAGGTTTCGATGAACTTGCAGCCGAATTGGCGGGCGAGCGCTTCGCCCTCTGTTTGAAATGGTTAGATGTGTACGGGGGTGTGGGTGGATTCCGTTGTGGATGGTATGGGGATGCAAGGTGTCACGTACCCTGCTCGGAGACCACACGATCCTTTTCCAAATCACACTTGTTGGCGACAACAATGATGGGGAAGTAATCCTTGTCCTTGACGCGCAGAATTTGCTGTTGGAAGGTCATGATTTCTTCGAAGGATTGGCGCGACGTTATGGAGTAGATGAGCAGGAAACCCTCGCCGGTTCGCATGTACTGTTCCCGCATTGCTGAGTATTCCTCCTGGCCTGCTGTATCCAGGACATCGAGCAAAGCGACCTCATCGTCGATCACACACTGCTTGCGGTAGGAATCTATCGGCGGAAGAGGGTTCCGAATCAGCATTTCTGTCCCCTGGCGTGGAGATGGTCGTAAGGCTCACCTTCGATTGTAGGATCATACTCGTCGACGAAATGGCTTTGGATGAGTTGAATAGTCAAGCAAGACTTTCCGACGCCACCGCCGCCGACCACGACGAGTTTGTATTCTCGTAGGAACTGCAGGAGGTTAGATCAGTTCCCCAGGGGTTTGAGAGAGGGTGCTCACTCACCTTGGAAGCCATAATGTAGGTTCGTCTCAGGTAGAGGACGCGAGAAAGGGAGAGTTCGAGAGCTGAGCCGAGCTTAACGGATGTTTAGGGGGTCGGAGATGCGGAAGGGCAGATTTGAGATAGCTGTTTTTCTGGAGCGGGACTCTCATCCAAGAAAAAAAAAATAAAAAAATAAGTCGCAAAAAAAGGGTTAAAAAAATAGAAAAAAGACCCAGGTCCGGGGTAACGAGTTTAAAAACCAAAAATTCTCGAAGAAAAAAGGCGAAAGGAAGGGGCGAAAGGGAAATTCAGGAGACAGTGGGGAGGAAAATGGTGATTGGGTGAAAAAAGGGGATTACTGTAGTTCTTGTTATGCGCAATTCGACTTTCTTTTACTCCGTACATTCCTCTAAACTTCTTTTTGCTCACGTACTCTGTACCTTGTACTATATGAAATTTGTATATTTCCATATCCTTCTGTTCCTTGCTCTGGGGTGTTCCCCTTTCTCCTTTTTTTTTTCCCTGGTGGGCTGTTCCGTGCTAATATATTGCAAGCTTTGGTACGCTACTAAAGGGTATCTCTACCAGGGAATTGATTGGCCCGAGCATGCCCCCCGTCAAGGACCGTGCAATATATATGTCCTATCGATATGTACGAGATACTGCACCGGATATTGCCCTCTCCTGAACAAACGGGAAATCAGGTTCACTACTTCGGTTAGAAGTACGAAATACTTCTTTCTCTCCATGATAGCTGCAGTATCAGGATCCCAGTGCCTCCAGTGTGGATCAGCCGTCCGGGTGGAGATAGGGCCCATCTAGGCGCCCTTAGGGCATCGGTCTATGCCTAGCGTATTGGGCTCGGAATCAGATAGCAACAGCTAATCTCCCTGTGCTTAGTAGTTTTCCGGTACTCCGTTCGCAGTAGTACGGAATAACGAACTAGAACTTTCATGTGTTTCCAAGTTGGAATGATTGGCGTGTTGGGCACCAAAATTGTCCGTCTGTAAGGTCGAGGTCGACACCGCATATTTTTTCATCTTGGCTTTCTGTTACGCCTGGATGGCTTGCAGTAGACTCCCGCCTTGCATCCCAATTGCATCATCCCGCAACATAATTAATTCCGTCGCTTTGGGTGCTTTTGGGTGATTGGATAGGTCCAAACATTGTTTGCTCTCGCTTTCCAGTTGTCGATCAACTGATTTTTTCTTCTTTTATTTTGTTTTTCACGATCGCCCTCCGATCAACCCGTTTTTTGTTTCTTTGTTTCTTTGTTTGACAGCGAAAACCTTGCATATCGGGGAATTAGACGTCAGTCCTTTACCCATGCTTGGTACGAAGTACTGGGTACTAACAGGGTTCTTGTCTGTGACGAAGTGGGCTGTTTCTAGGTTTCTGTGCAGACCCCTTCACGATTGGGATTGGAACATGTGCAGAATCACATTGGAGCGTGGATCACGTCAACCTAGGCAGGCAATGATCACCTTTTCACATTTTTGGTTTCCTAGTGCTGTAGGGCTCTCCACGGCTTGTCCTCCGTGCTCCGAACTCCGTACATCGTTGAATAAAAAACAAAACCGAAACCAAAACATCTTCTAAAGTTGCGATCTTTGTATTGTAGCTTCTAAAGTTCTGAACCCTGGTCTACGGTACCTCGGGCGCGATCCCCTATTTGCTTCGAGACGCGACTTTGTTGAGTCCTACTTAGTATGGGCCACTGGAACTCAATTCCTATGTTTTCGATTTCAATCCTCATGGTTTCAGAGTTAGATGTAGCTACCCCGTAGGGCCTACCTTAATTATTTTTGGAAGACGCTAGACTAAGGAGAAGGTCCCAAAGGGCTTGATAACCAAAGGCTGCATGTTTGCAATGTGGGCTGATCCCGATATGATCCGTCAGAACGAAGTGTGATTGATCATGGCCTCGGCTGTAACGCGAGCGTAGGCAAGTTGTACTCGTACGCCCCCCGGGGCGCGGTTTCGGTGCAGCGCTTAAGGAAGGTGACGCTGGAATGACGAACTAGTCGATGAGCCGCACGAGGGACTGAGCCAGGGAACCTTATCATCCCCCGGGAAGTAGATGGACATTCTCAAGGTACTTTACAGCTATCACGAGTACCACATCATAATGTGGTCAAAGTTGAACGGGCGTTTGAAATCAATCAATTTATCGCCGCGAACCAAGGCCAGATACGGAACACACATATAATCGGCGGCATATTGCAATCAAGAGAGTTGGAAATAAGGTTCGGTATACGATCAATTGGATGAATGAGATACGACTGGTCTCCTAGAATGTCCCGACGGCGACGACGTTTCAAACCCTGTCAAGCCACCTGGCAAACGAACCGACAAACACATTCACTCCGTGATGACACGACCTCGTGCCCGAGGCGCAATTGCTTATGGCAATCGCCGTGTAACAATCTTACGATGTACGGAGTACTGAGTACAAGTTCACTGCTATTGAAACGAAGTGCCATCCAATTTGCTGCCGATTTCAGTACTTACCTCTGACAATCACCGCAAACGAGAGACTGCCAGGTTTAATTCCTGCATATTCGAGATCAAAGATTCAAGAGAAAGTGGCATTTTCATCTTTCAGTGTCTGTCAGACTCGAAGCACCTAGTGAATTTCAATATCGAACCCAAGGCTCGAAAGTCTATGGTCTTAACTTAATTATTCTCGCCAAAGAAGAACCACCCGAGCCAAATGACTTCCAACGGGGCTTGTACCTGCGCTCAGACGCAATCGGATGGATGGCATATCACATTAAAGACCTGAGGGGGGTGGCTACCAACCTGAACATAGCTACAGTACTCCGTACACGTCGGGAATACTCAGCTCTCGTCTCCTCGTCGGACTTTATCGTATTGCCGATATCCATCACCCCTAGCATCCGACAGTCGACAGGTTGGCCAGGAGATATGACAAGGGCCTACAATATCCCGGCAGTTCTACCTGCTGCAAATTCTGGGTTCTGAAGATCCTCGCTCTGCTGGTCCAGCCTACGAATACCGGATACCACATTGTAAATTGCCAGAATTTGCCTATCTTGGAGCAGTCAATCCGAGATTGGGGAAACAGAATGTCACAACCTTGGAAGGGAAGACGTTTCAACAGGAACCCAGCCCTATCGGGTCTTCGAAGATATGCGGGTTGCCAGAATATCGGTTACGGAGTCCTTGACCAGATAGCTGTGTGGCCGGGATTTTTTGTATTAACGTAGGAGATGCAATGTATTCACAGCAAAAATGGGGCTCAATGGTGTCTTCTAAGATAATGGCCTCTGCTGCGCTCAGAATTATGTCTATACCTAAATCTACGCGGCAATGCAGAGAAGACTAGCAGCAGGGAGTTAGTTCCTGTAGTCTTAGAGGGAATTGGATTCATCATTTCAGCACTATCTGGGCATGTGGGTGCTTCTATGTCCTAAAGTTTTCGTCTTGTCCAAGTTTGAGAGCTGCTCATTCCAATTGCACACTAGAGCATTCCTCCTTGAGCAACAGCTGCTCTCTTCTTATCAAGGGCAAGGATTGCTTCGGTCATGACTTCTTTTGGCGGCTCCAGCTTGGTCCAAAGTCGAAATTGGTCAAACGCCTGTGCGAGCAACACCTCCACCCCCGTCACTCTATCCCAGTCTCGATGCTTTTGTGCCGCTGTCAAGAGTGGGGTCTGTCTTGGCTTGTATGACATGTCAATACAGAGACCCCGCGGCCCAAACAACGAGGCAAATTGACCTTCGGTTGTAGTGTCTGCGGGAACAGTGCCAATGATAACATCTGGTTTCTCGGGAATAGTGTCAAGTGTTTCGATCACTTCAATATCGAATACCTGACTGAAATCTTCCTTCACTTTCTCGGCTGTGGCCAGAGTTCGGTTGATGACGAAGATCTTTTTGATTCCAGCTTTGTGCATGGAGAACAGGGCAGCTCGTGATGCTCCGCCAGCTCCAATCACTAGGCCGACGCTGGGATGCTGCTGCTTCTCTCTGGAGTGCGAAAGGATGATGCTATACAGCCCAGACCAGTCGGTGTTGTCGCCGGTAATCGTGCGCCGAGTGCCATTTTCTTTCACAACCAGAGTGTTGATGGCGCCAATAAGCCTGACTGTTTCGGTTTGCTCATCGCAAAACTTATGGACTTGCAGCTTGTGGGGCATGGTGACGCTTGCTCCGCCGAAACGGTCATCTGCAATCAGAGAGGCTACCCCGTCAATACTGTCGGACTCGCGAATTGTATAATTGTAAGGTAGAGAGTGGTGTTCAAAACCAGCATTGTGAATTGTGGGCGAGACGCTGAATGAAATTCCCTTGCCGAAGATGTGGAAATTCTTTGCGGGATGTATCTTCGCGGAAGACATGGTACAGTTCAGAGAACGGGTCTTGATGTACAGGATTCCAGCTTTGGAAGGTATGATGTGTGAAATAATAGGAATGTATGGGCGAGAATTTCATGCCAGGACAACCTTGGGAAATTCTAGACTGGTATTTAATTAAAAGAAATCAATCTTATAGACTTACATTATGGTAAAACATATGTTGAATGATCGGTTATGAATTTAGACGAGTGCGTCTACAAGTGGATCGACGGCAAATATACACCCGGGAGTACCCCGTATAAGATGAAAAGTAAAGAGTGATACCGTCATGGGCCAGAGATTTTTGACTACACTCGAGCATTGAATTGTCTTCCAAGTTTTCTGAATTCCGCGTCAACGATTCCACAATGACAACACCACAATCTCAACCAATGACCCTCCATTTGGTTGGACTAGGCGTCACCCATTCCATCGCCTACAGCATGCACAACTACATCGCAAAATCTCTCGGTCTCCCCTGGACTTTCTATTCAACAGAATGCGCTTCACTCGAGGATCTGCTCAAGCTCGCCAAGGAACCAACCACTGCCGGCTTGGTTGTGACTATGCCTTACAAGAATTCCGTTATGAAACACCTTGACGAGCTAGATGAACTAGCAAATACGATTGGAGCGTGCAACAATGTATACTACAAAGGCAATGATGAGCGACGCATCTGTGGCACCAACACAGACTGGCGAGGAGTCAAAGGCTGTCTTCTGGAGAAAGGTGACGAAACCGAACGGCCATCGGCAGCTTCTCCGGCCGCAGCATTGATCGTGGGAGCTGGGGGCGCAAGCCGCGCAGCTGCCTATGCTCTTTCAACTCAACTACATTGCTCCACGATCTATATCTTGAACCGGGATGATCAAGAAGTGGCAGACCTCATCCGAGACACACAAAAATTGACCCCCGTTCCGACAATTATCCACGTGAAAACAATTGAGCAAGCGAAGGAACTGCCTAGCCCGTATTATGTGGTAGGTACAGTGCCCGATTTCGAGCCAATGACTGAGGCGGAAGTGAGAATGGCTTCTATTCTGGAGTCTTTCCTGCTGCGTCCCAAAAAGGGCGTTTTGCTGGACATGTGCTTCAAGCCACGAAGAACGAGAATGATAAAGCTGGGCGAAAGCTTGTCATGGCCATGTGTGGAAGGAACCCATATCATCGGATACCAGATCGAGGAGCAATGGCGGTTGTGGGCTGGAGAAGAGTATATCCAGAAGCTGAATCACCAGGGTGCGTGGGACGCCCTGATGAAAGCAGCAGAAGAAAGCAAAGCGATCAACCTCTAGATCGGTTTCTCCTTTCAACAAAACCCAATTACCATATGTGATTGTAAATAAATATTCGGGATGAGATAGTCATGATAGCCAGAACATCCATAAATCTTTCTCTCTTTGTCTGTCTCTATTCTTCTCCTCACTCTCACCTAGACCCGGTATTTTATACCCACAAACAGACAAGTCTATCTAAGTGTCTTCCTCTGCCGGAAGCTGTGACTTTGGCTCTCATCTCTTATGATGAATGCGTCGTCGTATCCTTCAACCTGAATTCCTCTCAGATACGACAGGAAAGAAACCGCTCCAAGTGAGACCCTTCCTACCAACCTTGGAATTCCATTCGTAGGTCTGTGCATGGCATAAGTGTCACCTTTTGGTATGAAGCCGATTTCCGGACGACAAACGCTATCGGCAATGAATACAACCGACGACGGAACCATGGAATCCCGCAAAAAGGACATACTTATATGCGATGAAGAATTGCATGCCAGCCTTCAAATCCACCGCCACCTTTATTTCTGATTATGCCCGACCTTCATTTTTTGCCCGAGGGCACCTGGCCCGAGAACGCCGTCCGGAATAATGGCCCTGACAGCCTTGTTCTGGAGCGTGCCAAACTCCGCGAACTGGCTGAAGGCTGGCCCTGCTACCGGTATGATCCACTCTTCTGTCAATTACAACCATAGGCTCATTCAAGACCCTAGGGATGCTTGTGAATGGGAGAACTTTGAGTCTATCTTTCACCCGGGCGCATATGTGTACACCACATGGTCGGGCCGAGTGTCTTACTTGGACTTCATGGCCGCCTCCAAGGCCGGCATGGACAAGGGAGCATTCATCATGCACCGATGCCACGGAGTAACGACCGATATAACTCCTGATGCTACTCGCGCTGTGACAAAAATGAAAGCTACAATCACGCAGCGTTTCGTAATCGACGGAATGGAAGTTGATGCAGAGGCCGACTGCCGCTTTTGCTTTTTCTTTGAGAAAGTCGATGGTCGTTGGGGCGCTCGTTTTGTGAGACATTGGTACGAGAAGGACAAGTTGCTGCCTGTCATCCCAAACCAATTCCCAAATATCGATGTCAAGAAACTCAATTCTTACCCCGAAGGATACAAGTGCTTGGCCTATTGCCAAGAGCTCACAATGGGAGTCACGGTTTTGAAGGATATGCCTGGCCATAGGCGACATGAGGGGACTGACTGTGGAGAGAAACATGATTTGTTGTACCGCCTTGCCAAGGAATGGTTAGATGGCGTGGATATTGAAGTGTAGAAAATTTGAACATGCAATCTTTCCTTCACCCAGAACATCAATTGCTCCTGTCCTTACTCGTACTTCAAATCTTATCTGAGTGCTGAATCGCGTTCATGGATACATGCATGTACTATAGTTGAAGCCTGTATTGTAGTTTCTCCCAAGCAGCGATACCCCTTCGCGCATGTAGATCAGGCACATTCTTCCCCTCGTCGGACATTGTTCTCGAGAACAATTCCATCGAGACCCATCCCTTGTATCCCAGTCCAGACACAACCGCTTTTGCAACCTCCTCAGAAGGAAGGTATGCCCCGCGATCTTCCTCATACATAAAGGTCCTTGCATTTCGCGACCAGTTCATTCGCGATGGTTGACCATCAACATGGAAGGGATGACCTTGAACGAGCGGCGACTCCATCCTTTCGGCATCCACAACCTGGAGATAGAACACTTTGGTCACGTCGACTTCAGTGACTAGTCTCTGGAGAGATTCCCTTAAATCAACGTCCGCATTGGCCGTCTTTCCAGTACTGGAGGCGGGATCGGCCCAAACCCTTCCTGCAATGTTGAAGGTGTCCAAGCATATACCGAAGTTCGGACGGTCAACCCGTTTGACCACCTCCCAAGCCTTCTCCCAGGTGTCATTGACCGTGCTCCAGCACAAATTTTCATACGCATAACGGACAACAGGGGTTTGAGCCGCACCCATATCCGCCACTTGTCTCAGGTCGGCAACTATGACATCAATGTCATCGGTGAGGTGGTCTGCAGGGAGAAAGTTGGCAGGGATTTGTATGGTCTTGGTGTTTAGTCGCTGGACGATCTGCAGCCAGAAATTCATTTTCTCGATCAAACTTGCATGCTGCTTTCGATCCTTTAGGCCCTCGTAAAATAGAAATGGCTGGAGGGCGATGATCTCGAGACCCCGAGTCTGACATTCGGAATGAATTTGATCAGCTGCCTGCAACAGATGATCGGGAGTGGGCTCATCGCTGCCAGAGATGCTGCGAGCGAGATAATTGAGGTCCTCGTAAAATATCTCTATTCCCTTGAAACCTGCTTTCGAAGCTTGCTCCATCTTGTAACCGAAGTCATGGATCCAAGCTCGCCCTAAGGAGGCACTCATGATAGCGGGTTGGAACGTCATTTTCGAGATTGAAATGTCGAGGTTCAGATAATCCAGCAACAGGGGGAATTTGTAATATGAGAGATTCGAAGAGCAACACTTGAAGCCATCGCCCCGGAGCAAGGTGTCCATGATGCGATGTGGGGCTGTCGGTTGTGGATTTAGCCGTGTCGGACCAAGTCCTGCCTTCTGACACGCACAAGTCTTGTCCTGGAATCTTGAATTCTTCATGTATATAGTGTTGATTGGAATTAAATATCAATCTGATAATGAAGAGTGGCCCAGTCAGTGGCGAACTGATGGTAAATCTACCACATGTGGAAATATTCGTGCTTGAGGGCTTCTTCTCGAACTGCCCGTCGCATGATATGGATGGGAGCTGGCCTGCGGGTGAACAGTTCATACTGCGCAATGCCCTGTTTAACCAAGACTTTTAATCCATCAACAAGGACCCATCCTTTATTTGACCAGGGGGTCAGCTGCTCCATCAATACGGTCTTGAACGGGCCATATCCAACCTTATTTCCAATTCAGCTTTTATCACAGACTTAGAAAGGATGTGAGACAACGTACCTCAACATAGACTCCACCGGTCCGGCTTTCGAGCCATTGATCGGAGATCTGGAGTTCGACGGGTGCGTGAGTGTCAGGATGCCTCCCAGGGATACATGATACCACAATTGTTGGGAAGCGAGAGTTCGGAGGCCATGGATCATTGATGGACTCAATGACATCCAAATGGAAACTTTTATCTTCCCTGGATCTTGCCCAATCCCGGAAGTACTGGATCAAGCTTTGTGCATTTGAAAGCGTTCTGTTGTAGATCAAAATACGCCGGACTCCTAATTGATAGCAAGCATATACAGCGGCACGGGCCATGCCGCCGGCTCCTATGATCAGAGCTGTACTACCCTCTCGGATAGCGTTAGCAGGGGAGAGGTGGGAGTAAATACAATCCTTGATGCCAATGTAGTCTGTGTTGTATCCGTGGTAGAATGGAGTTCTTACCCCATCCGACTCAATGCGGTGGTCCAGTATCACTGTATTTACAGCTTTGATATCCTGAGCATCCGGACTGATTCTATCGAGCAGTGGTAAAACATCTGTTTTGAAAGGCAGAGAAATGGCGATACCATCTAAATTACCTCCAAATGAAGGATATCGGAATATTTCTTCGATCTCACGAAAATCTTGGACCTCTTGGTGAATGTAGGTATGGGGAAGACCGACTGAGTTATAACCACTTTGGTGCATCGGTGGCGACAGACTGAACCGGACGTCCTGGCCAACGATCACAAATTTTTTCTTGGGATAAAGAGATAACGAGGTGAGTGCATGTTGCGCTTCTTGCATAGAAAGCTCGGCGGTGATGTGAGAGTGGACAGTCAAGGGGCACAGAGTGGGGTTCAAAATCTTTGAGGCTCGATCCCCAGGACCATTATTATATGCGATGACAGGGATGTTCAATATATCTCTCAGTTTCCGACGGAGAGCAACACATGAAAGTGTATCTGCTGCGACAGCACTTTGACCGACCAGATGAAATGCCTCAAAGCTCGAGTCATCAAACGAAGCGCGAATGGATGTTATCAACGCATCGGGGCTTCCAACACCCAACGGTTCTGTGTGATTGTGAAGGACAACCATTGTCGAATGACCTTTGATGGAATGGATCTCCTTCCTGATATCTGAACATGCTGTCGAGAGAGTGAAAGCGTCGGGAGCTACACGTGTCATATCCCCCAGGAATTTCCGATAGGCTGTGTGCGGTTTCCGTTCATCCATCCTGGCATCAATGATGATCGGAACGCGAGTGTGTTTTCGAAGAGTCGTCATATAGCGGGAAAGCCTATTCATGATTCCTTCATCGGAGTAGCTTTGGTGATCTAGCAAGACATTGATTGCATCCGCCCCGGCATCCAGAGCATCCAGATTGAAGTCATCTGCCTCAAGATCACAAAGTGAAAGTTGGAGGGCATAAGTGTGAGATTCAGAGAAAGCATCGGCAGAGAAAAGCTGCAACTCAGGCTTGCCGAATATGCGGCGCAAGAAGCCCACGAAGACACGCTCGATTTCCTTGAGTTTGAGAGACAGGTGGGCGTTGCTTTCCGCCCGAGGAGGCGCCTCCTGCGTAATATTGAAGAAGTCGAAGTTGGAGATGGACTCGAAAAACGCATTTCCTATTGCGAATATGCGCTCAAACTTCGCTGGATCACCTCCGATGAATTGTTGAATGTCTGATTTATCCCTTCGTACGTAAATGACGGGATGTTGTTGTGTGAAGGTCGCCAGTACCCCCGAGGAAGGGAAACTCGCCGTGACCCCGAGACCAGCAATGACACAACCAGTCTGGTGTTTTGTAAGAATCTCTTGACACAGTGCGACCTCGGCATCTCGATATTGTGCAAATCCATGGGCTGCAGCGAATGCCTGAGGACTTGACTGGAACTTGGTCTGGAAGGATTCTTCGAAATCGATGAAGCGCCGACGGAGGGCAGCGGAAGCAATGAAGCCCAAGGTCTTTTTTCCTGCTCCAATGAATCCGACCAGCAGAATAGTTGCATCGGCGTCGTATCGGCGACTGCCGGGACCTCCCTGTCGAGGGGAGGGCGCACTTGGAGTTTGTGGCGAAGTTACCGCAGACATTCTGTTGATAGTTTTGGCTTCCCGGAAGCCCTGAGTCGGCTGGAAGTGTTTCCTTCCCCCTTCCAAAACCAAGTCCCATCGCCGTTTATTCCAAAGTTCCCGAGTTGCCTTCCGGGTAAATCCAACCCGATCACGTGATACGACAAACGACGACATGGCTCGGACGATTCACAATAGGAGACAGGGTGGTTGATATTGAGCTTGAAGAATGTCAAGCTCTAGACCTTCCAAAAGGCAGAGGATCTACAGAGCATGTGATCAATGTCGTCGACGAAAATCAAAATGTGACGGCGAACAGCCTTCTTGCTCCATCTGCCGGGTGGCTGACCGTTCCTGCACCTATGAAAATGGAGGAGGAAGGCGAGGCCTGGCACCTGGATATGTCAGAAGCCTGGAGACGATTTTGGGGCTCGTGGTTCAGCACGTCCCAAACAGCGAAAACACCGTCCACGATCTGCTGGCGAAGTCACGAAACAATGATCACTTCTTTGCAAAAGACCCTGCAACCGTTTGGCGCAAGTCTCGACTCGCCAAAGCAATGCCGTTACTTCTCGATCATGAACCCCAGGAAAACCTCGCACCAAGTGCTCAGGACGACCCGGAGTGGGATACCTCGGAAATACCCATTACGCCAGCCGTCATCAGTGGTGATACCGTGCCCGCAGTTCCGGACTTGAATGAATTACCACAACCACAGACTACGCCAAAAGTCAATCCAACACCACCTGAGATTTTTGATCAGTCATTCCCAGCTGATACACTCGATATGTTGGAGAACTATTTCAAATATACTCACTGCTGGTTTCCTATCATGGAGCACCATGATCTATTAAGAACAATGCATACCAGTTCCCAACCACAGAAAAGCCCAGAAGATGGATGTCGTTTGGCTCTTTGGGCTGTCGTGGCATATGAAATATCCACGGATAACAGAAACGACAGAGTCCACCCGGTTCAATCGCAAGTCACAACTGCCATTTACTCTCGTGCAATGACTCAGTCGTCAAATTTGGAGCTAGGCCACATACAAGCCCTTCTAGTTGTTGCACTGTTGCAGCTGAAGCTAGGGGACATTGCACACGCGTGGAGGCTGTCGGGGTTGGCCTCAAGAATGCTGGCCTCGTTGCGCCCATCGGCCAAAAGAGACCGATTTTGCCACACATTCAATGGATGCATACTACTTGACAACATGACTTCAGCACTTCTCAAGAGGTCACCCTGCATGTCGTTGATAGAGCAACAAGAAGGAGGAAGCATCGACGAAGACAACATGGAAGAATGGAGCGTTTGGACAATTTCCTCACATCGCCCAGGGGGCCAGCATCGCGACCCGCCACAGGGACCTCTTCGAGCCTTGAGCATTTTCAATAAACTCAAAAACCTCATGGAATACCTCACGAAGATTCTTCACTCGTCGTTCAACGTGGCCCACGCAGATGTGTGCGACATATTCAGCAGCTTGCAAGTTGAGCAAAAACTGCTCATCGAGATGCATCCATACGACTCCAGTGCTGGATGTGTCACTCCACCCGTTATTATACTGCACCTCACCTGCAATTTTGTGATCATTGCACTTTTCGTCACAAGCCCAGAAGCGGTTGCCATGGTCGGAAATGATTCAACCGGTGGGCTGTTACAATCTACTATTGATCTATTTGACCTATATGTGAATACCACCGGGGCACTGCGCATGTCCCCATTGTTAAATTGCTTTGCACTGCAATTCAAGCAGTGCTTGGATATTGACTCTCTAATTCCTTGTCAACCACAGAGGGAATTGTTACAACATCGAGCATCTCCCTACCTACCGCACATGGATACAGAGCCGACAAGCATCAATCAGATATTGCGTATTCCACGAGCGATTGATCCAGATTTATCTACTGAAGTACCCATCGTACAAGAGTGGAATCCTAGTGCTGAAGGCCCGCCCAATGTGTTTGCTCAACCAAGTGTGTTGCAACCGCCTGATCCCCAACTTGAGCTTCCTACTCCTGCCAATTCAACAATTCCGGTATCGGGATCACCAGACCTATTTGTTCGCCACTCGCCTAGAGAGAATGCATTTGGGGAAACTGGGGCTTTTGATGCGCTGTTTGAGGAGATGGTAACTTCTATGCCATCCAACAGGTATGCTAGCTTTCTCTCGACGCGAGGATCTCTACTGACGTAACTGAGGCAACAACCAACCTTTGCTCAAAATCTGGGTTTCTATGCAGGAGATTTGGACAAAGACTTCTTGGAGCAGCTTCAACGGTCAACAGGTGATTGAGTGTGACATTGCCATTGGCAAGGCTACGCCAATAATCAAGTTTGAACAACAAAGCAGATCGAAACACAAGTGCCTGGGATATGAAACTGTGGGTACATCATGCCAGCGAAGTTACAATCGACAGCCAACCTACACCAGCAGCTGCCGCTTCGACCCCTGTGGTATCCTTTTGAGGGGGATAGGTCACACGCGCCAGTCTTGATAACTGCACCGCCAACAAATGTTCGCGGAAATATAAATCCAAGCCCCCAACCATGTGGATACTATGGTCAGCACCGTTTCCTCCCTTCTTCTCCCCCCAGCATAATCGAGGACCAGCAACTTCATCCTCTTTCTTTCCCGTTCGGCTTCCTTCCTTGGCCCAGACACGCTTGGTCTCATATAATGTCTCCCAGGCGAATCCAAAACTTCCGAACAGTCCTCCATCGCCTTTCTTGCCTTCTGCGGCAGCACTCTTCCAGACAAAGTTGCGACCGCCATATTCAAATCGACGTGGTGACCAATCTTTCCTTTGCATCTCTCCGTCAGGGATCTCAGTTATCGCTCCCATATCTGGGATTGTCCGTGTGATGAGCCGGAAGCTGCCTCCTTTCATCCTTTGGAGATTTACGCTCGTTGCTCCAATGCCGGGTAGGAACTCGCCTGCCCGCCGAAGCACAGTTTCGACAATTGGAGCCTCGTTGCTCCAAATGAATTGGAGAGCATAGAGAACATGTGTGTTGGTGACATCTTTCACAAAGAACCAGTAGGATCGCATGCCCAAGTCGACGAGCTCCGAAGAGTGCGTTATCCGATAAGTGATAGGAGGCAGCGAAAGAGACAAAGTCGGCGAGAAGAAAGGAATTTCGGCAGAGCTTGTGCCGAGAAATGGGTGGATATGAGCTGGGGCTGCACTGAGATCTGGTGGAGCATCCCTTGGGCCATCTCCTCGGAAATCATGGAGGGCCTTTCGAATCTAACAAGTGAGATGTGGGCGAGATGCAACATCGAAAATCAGATCTCAGGGAATGGAGTAAAGGCTTACCTGGGTCAAGTTCCAGGTCTTGCCGTTTTCAGCTTCCAATTCTTCCATTGCATCTAGGATTGTAGGGGGCAGGATGACATTTTCGAAGATGCCCTTGCGCTTCAGGCCCTCCAGATACGCTAAACGTTCCCGGTGAACTTGGACTTGTCGCTCAAACATCTTTCTGTTGACTTTGCGGACATCGCGTCCCTTCTTGAACTTCTTAATTAACTCATCCAAGATCTCGATGGCAGTCTTGTAGGTCCGGATGGCGTCATCATAATCCCCTTTGCGCTCTAGGATGAAGGGTAATGCCGCGAGCTTATAAAGCTGATTCTTTGCGTCGGCGGTTTCTGTCATTTTGCTGTGGAGCTTGAACTATGGAACAAGCTTGGTTGGTTCTTGCTTGGAGAATCGAAGTGCTGAGCGCAAGCGTGCGACGGGGTTGAGGCTTTGGTTTCCGATATACTTCCAGCAGCGCTTGTTGCTGCATATGACGGAAATTATAGTATGTGAAGCCAATTTCAGAACTGCACCTCAAATTCGCATTCAGAAAATCCTGGAAGAATTGCTTTACACGGGCCAGCTAAGGCTGATTTCTCCGGGGCACAGTCGATTGCTGCAGGTGTCACACTTCTTCCTTTCCTTAGATACTTCTCCTAGGAGCCACGCTCCCTTTATGTGAACATTGCTGTTCACTAGCTTGAAATTTGCCAAGAGAATGTGAGCGAATCGAGGGCTATGCTGCGAGAAAGGAGTGTTGCCGGTGTTGCTGTTGGTTTCGCCCTAAATCCAACCACATTGCAACGTGGGCCTGATTTCTCACGAACATCAGGTTTTGTTTGGAAATTTGATCAAATACCGTCTCAAAGACATCTTATCTGGTTCATTTGGGAATCAATGATTGGAACCGATTCTATCTCATCGCTTACCATTACTCTCTTTGAAGCTTGGCAATCGGGGCGGGCCAACCACCCCGCGGCTTAAGCGGGGACGCAGGTATTGTGGCTGCGCCGGGGAGGCTTCGGCGGCACATGGTCACTAAGCCACTGTGAATATGGTGGCTTGTGATGAACCTTGTAACCACATGGAGGGAGCTGTTTGGGGGTCTTGTTCTTTGGATTGCCCCGGCCAGCAATATCCGCCCTCCAGAGCTGTGACCTCGAATAAAGGTAATTGAAATTTATCGCTCGAGCTGGAGCTTTGGAAGTATTGCGCCACATCTGAAGATAGCCCGAACAAAGGGCCTGAAATGATATTGAGGGAAAAGGTACTTGGTTTTAGATGATGCACCGTGCAAATAAAGTCGTGAGATCCTGTCATTTGTCCTGGTGGAGAGTCAAAATTCATATGTCGTAATACTCGTAGAAAATCAGCTGTAGAGCTCCCCTTTAATAAGAGGCTTGACGGAATCCGCAGAGAATGTCGCATGTCCAATGCCGTTCTGCATGTCACGCGGCTCCTGAACCACACCCCACTTGAGTCTTTTGTATGCCAAACTATCATCAAATTGCTGCCACGGAGTAACATCGCTCTGTGGAGGCTGGCAAGCAGCAGCTATACTGGCGGTACAGCATCCAGCTAGCGGGATTCCAACCGGAAAATGCATGAAAAAGGAAAACGCCAGTAAGGAAAGGCAGATTCCACCAGCAGCCGTCATCCCGTAGATCATTGCATCGGGAGATGCATAGATGAAGTTGAAGCGAGATGTGAGGATTGGCTCACCGGGGTCTGTGGAGTATGAATTCACCCGAGCCACACAGAATATCTCGGTTGCCATCCAGTGAACGACAGTTGTACAGATCATTTTCGGAATGCCCCATCTATATGGAAGTGAGATGAAGTATGTAGTGCGCTGTTCGGTGTTAGGTACCATACTTGACACGCGCAGACCTTTGGGTTGGTTCTTTGATTCTGTCGAATAGCCGCACCACTCAGCCATGACCAGCATTGTCGTGAGTATATTGTTAAGGCCGAGATAGAGGTAGGATATTGCAATCTGTACCACGTTGGCCAGTAATAGCGAGACGAGAGTTCCGTTTTGCTTGGGTATACCAAGGCTCAGGACGCCAGTATGATGAGACATGATGGCGATGGGCTCTGCAGAGACGTGAATGTCGTTCACTTTGGCAACAATACCATTGGCGAAGATCCCAGTGAGAGCTATAATGGTAAGGATGGAGAAGATATGTAGCACCCAGTGCCACGGGTTGACGGCCTTAATCCATCGGGTGCGCTCACCCTTCCAGATGACTCCTTTTGTGAGTTGGCGAATGTCCCATCTGGTTCGGAATCGAATATTTGGCTTTTCAAAGTCTTGCTTGGTTGCCAAACAGCATTGTTGTGTGTATCTGTCCGGGCTCTTGATGAATGATTGTATTGCGTCGCCAAGCGTGCACAGCGGGTCCTCTTTGCGAGTGATGTGTAAAACAAAAACCAAACAGATAATCTTAAGGACATTGCAGATTATCACGACAACTATGAAGTCAGGTACTAGATTGGTCATGCAGTTATCGCGAATTTGTTGCACATAGCAGTAAATGACCGGAGCACCACCTTGATCCCCATAATTTGGGGGATAGGCTCGGGATAGTGTGCAGGCTGAGCCATTAAAAGTAGCTCCAGATGCACCGAAGTTGAAATACTGGTCGTAGATCGCGAAGACTGAAGAATGACTTGCCATGTATGTCACATTGCGCGTCACAGATGGGTTGGTCGGTAGATAAGTGGACGCATTGATGACAAGGAGTACATCCCCAACATGTGAATCAAAGCGATTCTTATATTTCTCCATACAAGTCTCGGAATCGAGCCACTAAAGACTTTTGTTTTGTACCTGACGCTGAAGGCGCTCGATTCTGTCGTGTGGAATGAAAAGGTGACGCTCTTGGTTTGAAATAGAAAGCGGCGGAACGGTCCAATAAGCCCCATGTGTGAAGTTCTCTGTGATAGTGACAGCTACATTATCAGTGACCTGGTGAGTTTGGAAAACAACCGAATTCCATATCATGTGCAATGGAAAAGAACTTGCTCCAAGCACAAGCCAGAGAGATGCTTTCGTCTTCGAAACGCCAAACAGGTTTCGAAGGCTTGGGGCTCCAATGGTCAGCCACCGGCGTTCGGCATGAGCTTTATCGACTTCGGTCCTTGTAGGTGAATTCAAACATTGCATGGCGAAATTACTGGCAGCCAGCAAGACTGTGCTGAGAATATTGACAATAATGTGTACCATGGTTCTCAACATACTTGCAGTGCGGCAGCTCCCAGTGAAGAACGCAATACTGTGATTCTCCACATGATAGTTTGTGTAAACAACAACAATGGTAACAATGTTTGCAATGAGAATCATTGTTGTGGCCAAAACACCACCCAGTATCGAAAATCTCCAAGATCCACGAACTCGTATGCCCCCATATGTATCAGCCCGGTGGGTTTCGTTGTGAGTAGTGTTGCCATTTGAAGTGTTTGGGATATGGTGAGTTGTGGAAAGCATTATATTGGCTTGCAGGACTGACTTATCTGTTCTTCCTCTCACTGAGTGGGTTGGGAACTCGAGGGATCTTGTGGCACGCTGCCTACTTAAAAATTGGAGATAAAAAGTCTCTGATCTGCGGTCGCATACCTCGGGACTTGTAAACACTAACTTAGGTATGATCAGGGACCTGTGTTCAACTATGCTTCTCTCGTGTTACTTGCCATTGAATTAGGCCACACATGGTTATTCAAGACCCCATGAATCTGAAAGGCACCACGAATCTTTCCGTCACATTCGGGCCGAGACGATCTAACTTAGTTACGTATGTTTGATATAGTTAAGCAAATTGAGATCAACGAGATAAGAATTCAAAATGACCTCATCAAAGTCATATATGTTCCATAGAGGGGGGAAATGAACTTGATGGGGCAAGCCGCAACACTGATAGTGAAGGAACTCGAGGTTGCATGTAGTACATGCACCTTAGCTGAGATGGGTGCTGAGCCGGCTGATATAAGATGCGTTCAAACAAACAAAAACCAACGAGGTGAGAGTTGTCCCGGTGGCACCAATTGAGTCTTCACCTTGAAAGCAGGGTTTCTTAGCTCATAACCTTGAAGAGCCGGTGGCACGTGGAATTAACGTTATACCTTTTCTCCGCACCCAAGGATATATCGGCATCTGAACTCCAAATCGCATATTTGTACGGAGTCTTCTGTGCAATCGACTTGCAGAGACTATCTTTAGATGAAGAAAAGCTAATTTTGGTGGAGACCGGAATTTGCCCCAAGTATCAAACCAATGATCACAGGTCACAAGATGACAAGTTCGGCTATCCCATCGCCCCACTGTTAAGATTGCTCCAAAACCCGGAGACTTTGAATTGTATCGGCGAAGGGTCTCTGAAGGCGTCTGGGTCCTGTTTTGCTGTCAGCCACTAAGGGGCAAAATTGCCCAATGGGGTATAGTAGTCTAACTTTTGCCTCACTAGCCTACGGGCTAAGCTTTAACAAGTTAGATACAAACATGCGATAGTCAGTTTTGGTTTAGTTTTTGACCAATGGGGCCTCCTCACTAATCCTCACTGTGGCTCCATTATCCCAAATCGCCCTAGACCGCGAGCCTCTGCTTATGCAGTCTGACCAGAAATTCTTCAAGGACCTCCCGATAAATTGTGATACAAGCCCCGTGGGATCTAGTTCCTCTACTTTTCTTCATCTTTGTCACTCGTTTACCTTCAATACTTTCGTTAATCTAATTAAACAAAATGCACATCCGATCCCTTGCTATTCTGGCCGGTGCGACCGCTGCTGTCGCCGCCGACACTGTCACCCTCTTCCTGCCTGGATTCGACTCGCAAGACCTCGTGGGGAAGGTCATTGGTTCCGTATGTGCCAGCCTTGTCCTTGCAATGCGCAACTAATACTCACATCTTCCAGAGCGGATCCATGACCACCTATCTCATCAAGTGCCCGGATAGCTCCGACTCCGATGACTGTGGTGTCCCACCTAACGGCATGACCGTCGCACAGGGTCCTTCCAGCGTTGAAATCGGATACGGTGCCGAATCAGTGTAAGTCCAGCCTTGCAAGACGATCACCGGTTTCCCCCACACTGGCTGATCACTTCCTATCATAGCACAATCTCGGAGAACTGCAAGTACGACTCCGCATCCGTTTCTTGCTCTGTGAGCATGGACGAGGGTGGCGTTACTACTGCGTTTCAAAGTGCTGTTCCTTTGTCTGAGTTCCCTGGCGCAATGATGTCCGTCACCGTTACTGGAACCGAGGCCGCCGGTGCTTCCGCTACCACTGGTGCCTCGGCCTCGGCCTCTACTGCCGCTTCTACCGGCGCATCCACTTTGACCACCTCCGCTTCTACCTCTGGCAACACCTCTGCCGCTACTGGTACCAGCACCGATACCCCCTCCAGCAGCGGCAACGCTGCTGCCACGAGCCAGACCGAGAGTGGTAACGCCGCTATGCCCATGGTGACTGGAAACGCCCGCTGGGCTGCTGGCGGTGTTGCCGCTGCTCTGGCTCTCGCTGCTCTCTAAAATCTGTATCACATATGCTCACATCCCTTTACTCTGTTCATTACTACTTAAGTATAATATTACATTGCATGACTCTGGATATAATACAGTCGATCACTTTTGTCAATTTCCTGTTTTTCAATCTGTTGGTCGATTGATTGCGGGCAATGAAGTATATATCCAGGTTTACAATACCAACGCAACACTGGGAATATGTGCAATGAATACTATTTACTGCTTCTAAGTCTCTATTCGGTATTTGGTTATCGCTTAGGATTTGCGGTGCATGGTACCGGCACCGGCCTGAGACAGGTTAGCATGAAGTAAGCAGCAGGATGGAAACCTTAAGCTTACTTGGTGGCTGGGGAAGATCAAGGTGTCGGCGATAACGACATTCTCACGACGGCTGGCAGCGAAGACAACCACCTCAGCGATGTCGTCACCGGTCAATGGCTCAACGCCCCTGGAGCATGTCAGTCATTGTAAACATGTCGGTTTCAAGTGATGAGGCTTACTTGTAGACGGCATCGGCCTTGGACTTGTCTCCGTAGAATCGGACAACGGAGAACTCCTGCAGAATTGTTTGTTAGATCCAAAAGTGATATTGGCGTGATGAGCAATGGGACCATACCGTCTCAACCTGACCGGGGTCAATCTCAATGACACGGATTCTAGTGGCGATAAGCTCCTTGCGCAGCGCATCGGTGAAGGAGCGAACTGCTGCCTTTGTGGCGCAGTAAATGCTACCACCGGGATAAGGCTCACGGCCGGCAATGGAGCCAATGTTAATGATATCACCACGGCCACCGTCCGAGCGCTTCTTGAAAATGGGCAGGATTGCTTGGGTCATGTTGATAAGACCAGTGACATTGGTGTCAAACATGACCTTCAGATCTTCGGTGGCGATTTCAGGCGCCTGTGCGACACCCTTCACCAAGCCACTGTATCAAATGTCAGTACCGGATGGAAGAGCAAACTTAGTTGTCCCAGGGGTGTGACTAACGCATTGTTGACTAGGACGTCAATCTGCTGGAACTCTTCAGGCAGGGAGGGAACGAAGTTGTTGATCTCCTCCGGGCTGCTGACATCGAGCTTCACAGGAAGGACCTGGACACCGTCACCAACCTCCTGCTTGATCTCCGCAGCAACCTCCTTCAGTGTATCGATTCGGCGCGCAGTCAGAATGAGCTTCAAGTTCTTGGGCGATGAGCGGGCGAATTCCTTGGCAGTGCTCTTGCCAATTCCGGAAGAAGCACCGGTAACGACCACCGTCTTGCCCTCAAGGCGCTTTGCGATTGCGGAAGCCATAGTGCGTTGGATCGAAGCTCGGTTGACTGTTGAGGCGAGAAGGGTGGGATGAGCGGAGAGACTGGAAGTTGTCAAGGGAGATGAGAGTCGCAGGTGTCCAATTGATCTCAAACAAGCTCGCAGACGGTTCATGGATCTATGACTCTTCTTTCAGGAGCAGAATCAGCGTAGAAAACAAAAGAAGCCCTCGATTATCACGAGCGAGTGCGGGGATTCGGCGTCATACCTGGTGATGTAAGCAGAATTCAACGAATCAGAATCATTTGTTCGCGGCATCGGAACAAAGGCCGATCTCCCGGTCTTTCGAATGTCCGGAGTTTACGAGTAGTACTTTTCCTACTCCGTACAATTTCTACTTTCCCTACAACTACTTCCCTTAATGTGCCCTGCTAGATCAGGGCGCCAATTGCTTGTTTTCAGCCATGGACCCACGTTGAATTTGTAGTCCTGTAATCGCGAGACTTTCCCCCTTTCCTCCCAAACATCATCCTCAAGTCCAGTGGAAACGATTTACAGAAACCGCTGTGTTCAAATAGAATATCTTTGTTCAATTTATCAGCCTCAATGATGCTTTTCTCTTCAACTACAAAGCCTGATTGTCCTTTCATGGCCAAATTTGGATGTCACCCTGGTACAAACAAAGAACTTTTACTAGAATACCCCCTTGAGAAGGCTCGGTCTCTTTGTTTTCGATCTTTATGACAAGGGCATTATTAGGTCTATTGTCCATTGACTTGGTAAAAGCCTTGAACGCTCACCTTACAAGGAAGTGGGCTCAAAGGGGGGAAACGAGGACATTGAGCGCGTATATATAGTCAGTAGCACCCATCCTAAAAAATCATCCAAGATCCATCCTTTCGACTCGCCATCTCATCTCGTCTCATCTCACTTCCGCAGTCGACGCCTACAGGCCTTCCCAAGCCCGATCACACTAGATCCTCAAAGCCCGAGAAACCCGGCTGACACAATGGCTTCCTCAAGCAAGGTATGTCCGACAGACCCCATGTCTACTACATATCAACCCGATTCAGACCCCCAAACTTCTGAAGATCTTCTTAGTCCATGTTCCTTCGATTGGGCAGATGATGTTGAGGACTCGATCAACAGCAGTGATTCGGCTTCCGAGACAGCGGCCAGACTGGGAAACCTCGTCGATCAAACCACGAGGAAATGTAGGTTCCCCTTGGCTGACCTGTCAACTCCTGACATCAGAGACTACTTTCTCCCCTTGGCCAAGCCCAGCGAGGCTGTTTGGCCTCGTTCACATCCTTTACGCGGACCACGAGCCCCACAATACCAGCCAACGTTACCCACCATCCCCGAGGAAGATCCCGACAACTGCAAAGGAAACCACACACCACGACCCGCTAGTCCTACTCCTGGTAAGAAGTCTGGCTACCCTCTCTGTCGCCACCATTCCTCCACTTCAGAGGTTAATCTTCTCCGCCGCAGATCGGTTACTTCAACATTCACCCAATCTCTTTCCACGATCCTTGAAGAAGAAGATGACAGTTATCTAGACTTTTCAGAGCAGACACCATGGGAGGACGAGTCTTCTTCAGACTCCAGTGACGACGAGTCATGGTCCGATGATGAGAGTGACGACGAGACGATCTCCCAGGGAGATGCAGACTCCGAAAGCTTTGCTCAACAATGCGTTAACGGGCTATACGCCGATAGAGAGAGACATATTGCAAGAGACGATGGCACACATCATTTTAGCTGGGGCGGATATCCAGTCTCACATTACAGTGCAACCCGACCCTCGGAATCGCTTGCTATCATTCAATCCGATCCAAAGGTCCCCCGAGGATCGAACAAGTTTCGGGTTCGAGCAATCATTAACAATGCCTTCCCACTGGTAGATCCGGTTATCGTATTTATGAACGGTATTGACGACACTCTGTTCCAACTCGGTGGGTCACAGTTAGCCAATGCCTCTGAAGGAAATGTCTCTAAGTTCTACTCACCTCATGGATCCTGGCTGGATGATGCTAATGAGATTAGCGACGCTACCACATACGACGCTGGCTCCATGGCTATGTATGAAGCCACAGGTGCGGTTATCGGGAACGGATTCTATGGTGCAAGTGACATCCGCCCCGTCTCTAATTGGATGGAAAAGCGACGTGAGATTTTTGAAGCATCCAGTAAGTGCCGTAGGCGGCCCCGAAAGAGCACCTGGTGGCCAAGGCTGTCGCCCCTGAGTCAATGTGAGACAGCCAAGGCCGACGCGCTGCCTTGCAATAGTAGCTTCCAGCAAGTACCATCGGCATCAACTGAATGTGAGCTAACGACACCCAAGGAGTTGCCTCAGAATAACATCTCACTGACAAAACCATCAATCCCAAGCCAGTTCGATATCATTCAGCCTATGGGAGTGTCTCTCACACAGAATGGGCAGCGCGATTCACCCGCCTTAAGCCAGTGTGAGACAGCCACTCCAGTGGAAGTCGTTAAGAGATCTTCTCCCAAGCTTAAGAAGAACCCCTGGAAGCCACGAACTACCATCCGGCGCTCCCAGGCAACGACTGCTCGTAGTGATACACAGCACGAATACGTTTCTTTCCCCGCTCCAGTCTTCCGACGCTCTAGAACAAAACAGGCCATCAAAGCAGTGATGGGTGTTATTAGGAGAGGTGTTGTATTTTTGCATGGACTAGCGAAGAGGTAGCCTGGGTATATTTTGACCGATTCACTTGTTAGTTTACCCTGTCAGTCTTTTACACTTTCATATGTTAAAATCAACGCAAGGAAATACGAGAATTCACAAATAACCATAGGAAATCCGGTAGATTGATCGATCAGCCCTATTCCTTGGCGTCAGTCAGATGTACTGAGCTCCGCGTTTATCAATAATAAGTGATTTTATTTCATCAGCCAGAAGCTGTGCCATCTTCTGTCCACTCCATGTGGGGTGTCTTTAACATAGCCAACTCCATCAAGGTGACCATTACTTTGTCCTGTGCGTTTTGTGGTGATAAGATCGAGGCAACACGTCATGAAAAGTGATTAAGCTGAACTTTACTCCAACCCTCAAATTCCAGATGTATGCAATTCCCATTGATAGGTATCTCGGTATATGACAAACGTGCTCCGAGGCTCCTTTCATAAGTGACTGTGATCAACATGGTCCAAGTGTATAGAGCGTATCATACAAAATCAGCATCTATAGATATCAAGTGAAAATAAACATTCTCGAAGATTGAATTGCTCGTTCAAAGTACTGACTAGGGACAAGCTCGCCCAAACATGAATACTTAAGTAGGGCAAAGCGGATATCACTTATGGCTGTCTTGCCTGACAGATCTCATCAGAAATGCTCTTAATCGTAGTCTCATAGTTTAGAAGGGTTGGAGTCATGGCTCAATGTTGCCTTTACAATTTGACCATACACTTCGCTCTCTTCACTCTCCTCACTTTCTTCACTTTCCTCACTCTCCTCACTCTCCTCACTCTCTTCACCCTCTTCACCCTCTTTCTCTCTCTTCTTTCTTTCTCTTCTTTTTCTCTCCCTCTTAACTCTCTTCTCCTCCTTGCACACTAGTAAGTGCTCCACCACCTGCACCAAAACTATAGCACGACTCGAACTAACAAGATACCAAAATCTAGTCTGCACCATGAAGTGTGCACTTGGATCCTCCGTCCTGAGCTTGCTCAGGCAAGCAAAGACCAAGCTTCGCAGCCAGTTCGCTGGCAACAGCGAGGCTTCTTCCCTCTCCCCCCACATCACCAAACTCGCTCACATTCCAGAGGGGCCTACTGGGATTACCCAAGGCCTCTACCCTCCTGGAGCTAACGCCGACGAAAGCTTCACCTTCCCAGAACAACTTTACTTTGGCCTCGGACTGAGCCAGACGATTCCTTCTCACCAGAGCCACATCCAGGGCACCCACGGAGACAGCCATGAGTTGATGACCTCGGTGCCAATTCACTCTGGCCAAAATTCCAAACCACACCACATCAATCCTCTTCGACTCAACCCTATTGACAGTTCCACCTGGCGAAGGGATGTCTACGAGGCTGCAATTAACAGCCTTCCTCACTTGCACCAGAGTAGCATGGAGGACACCCAACAAGACCGCCGCGAGGAAATGGCTTCAGTGCTAAAGCAATCTGACCGGAAGGTCGAAGTCACTGGTCACAGCACCATTCAACCCAACCCCGTTCAACCCCAGGCCATCCGACGTAAGCCATTGCAACTCACCCCAATTCGACTCGATCCCGTTCGACTCAAGCCTATCGACGAAACCTCGACAGAGGAGGATTACTATCGTCTGGGTCTGAAATACATGGGCGCTATCCATAAGCGCAACCAGGAGGACGCTGAAGGATCCGGCCGTGAGATGGCTTCAGTGCCAAAGCACTCTGACCAAAAGGTCGAAGTCACTAATCACAACACCATCCAACCCAACCCCGTTGGACCCACCCCCATTCGACGTGGATTAGCTCCACTGACCCCAATTCGACTCGATCCCGTTCAACTCAAACCTATCGACGAAGCCTCGACAGAGGAGGATTTCTTTCGTCTGGGTCTGAAATACATGGGTGCTATTCATAAGCGCCGCCAGGAGGATGATGAAGGATCCAGCCGTGAGGAGATTGCTCTAGTGCCAAAGCACTCTGACGGGGAGCCTGAAGTCAAGGGTTGCAGCTCTGTTCGCGTCAACTCTATCAACAGCTCAGCCTTGCAAAAGGAAGATGTTGATGCTACCGAACTCCACCAAACGTTTCTCTTGCACCAGTCCAGCATGGACAGCATCCAACCATCTATCCGCGAGGAAATGGCTTCGATGCGAAAGCTCTTTGACCGGGAACCTGAAGTCGAGGGTTGCAGCTCTGTCCAACTCGACTCTATCGATAACCTCACCTTGCAAAAGGAAGATGTCGATGCTACCGAGCTCTACCAGATGGCTCGCCTGCATCAGTCCAGCATGGAGAGCACAAAACAATCTATCGATGAAAAGTTTACCTCCGTGCCCACGCACTCAGACCGGGATTCCCAAACGACTCGCCAGAACTCCCTCCGACCCGCCTCAGATGAGGGCTTGAACCAGCGGCAGGAGCACAACGAGGGCTCAGTTCCTTTCCATCAACATAGTATGGAGGTTACTCGAAGATACTATCAGATGGCTCATCTGCATCAGCCCAGCCTGGATTCAGTTCCTTTCCATCAACGTAATATGGAGGATACTCAGCGATACCATCAGATGACTCCCCTGGTTCAGCCCAGCCTGGATTCAGTTCCTTTCCATCAACGTAATATGGAGGATACTCAACGATACCATCAAATGGCTCCCCTGCATCAGCCCAGCATGGCGAGCACCCAACAATCTATCGATGAAGAGTCTACCTCCGTACCAACGCACTCTGACCGAAATTCCCAAATGACTTGCCAGAGCTCCCTGCGACCCGCCTCAGATAACGGCTTGAATCAGCGGCAGGAGCATAACGAGGGTTCAGTTCCTTTCCATCAACGTAGTATGGAGGATACTCAGCGATACAACCGTGAGAATAGCACCTACGAATTGAGGCATCCCGATCTGAACATTGGGATGGTCCACAGCAGCTCCCTCCATCTCGACTCGACAAACACCACAACTTGGAAGTGGAGGAAGCTCCCTCTCCACTTCTACAACTCGATGCTACCGCTAGGACAGGGAAGCGTCGGATACATCCACAAAGACATCCAAGGCACTATCGCTACCCCCTCTCCTGCCGTTGTTACTATGCATCAAGAGCTCGAGAATACCCGCCGCTTGTTGCAGTCTTCGCCCGCCGTTGAGATTCCTACTACACGCCTCTCACAGTTTTATCAAGTCGAGGTAGGGGAACAGTCCTCGTGGGACCAGGCTTATCAGAACTGTATTCTAAAGCGCACATCCATGTAAGTACTCCCTTGGATTGGTTTGTCCTTGTTGTTGAATCTAACTGGGAAACAGTGTCATCCATGAATACGACAGCACCATCCAGGAATGCGACAGCGCCATCCCTGAATGGGCCAGGTTCTAGCGGAGTTTGAGAAAGCTCGCGAGAGACAAGTGCCTGGCAAACATTGAAAAATGGAATTTTATCGTCCCACCAAAACGAGTAGCAGAGCCTGTTCCTCCACAACTGCTCTTTTCGGCCGCATGCGAGAACTTGTTTGAGAACTCTTGCTTGAAAGCCTGGTACTTTGGGTTCACTGTTGAAAACCACCCTCAATACTGAAGAATCATTCACTGTTATCATTATCGGCGCGCAACGGCGCATGTTAACCATTAAAAAAAAAAAAATCAAGTTGGCTATGCCATTTCCCCCATTTGATGTTTTGAAAGCCGTAAGAATGGATATTTTATTTCAATAAGCATGGGACAATATGAAAGCAGCCCGCAGGCACAAGAATAAGGCACTCTATAGAACGTATCTGAACCCCTTGTTCTCGATTTCGGTTTTGTCCTACAAGTAAATTAGCAGCTGTTGATATGTGATGGGGAAAGATACATACCAGCATTCCATTTTCCACACCCTCTGCTGCTACTTCCTGTCCATCGATGGCCTGGCGGTCTCGGCGCTTGTTTTCCAAGTACATGTACGCGTATAGTGCGACAATGCAAAGGAGCTTGACCACGTACCCAACGAGCATCCTGTAAAAGATGTTAGTGACTCAAGACTTGATGACATTTTTGAATCGGAACATACGCAATGTAGGCACTGTGATATCCGGGGGCCTCGCTGTCCTTGAAAGTCTGAGGCCCAATGATGTTGCCAACACAGTAGCCAGTGAACAAGAGGGCACCCGTGACTTGCTTTTTGGTATATCCAGCAATGTTTGAACTGACAATGATTAAAGTCATACTGAATCCCAGTCCCTGGAAATAACAGAGCCAGAGCGCAACCAGTCGTCCCCACTTGTTCTCATCGGGAAGTCCCACTAGGAGGCCTGCGCCGATGATGCAAACACAACAGGCAAAGATCATGCATGCAAACCGTGAATGAAATTTGCCATTGAATTTGGTCGCTATCCAACCACCCACAAGAAGGGTAAGGAACTGAACTGCGCCACCTGGAATTTGAAGATACTGCGTGCCCAGGGTATCAAACCCGAAAGTACCAACAATAATGGATGTAAACTTTTGAATGTCAGTTTCATGTACCAGCAGAAGCTCTAGAGAGTTCAAAAAGATAACATACACTTGTCAATGCAGAGTTTGGTACCTGTGCTCCAATAGCCATGATGAACAAGAGCCAGGTCTTCGGATCAGCCGCCGCCTGTCTGACTTGATACCATTTGAACTTGCTACTTTTCACACCCTGTCGATTTATAGCGACACGATCAACGGCAATGGCTCTCTCGCGCTCATTGAGAAATTTGGCAGTCGACGGAAGATCGGGAAGGAAGATCAGGGCGGCGATTCCAACAGCGACCGAGAATGCTCCAAAGATCAGGAACACGTACATCCATCTTGGAAGACCGGTTGTAATGTGACCAACCGCATATCCAATCAAACTGGATGATAATGTTTTAGTGTGGACTCGACAGATTGAATTGCTGACTTGATACTTACCCTCCGAACATTGTCGCGATACCATTGGTACAGTACCATGCCTCTAGTCGCAGAGGCTGTTCCTCGGTTGTGTACCACATGCCGGTCATGAGCACGAACCCGGGAGTGACAACCGCCTCGACAACTCCGAGAAGGAAACGGTTAATCGCAATTCCGGCAAAGTTGTGGCAAGCCGGAGTTGTCATGAGAAGCCCGCCCCAAACTAGAATAGTTAGTATATCTTCAATTTTCAGTGGATTTTCGAGAGCTCATACTTAATGTTGTAACAGCCATATATTTACCGACTGGAAACTTTTGCAACGCCAGCCCAGCAGGCCATTGCGCGATGAGGTATCCGAAATAAAAGATGGAACCTGCTACTATCAGTAGGTGTCAACAATGAGAATCGATGGTGTACACCTACTCAGCCATGAGTATTGCTGCCCATGAAGATGCGTCCCTGACTTCAAGCCATAGACAGATGCAAAGTTTATGCTGTTCTTGTCCAGATACTGCGAGAAATTAGTAACATAATCATTCTGCAAGTTAGACATCCAGTGGTTCCCAATTCATACCTGGAGCATGTAGATGAGAAAAAGCAATGGGATGATTACAACATCGATCTTGCGCAGGACTTTTTTGGCCTCCTCTGGTGTATATTCGAGACCTTGATGCTGCTTGTAAAAGTCATAACTCTCATCTACCTGTTTTGAATCTCCCGAGGAGATTAAAGGCGACAATTTTGCCTTTGCTTCTTTATGTGAAGCCATGATCTCAAGGGGAATTTGAAACAAAATGGTCTTAATAGGAGAGGAACAGAGATTTATAAAAGCCCATCCCAGACACCTTCGGCACGGTCCACGTGGGGAATTGTACAATAGACCGGCCCCACCATTCTTAGGAGGAAGGTTCTATGCAGAGTGGGGATAAACTTAAGGTACGGGTTAATTTTGGATTAGTGTACGGAGTACGAGTATGCAGGAATGGTGGCCAGAGTGGTACCAAAATCCTATGTTCTGACAGGTGCTTGAGTGAAACTGGAGGCAGAGAACAGGTACATGAGCAAATGCATTCATTTCTGAGTGATTCACATAGCAAGAAATCCGGTACCCTCATTCGTTCCTGATCAGAATGACTGGCAGTGTTGGGTGGTTTGAATCAAGCAAGTGGATCCATCACGACATCACCGCCTCAATTGCGCGTTTGTTGGCCCATATAAGCTCATTTCTATTCCAGAAACCATCCGTCACGCTTTAGACCCGGAGATTTTCCGTTCTCTGAAACAAGGAACTTGGCTGAGCCAGCAAGTCTTTTCTCAACCCAGAAATTCACTCTTCTTCTTCGCCGTTGGTTTGCCCTGCAACTCTTGGCGTCGGGTAAACCCCGCGAACGTTTCGACTCAAAATTGAGCCCTGGAGACTGGTTATGCATTTACCCTCCAAAGGTTCCTAGTATAGATGTAGCCTTTACAACCTTATCGATTTTTTTAATATTAGCGCCGCCTAGACGTTAAGATAAAGGCAATATAGTTGTTTCCGAATCCTTGGATCTCAATTAAGTAATCACGTTATTTCAACCTCACAGGTGGATTTGATTGGCTGTGCTATATTATGTGATCCACCCATCCATCAGAGTCGGCATTCAAGTCTTCACCGTGCAACAAATATTAAACATGTTGGCTTAGATGAACACAGCCTGAAAAGGGCACTTCTTTACATAGTGACCATGTAGTCAGGGAAATGGGTGCACCGGTTTTGAAGAGAACCAGTCGACAAATTTCACAAAATGAGCGACCTATCATGTCGACTGACCTAGTCGTTAACCAACTGGGTATGCTGCGAAGCAACTGTTGCTCTCTGGGTTGCATTTATCAATCATGGAACACAACAGGGGCTTAATGGGAGAAACAACGGTATTGAAATGATGGGAGTCAAGTATGTGAGACACCACAGGACGGCTTCTTGAGGAAGATGCAAAAGTCCATGCATCGAGTGCAGCGCGTGTCATCCGGATTGGGAGGTATCAATAGCTCCCGGGCAAATTGGGGAATACGCGTAGTGGGTATTATCACCAGTACAGGGATATCCACGATCATAGAGGGTCTTGCAGAGAGTGGAATGTCCCATTAAACCACGCGTCAAAATCAATGTCCTCTGCCGTGTCCCAAGCAGGTTGCATCTGATCGAAGTGGGCACCGATGACATCTTCGGAGTCTATATCAGAGAATCTGCCGACAGATGTCTCCGGTGTATCAGGCGATAAATTCAGTCGTGTGAAGCTCGAGAATTTTGCGAGGATTTGGCTGAAGTCGACCGACTTTTGGTGGTGGCCTGAAATTCCGGCGAACGGATCTGCGGTGAAAATTGCATCGATAAGAGCAACGCCCCGTTGAGCAAGCACGTCGTTATTTCGGGCCGCAAGTCGGGTGCGAGCTGCATGGATTGCTTCCCTGTAGGCTTGAGCGATGTCGATTTGATCTTCGGTTGTTGCGTTTATTTCAAAGCACATTATGACAGCAGCTGTAATTGCAAAAGCAGTATGCGTCCAAATGGAGATATCCTCTTCTCTGACAATAATTTCATGCTCTCGCAAGATAGTCATAGCGGCCGCAACACATGTTCGCCTTGTATATTGATATGTCTGGTCTTTGAAAGAACGGAAAAGGAAAGGGCGATGGATCATGATGATTTTCTCTGCTGCGGTGATCGCGAGACTTCGCCGAGCAATGCCAAGCCATTTTATCTGTTCTTCTTTGACCTTGTCTGGCCGTAGTAGGAAGGATGGGATGTTTTTCACGACTGTCCGCATTTTCTGATCGATATGTAGGATATGTTCGTATTGTTGTCGCATTGGCTTCCTCGACTTCATCGGACCGAAACCATCCACCAAACCGGGCATCAATTCTGCCAAATTCACCAAAACGCGAATGTACGTGCTGACGGTGGGGTGACCGATCGGCATGTCTCTCATATCATGATCATCCGCATTCATCGGACGGCTAGTGGAAAATTGCATGGGGGATATGCTGTAAGAGTCTGTGAACGGAATAGCGAAATGATCCTGGATGATCATTTGGCACCAGACCCTCTTCCCAACTTCTCGCTCCACTTTGTCCTCCCATTCTTCCTTGCTTCGAGGGGGCTTTGACGAGTAATCTTGGATTTTATGGATTCCCAGACACTCAGCAATACGGACTCCAGCGTTGAAAAGGGTTGCGTTGAGCTGACTGAGTCCAAGATTGTGAGCAACTTCAGTTGAGATGACAATCGCTTGAACCGAGTAAAGGGACAGATTGGCAAGAAAATTCGATTGATAGAGGATTTGGATCATGGAAGAGAAGAGTTGTTGCGCGGACTGTAACGTGTTCAAGTCGACATCGACCAACTCTCTTGCTTTCGCGCTATCCTGGATTGAACTCACGGTTGAGCTCAAAACAGAGAAGTAAACAGCTTGCCACAAGGGGTCATCAAACTCGCCATTCTCCCAGAACCGCTCACATTGCTCTAGAAATGTTGGGCTGTGGATGCAATTGTGATGCCAGGCCAGATGACATATGTGAAAATTGACCAACTTTTGGGCATCACTCGGGCTGGGAAAAATCGGCTTAACTTCCACCCCAAAATCTCCGGCCTGGAGAAGGCTGGTGGTAGCTTGGAATCGCACTCCATCTTTGCGATAAGGGCATTTGCACGTCCTATGTGGAAAGCATCCGGCGGAGTTACGGCCCCAGGCGAGATGCTCGATTGCGGTGAGAAGTGATGACTCATTTTGATGCGATGGGTTTTCTGCGCCGCTGAGAGGAGCTCTCTCGGGTGGAAGGTCCTCGTTTGGGGTTTCTTCTGGGTGTGCCGTGGCGGCATTGAATACCTCTGGCTCTGCGGGGTCTTGCCCAGTCTCCAACCGGAATACGCGGTTTTTGATCTTTTGCACAAGCTGGGTTGTTTGATCAGAAGGCAGTGAGTCCAAGTCATCAATTAAGCTGCTCAAAAACTGAATTTCGGGCCCATGCTGCACCGTGTTGCGCCTTAGGTGGACAACTTCTATCGTACATTTCAAATTGAGTCGGTTGCATCTGGAGCAGGGATCTTGCTTATCACACTTCCGCTTTCGTTTTGTGCATTCTGCGTTCTATCAGTTCCCTTCTGAACCTTCAAAATTCAACGGGCTCGTTATCTACCTCGGCACGCCTGGGGCTGACGCTGCGACACGCGAAAAGAGGTCGGTTTATCTGAGGGGCCACTCATTGCCCACCTGTGTTACCCCCAGGTCCACGATTTCAGGAGCTCGTGCAACTTTTGTGAAGCTTTTCCAGATGTGAACAACAGTTGATCCAATCCCGGGGGAGGTATTACATAGCGACTGGCTTTCATCGACCCGATCTGGACAAGTTCTGTCAATGAGGCGGTGATAGATACTGGTAATACAAATACCGGACCTTCTTTATTCCGCTTCTCAAGGTGAGGCTGGTATGATCATGGCGGTGATAACCCGGAAACGTAGATTACCGGACCTTTATTTATCCTCTCCGCCAATATCCGCCAATCACCGCCTGCGCAGCCTTCAATGTCCTTGCTACCGAGGTCGATCACTGTCCCTGTTCAATCGCCATTATCACGGGCCCGGTTGCGACGGCGCTCCATCCTGGCGCTTGGGCCCATCATATTGATGTTCCACGTTTCGAAAGACCCACCTCACGTGCTTGACCGCGAACTACATGTATGCATGCTATGTCTGCATGAAGAGCATCATATCCTGTGACGGGACCCTTTAGACCTCGAGGCGTGTTCTAAAAGCAGATCATAATGCTGCCATGACAACGCGGCTCGCTCTAAATCACAGTCTCAAGGCACCAGAAGCGAAGAAGATACATGGGCTCGATCCCGCGGTTGAAATGGGCTCTACTATGACATATTGAAGGCCTTTTCTAGTACCGTGCTTTCGATGAGGAATGCCCTTCTACCACAATCCGGAGCAACTCCACCGCTTGGGAATGCCTCTCGGCCCCTGTGTGAAGAATTCGACACAACTCGTCACCTCCGATTCGGCAAAAGTGATCATCTCGAGCTTGTTTGCTCACAAAGCTTTGAGTTGTTCAGTGACACCAAGCCAATACCGAGCTACATCTGTCTTTGTCATCCTGTGCTCAATGGATGTGTTTATCGGAGAATGAGATGCAGCAACCCGAGCACTTTCCCATAAGCCCCTGGCAACGTTTGTGCAGCCTCACATGTTATCTCAAACTTCGTACTCCAACCAACGGGCTACCCTCAATTTTAGAAAAATCGTGAGCATCCAAACATGCCTGTCGAGAGTTTAGGAAGCTAGGCTCAGCGCGGGTGAAGACATCGTTTTCGTAGGCGGGAATGCACGACGACAACGCAGCGGTTTCAAGAGCCCTGCATAATCCAAGATCGGTGGTCAGCTTGAATTTTCTTCGGCATTGACAGAATGAGGATTGTTTACCCAGCTTCTTGCAGATTCAATCTCTTCACAAGATCCAGAACATCGACAATAGCGTTGTTGGCACCTTCGCCGCGGACTAATATTAAGTCAGACCCGTGACCGTCCTTGAAGTTGGTTATTCAAATCGATACAACTTACACATTGTCATTGTGTGTGCCGAATCCCCTACCAGCACCGCTCTGGGGTGAGGGTGCTCCCGTCCCAACTGGAACATCCAGTCTTCGATGCGAATCGAGCGAACCTCCACATCGTCAGGGAGCTTTTGCACGAGAGATCTGAATGGCTCTGACCAACTCTCAGTCATACTCTTCATCAAAGCAATCCGCTCTGTGTTAGCATCTGGGACGGGAATCCCCTTTGAATCGGCCCAAGAGACGATAATTTGACAATGATAGCGGTCTTTGCTACTGTCCTCAAAGTTGCTGGGGGTATCCAAGACTACAAGAAATCAGCGACCATAATGACCTATGCGATCTGCAGACGACATACAGCTGAAGAACAAAAACACATTCGAATCGGGATGGGATCCCTGGAAAATGTAAGGGTCGATTGATTCGGCGCCACCCATCTCTTCCGCGGTGTACAGTGTCGAAGCCCCAAGTAGCTGAACTGGTAGTTGGTTCATTTGTGTATCTGGGTAGAGAATCTGCCGGGTTCGCGACCTTGAGCCGTCGCATGCAACGAGTAGTCGGCCAGTGTGAGAGGTCCCATCCTCAAAGTGTGCGGTGATCGTATCGGCGGACGATTCGATATGTTGAATTGATTTGCTCCACTGATGTCATCGCATAAGTTTCCATGTGACAAAAGAGGAATTCGAGATTCGAGAACGGCTTTCGGAGGCTACCAAAGGTATTCAAAACTTGCCTGGACATCAACTCCTGTTGTCAAAAGATCGCGAAGTCGGACGCGACTGACTCGAATACGTTCGGCGGCAGGCACATCGTACAACGCAGTCCCTGACTTCAGGTCAAAAAATTGGAACCGACCAGTGTCACCGCGCGCCGATGCCTCTTTATTGACGAAAGTTTCGGGGAAACGATCGACAAGGTGTTTTGGTAGCAGCTCGCGCAGGGCAGGAAGTGACCAGTGCAGAGTCAACCCCCATCCACCACTCCGTGCATCAACAGCGGAGTCCCGATCGAAGATCTTGAAAGGAATATTATGATTTTGAAGGTACTGTGCCAGCACAAGGCCACTAACTCCTGCACCGATGATGAGAATGGGTTCAGACATAATGGACAAAGCAGAATAGAGCGCACACAATGCAATAGAGCGTCAAATTCGATGCCTGTGGGCTACTTACAGACGGTTTACTGGATCCCCTGTCTCAGCCAGTCACACGAAAAGCAGGTGACACACAATCATGCCACATCCCATCTCGAATCCTCTTTTTTTCCAACACCAAGTGGGGTTAGAACACAACAAGCACCCGAAAATGTTCTGCGTGGAGGCTACGGGGTCCCGAAATAAGGCAAAATAAGATTCCACAGGGGCTTGAGTGATCCTTGGCTTGACATGCGCCAATCGGGTACGAGTAGATCCCCTGCGGGCACTTAACATTTGACTTTGGGACTCAACCTCGTCCATTTTAGGCTTGGATTTACCTAATCTGCATGGAATCCTGCAAGCCTTAATACAATATCGGACTCCGCCGGTGGAACAACCTTGAATATTATTCCACAAGTCCTTTGAGATATTTGAAGTGTGTCTCAGAAGTTTGTTCCGCGTCAATTTAAGGCGGATCTTCACTCCCGACCGAGTGGTGGGTCTCGGTCCGTTGGAGCAATTACACTCGATATTACCCTCGATGGGGAAATCCAACTCGAAACTGAAGGATTGGGAGATGGATTGGCGCTGAAGAGAGTGCGGACTACTCGTACAAACTACAGACTACCAGTATCGGAAACTCACGTTCTCGGCGACGGATCTTAAAGGCTTCCCGTCATTTCTACTCGTACTAGCGCACGGAGCGAACTTTAACTGTCAACAGAGTTTCACAGTTCTTTTTTGCCACGGGTACCACTGATCCGCGCACGCCAAGGCAACACGAAAAGAAAGTACCAGATATGGGGGTCCTCTCGACAAGTTCAGCCTAAGGGCATTGGTAATAAAAATCCTTGAATAATATAAATTAATGGCTATCATAATATACTCGTACGTGGCATGAATTGGTGCCGATGAATTAGGTATTCTGCTTGGTCGACCTGCCTTCTAGAGACACGCTATACTCCACCGTCATCTCGATGCCTCCGTGATCTGGCTCTTGACTGGCCAGAATGAGCTCTTCACTCGGCGTTCGTCTCGGCTGCACTGGACCTGAAGCTGTTGACTGTAAATGCGATCGTTGATCTTTTGTCCAATTTTCCAAGGCATAGCTTCTGCCCTGGCTGTCAATGTAATATTTTTTGGTCTTCCCACTGCTCGAGTTCAGACCTCGGACCCAACCCTTAAGTAAGGGTGCCAAGTAGGGAGCACAGGTAACAATGTTCTGAATTGGAATGTTAGGAACTTGGCTTCGCATAATATGTAAGGATTGTGTCCACTCACTCCCACATTGAACTCAATAGTCCCCCATAACACAAGCATGGTGGAATTCCCGTCCCCAAATGCCACGCGTTGGATCTGGGTGAGTCGAAGGATCGAACATATTGTGGTAAAAAGGCCTAGCAGAAACAAACACACCACACCTGCTTTCTGGGCTGGTTTGATGTTCAAATTGAGTAGTAGTGGAATCGGTAGCACTATAATCACGACATCACAAATTATAGTGAATATAGCGAGGCCATAAAATGTTTCTCCGACGGGAAGACAGGTTCCAGGAACGTGCATATTCCATCCTCGTCGAACCTAATCGAGAGTAGTTAGCCCCCGCACATAATGCCGTGTTAGTCCCGCATTTGCCCTACCGGTGTACAATTGAAGATCAAAACCAATGCGCCGGCGACATGGCCTGCGCTCGAGATCGCGATCACAACCCAAATGATATTTCGATAAACGCGTTTTGAAGTCCCCGAGATCAATCGATGGTAACTAAGACACAGCGATGCCTTGAAGCCTCCAATTCCGATTTGGTAAAAAGGACGTCCGGCATAATTAATCTAAGCTCTGGATGTCAGATTCTTGTAGTTTTATTTTTGCTTGCATTGATATCGTGCAGCGAGGATTCAAGTTCTCCGTACCTTGGAATATGTGTTATAGTCGGCATCGGGTCGGAGGTTGATAGGCAACCCAAGCCCGTATCGACTTTCTATTGAAGGGAGGGATAAGTCTGGATCCGATGAATTGACTGTGGACTGGTGTGCTCACGAGAAATGCATAGTGCGCTGTAAATAATGGCGAAAATCTATCTAGGGTTAGTCGCCGCTCGTTAATAATAGGTAGAGTAACTGACCATACTCATAACCATCACGTAGTCTGCTGCCGCTAACCGTCCAACTTGAGCCCTAACAAACAGTCGCAGGCAGACCGTGATAACCATCAAGACGGTAAGGCTCAGACATACTCCAAGGATGACAGGGTACTGCGATGCAGCTTCCACCTCAGGAGGACTGTTGTACACCCAACCCATGTTCGAAGGAGATAGACGGAAAAGAAGCTTTCAGAGAAGATAGTAGATGAGGGAACATGACATTCAGGGTAAGAACAGCATACCTTGGCGATGACCTAACGTGTCTTGTATAGGAAATTCGGAATCCTCGCAGCTATCCAGCTTCCTTTTTCAAAATTTATCCAGACTGGGTTTCAAATGCTTGGCTGATTTATCTCGGCCCCTTTCGAACATTGCCTGTTTGAGATTCGGTGCCGGGTCATATTGGGATAGCAATATCGACCTGTGCTCCACACCCCCATCTTCTCTTCAGCTAACTACGAGCATAAAATGTTCTAGTGCTGTAACTTCTCATTGGCTCTGTGTTGACAAGACTTGAGTCAAAGTCAAATGCGTGGAATCCTCAGCCCCGCCGCGGTCGCCGCGGAGGTTTCAATTTTATCATTTGGAAGGTTCGTTTGCATTAATCTTAATATATTGTTTGTCCACTCTTATTTCCACACTCTGTGTACTTTGTCAACTTAGCCTGTACTCCTACTTTCTTTTCCCTTCCTTTCTCTCTTTCTTGTTATTCCAAAATCCTTGCCCCTTGAGTTTCATGCACATTTGTGTCACCATGGATGAAAAACAACCCCCCGGAGAACAACAAAATCCTCACCTTGACCGCGCGGATGATGCCGTAGTGTATCTTGATGGCCATGCAAATAGCGCAGACGGCCCACAGGTTGATCTGCGGGCCCTTCGTCGGAAGATCGATCTACGATTGATGCCATACATGTTTTGCTGTTACATTTTACAGTTCCTTGACAAAGTTATGCTCAATGTACGTTCAGTGTTTGGATGCGAACCCCTGCAAATATTGCCGCTAATGTGTAGATTCCATTCAGTATGCGGCCGTTATGGGAATCAAAAAAGATTTGAACCTTGTTGGAAATGATTTTTCAAATACGGCTACCTGGTTTTTTATTGCTTATTTGATTGCAGAGGTTCCCAATGGTTAGTTATCTTTAGCAAAACTACCGACCGAGCTACCATGCCTGGCCATCTTAGCTAACTCATGCGCAGTATACTTCTTACAAAAAGCCCCCCCTGCTAAATGGCTCGGCGGAAACGTTTTCCTTTGGGGCGTCGCGGCGGCGGCCTCGGCTGGTGCCCAAAATTATCGCGGTTTGCTGGTCGCCCGGATTTTCCTTGGAATCTTTGAGGCCACTGTCGGTCCCTCACTGATGCTTATTAGCAGCCAGTACTACACTCGCAGCGAGCAAGCCCCTCGGTTTACTGTTTGGTATATGGGACTTGGCGTTGCCCAGATCTTGGGAGGCCTCATTTCCTTCGGCTTTCAGCACGTACACAATGCCTCTTTGGATGGCTGGAGAATCATGTTCATTGTTCTCGGTCTAGTCACGGCGGTGGTTGGCACATTGACTTTCTTCTTCATCCCGGATACCCCAATGAAAGCCACTTGGTTGACTGAGCATGAGAAGGTTGCCCTCCTGCAACATGTCAGTGAAAACCAAACTGGTGTATGGAGCACGACTGTGAACATGAGCCAAATCCTAGAGGCCGTGCTGGACCCACAGCTGTGGCTCCTCACTGTAACAACAATTTTGGTATGTCCATCTCGCAATTCACCCCTTGCTTCAATCTTCCTCTTGGGCTGAACTAATGACTGTGACTCTAATTAGATTTCGGTATCAAGTGGTGTTGTGACCACCTACTCGGCCACTTTGATTGCTGGATTCGGTTTCACTGGTCCAATCTCGGCTCTTTTGAATATGCCTTCCGGCATTGTCAGTATCTTTTTCACGTTGCTCGTTGGCTTTGGTATTCGGAAGACCTCTCACCGCTGGGCATGGAATGCCTTTTGTACTATCCCTGGCATCATTGGTGGGGCCCTGTTGTCTTTCATGCCGAAAAGCGACAAGGCAGGCGTCCTGATTGGCATCTACCTGGTCAACGCAATTGTGGCCACCCTGCCCATTCTTTACCAGTGGACGATGGCGAACTGTGCTGGTCACACCAAGCGTGCGTTCTCCAGTGCTCTGGTCGCAGGCTCCTTCTCCATTGGAAATATCATCGGTCCACAGACATTCCAGGCGCGAGATGCGCCAGATTATCGGCCCGCCAAAATTGCTGTCCTTGCCACCCAGGCTGCTGCGGCTGTGTTGTCTGTTGCGCTTTTCATTTACTATAGGTGGCAAAACGGTCGCAGGGATCAAGCAAAGGGGCCCGTCAACGAGGATATGATTGACGAGATCAAGTGGGCTGGACTCACGGATAAGCAAAATTCCTCCTTCCGCTATGTCTACTAGACATACATATTACCAAGTTGCTTTTGGGACCGAGAATATCCATTGCAGGCCCCAAGTGTCAGCTTCTAAGTTCGGGGCTACTTACATATGCCTACAATGTCTCCTTGAGAACTCCAGGGCTTCGATTCTGAACATCGGAGCGTTCTTGTGTGCACAAAATATATTAAGACTCTGCTTCTAAAGTTGTCACAGATATGAACTTGGAATACATAGACAAAAATCCCCTTTCAATATTCGAGGACCTACTTAAGTACTTTATCTAAGTACCAATCTACAACCTTCGGCCTTGGGAGCTTGGAAATCTTGGAATTCGTCCGCGGGTTAGTATAAGTATTTCCTGGCAACATACGTACATAGAGTTGAAGATATATTCCGAGCCTTTGAAATTGAATTAGGTACGGTCATCGGCGAAGACTTCACCAAGCTTCAACAGCTCCTCCCAACGACCGTCCTTTTGGATCTCGATAGATGCCTGCGGTGTTGCGACTTTCATCTCACCAATAGTTTCTGTGCCAAAGTCGTATTCTTGATCGTCTTGCACAAAGGCGACGAAGTTTTGAATCCAACCTTCCATCAGCGGTCTTTCGGCCTGCGTTGGACCATGTAATATAGCAAAGCTAAAAGATATCAGCATTGCCCCTTGAACGTTGGCGGATTTCAGAAACTCACCTCCAGAATGGCTTGTCCATAGCATGAGAAACGCCCCAGGATATAGGAGCTACCTTGTCTGTGATGAAGGACAAGCGGTAGGCAATTTGGTAACGCCAAATGTCGCGAAGTGGCACACCGTGGTTGCTGAGACAGTTGACCAACCACCTGGATGGCGCCCTCACTTGCCCGTCTGCAATGATGCCACCGAACAGTTTCTTCCATTCGGCTGGATCTGGCTTATCAGGCAATTGATAAGAGCTGAGCACTCTTTTTGTGGTCTCCTGGGAGTAGTAGTTGGCAACTTGCATCTGTAAGGATGCAAGATTGGGCTCGGGGGCATTGTACGTGGCATACAATGTCTCCTCGTTAAGAACCTCACCAATCAAGATTCGAAGCTTGCGCTTTTTGAACTGTTCGGCAAATGCACCGCTATGATGATATTCGGTGAATCCAGAATGTATGAAAAGATTATCGGTGACAGGGCGGAAAGTATGATTATTGAGATGCGGGATGACAGCGATCAAATCCCGATAATCAATTTTTCGTAGCTCATTCAGTTTCTCTGGGCCAGAAAGGTTGGTCGCGACTTTGAAGTGTTCACAAAGTTCGTCGAATTGGGGTTTGACATCCACGAGAGCTTTCGGCTGTGCTGGGATTGCATTCGAATACATATAAAATCGATGGAAGAGTTGTGTTTCTCTTCGGAAATCGTGAAGGACCTGTGCATGAACCCCGTAAGCACCAGCACTTCGTCCGCCAAGCGTGATATTGTTGATATCGCCATTGAAAGCAGCGATGTTTTCATACACCCATTCCATTGCAAGACGCTGGTCCCACAAGCCAAAGTTTCCAGCACTCTCGCCATTGCTATCCTCAAGCAAGGCCTCACCGGCTAGAAAACCGAAGATATTCAGCCGATATCCGATGCCGATGACGATTGCATTGAGCCCGCCCGTGGAAATCATCTCGGTAGGATCCATGCCTAGCTCTTGAAGTGGCTCCCCGAGCTGAAACCAACCCCCATGAAGCCAAAGCACAACGGGCCACCCTTTTCCATCTTGCCGCTCCTCAACTGGTGTCCAAATATTCAGAATCAAACAGTCTTCGCTGTAATTTTCGGGGCCATTGTCTTTTTCTGCGCTGCTTGAAAAGGTTCCTTGGGGGCAGATTGGACGGAACTTTGAGGCATCAAACGGGCTTCCATCTTCCTGGGTGTATGTGTATGTATTGGGGAGCGGGTGTGGCTTTCTCCAACGGCGTGCGCCAACTGGCGGCAGAGCGTACGGGACGCCCGCATATCGACGAGCCTTGGCATCATATTGAACACCTTGGATCCGGCCTTTAGAGCCTAGATTGACTTGGTGAGGTCTTTCCTCGTACGCTGAAAGCTGATTCCCCATGGCTGTTGAGGGTGGAGAGGAGGGGCAAAGATGAGAGATTGAAACACGACAACAGCTAAGGAGGATACTTTGCCATTTTGGGTTAGTCTGTCGGGGCTTCTTCTGGCCCCGAAGCGCAGCCAAGATCTCCGCGATATCAGATCAGATGCTTAATTGGACACGCCAATGAGCTTTCATACTTAAGTAGATGCCAGTGACCTACATATAGAAGAGAGACTGTGAGCTTATAAGTAGACATTGGGGGATACACAAAGTGCAAATCAAGGTGATTTCCATCTCATCCTCGTTCACCCCCATGCGGAAAGCTGAATATACAGTCAACGGTCAAACAAGCACCCCTTGCGTCAAATACCCTGGTCAACTTATGGCCCAGAGAGTAATCGATTGGCAAGTTAAAAATGAGTCAGGGCAACTTAGGGGAGATTTCCTGCGCTCTTAGACCGACTTGTACGCGCCGGGCAAGGATGAGCCGTTTCAGATCCAATGGATTATTTGATAGGATGGGATAAAAGCGCATTGCAATTTCAAATTCTCAAGAAAATCAATTTTTCGAGTCCGCATACATACAACCGTGCGATGGTGTGGAAGGTTATATTTCGCCTCAGTGGGACGCGTAGGAGGAATGGCTCCTTGGACTCTCGAGACACATTTACTATCGCTCCTTCCGTGGGCTCGATCAGTTCCAAGATAAAACTTCAGCAAAGATTCTCTCACAAAATATTCCATAGTTTTTCGTTTTTCTTTTCTTTCCTCTTCCTTTTCCAGCTCGGTTGGAGCCCCCAGCCTAGGAAAGCTTTGGCCCCCGCGTCCCCACCGACACGGGTGGGAAGGGGGCCAGGAGACGGTGCGTGCCGGCACTCCACCAAGCTGCCTAGCGTCACTTGGAGGTTCCACGTTCATTTGCAATTGACTTCTCCAAATTATGAGACCACATCGAGTGCAATGAAGTGCATCCTCGGGGATTGGTCTCAATTCAACCGGACTAGTCAAACTAGTCTCGCTATCCTCCTGCATTTATATCAATGCTCAGCACCCCCACGGCTTAAAAGAGAAGCTTTCGGGTTGTGCGAGCTTCTGCCAATCAAGCCACAGAATGCATATCACTCCTGCGATTTCAGTTTTGCTTTTTGGTATTCTGCCAGAAGTTAGCTCTGCCGCAGATACCACGAACAACTGCGTCAGTTCCTTAGGCTCCTTTCCCGTGTCAATTTGACTGACAAGAATGCCGTAATATAGTGCTCTGCATTGGAAAAAGGCGGTCTTGCCAATCGTGTCGTCTACCCCAACAGCGGTGCTTATGAGAAGTCCGTTGGTTCATATTGGGCTGAGAATGTGCAGCTCGATCCCATCTGTATTGTGCAGCCGCGCTCTGCCCGTGATGTTTCCCTCGCTGTGTCTACGCTTACCAGCATCGAAAACGGGGCTTGCAAGTTCGCTGTCCGCAGTGGCGGTCATACTACGTGGGCGGGGGCGAACGATATCAGCAATGGGGTTACAATTGACCTTCAGATGATGAACAGTACCACATACAACAAGAATAATGGAACTGCTTCTATTCTGCCCGGAGCTCGCTGGCAGTCTGTCTACAAGGCCCTTGTTCCTTACGATGTGACCGTGCCAGGTGGTCGTGGTGGCCCTGTGGGCGTGGGTGGTTTTTTGATTGGAGGTACGTGAGACGAAGGTGCCCGAGACTTGATCCGAAACATTACTGAGAAATTTCATCGAACACAGGCGGAAACACCTTTCACACAGCGCGCGTCGGATTCGGTTGCGACAATGTCGAAAACTTCGAGGTGGTCTTGGCCAGCGGAGATATCATCAATGCGAACAAGGGAAGCCATGCAGATCTCTACAAGGCTCTGAAGGGGGGATCAATCAACTACGGTGTTGTCACAAAGTATGAAATGAAGACAATTCCAGGTGACAAGCTTTGGGGCGGTCTTGTCGTATATGCCAACAGCACTACCTCACAGCAACTTTCCGCCGCTCATCACTTCATCAACAACATCCACAAAGACCACTACGCATCATGGATTGGTATGTGGGAGTATTCAGCCCAGACTGACACAAACGTCATTGCACATGCTCTGGAATACACGAAGCCGGTTGCGTACCCGAAAGCCTTGCAAAACTTCACTAGTATTCCGAACACCACCGACACGATGCGCTTTGCCAACATGTACAACTTGACTCAAGAGCTAGTACAAGCATCTGGCTATCGGTATGCTTCTGCGAAAATCTTGTCCAGGAGGATTTATCACTGACCCTCACCAGTGATGTTTTTACCACCGGTACCTTCGGCAACGATCTCAAAGTCCTCGAACAAACTGTCAAGATTCACAACAGTGTGATCGAGAAAGCCAAGGCGGCCGCCAAGAGCAAAGACTGGACTGTTGATACCATCATTCAGCCTTGGCCCACTCTGTTCGCTGAACATAGTCAGAAGCGCGGTGGCAATGTTCTCGGCCTTGAGCGATTTGATGAAAACCTTTTCCGTGAGTCTTATAGCTCTTTCTTCTCACCTCTCTCTTCTTCTTCTGACACAAAGACAGAGGTTCTATTTGATTACTCGTGGAAAAATGCAGCTGATGACGACCTTTTCAACGAACTGGCTCGGTCTGCACTCAAGGAATTGACAGCATACTCAAAGTCAATTGGGGCCGACAATGAGTACATCTACCTTAACTACGCAGACGGCAGCCAAAACCCACTTGCCGGCTATGGTCCCAAGAACGTGGAGTACATTCGCCGCATCGCGAAAAAATACGATTCTGAGGGTGTGTTCCAGACCCAGGTGCCTGGTGGATTCAAGATCAGTGAGGTTTGTGAGTGAAGGCACAAAATCTAGGTTCATAAGTTAGGATAAATTTCCAGGTCACATAGAAGGTCCAGATGTTAATGGAAAATATCATTACTAGTGACTACTCGTACTCGTATACGGAGTACCATACGCATTGTCAAAAGACAAAAGCTTTGGCAAATCCCTGACTCGCTTGGATATTTTAGCAAGTCTCGCCCCCATGCAAGCATTGTTGGCGATCGGAAAGGCCCCGAGCTCAGGAACCACTTCATTTCCTTGCCTGTCTAAACCCTGTCTAATCCCTGTCAAGTCGAATCACATAGGCCCTGATGTGGAGTTGATGATGTGGCCATATTCCAAGATTGTTATTGTCCCACGACGGAGCTCTCCTCACTAGGTATCCCCTTGGCCGATCGTCTCAGGTTTAAACATCTTGAATATCGGTTTTGCGGGGCAAAAGGAATGCGCATGCATAAGGGCCTTGTGAGAAAGAACCACTTTCAGATGGGCAGAGTCGCGTTCCAAGATAGGAAGAGATGGTGGCGATCTTTGGTCCACAACGGCCCACAGTTTCGGGGGCCAACGATCATCGCACGATACCTCTGTACAAGGCTAGGTTCATATGTACGATCGGGCCCTTCCTGCTTTTTCCATTTACTGGTTTAGCAATTTGTTCACCAGAAATGCCTCACAAAATTGAAAGTCGTAAGTACAAAGTACGAGAAACAATGCGGGTCCAATCATTTCAACCATCCTGCTACTCCGCACTCGTTACTCGAACCTGGATTTGACAAATGATCATTTGGGTCCAAAAACTAGGCCCTACATCTTGCATTCGATGAACGCTAGATTCAGGAGGCATATACGATGAATTGGCACGAGCTTTTGTAACAACCTTAGAAGTCCACGTCTCGTTTTATACCCCATTCTATCCGCATATGACAGGGAAGGCCTCAGCACATCCCCGGGGCCGATTATCAAGATGCCCCGTCATGTTGGAGTAGTGCCTCCTCCTGCAGGAGTCACAGCGGATTTTGACTACTCAAATCCATGGTTGTACAATGTCAATATTGTACTAATAAGCCTCGGGTTGGTAGTTAGCTTTCTTTGTCTCGTCCTTCGTATATACACCAAGACGCAGATATTACATCGGCTGGGCTGGGAGGATGGTAAGATCAACCTATGACATCGGAAAAATGGAAAAGTCTCAAGCTTGCTCGCTAACACCGACCTCTCAGCATTCATTGTTCTCGCATGGGTAAGATATTTGGAGAACATTGCATCATTCAATCCTCTTTCATCATTGACTTTTTCTCTCAGGTGTTCTCACTTGGAACACAAGTGACCTCTATCTGTACGTTATCCTCGAACTGATTCAATTGGTCTACGGGCTGTTCCCTAACATGAATCTCCCCAGGCTCATACAAATATGGCGGAGTTGGCATTCATATGTGGAATGTTACCCAAGAAATGCTTGACGCTTACGAAAAGGTATTTGGAGAGCTCATAGGTACTGTTTCCATGTCTTGAACCAAAGTTAACTAGTAGAGGGTACACTAGATCCTCCTCGCTGCCGCAGTGGTATATGTTCCCGCCCTTGCATTCGCCAAAATGAGCCTCATCTTTCTCTACCGTCGCATTATGAACAAACAATGTGTATACAATTGGGCGCTCCACATCATATCTTCAATTGTGTGTGGATATAGCTTTGCAATCATATTTGCCTTGGTATTTGGATGCAACCCCATTGAAAAAAGCTGGGATTCGAGTATCACCGACGGGACATGTGTTGATCGCAACGGGCTATATATTGCCACAGCCGTAACCAACATTGTCACCGACTTGGCACTGATATTACTCCCTATACCACTTGTGGTGGGATTGCAAATGCCAAGTATCCAAAAGGTTTATCTGCTGCTAATTTTCCTGATCGGCTGCGCGTAAGTTGAGCAGAGCCTACCCACTACCCTGGAGCAATCGTGATAGCTGACAATCTATGAATATACCCAGGACGGTGATTACCAGTATCCTCCGACTTGCCACCTTGGTCCCATTTTTAACCGCACAAGATGTGACATACCAGTTAGCCTGGCCACAGATTTGGATGTAAGTTGACTGTCAGAACATTTGTTCCAGGGATTTGTTATCTAACCTTAGATTCGTTTGAACCCCAGCAATGTGGAAGCAAATCTCATTGTGATATGCCCTTGTCTTCCATCCCTACGTCAGTTCATGAGGCATCATGTTCCAAGATGGGTTGGCGAGCTCAGCAGTAACGCACGACGTTACAATGCAACATACCACCCAGGAAGCGTTTCTCGCAATCGCTTCAAGCTCGGTTCCTCGCAACAACCCGATGAGATCGCGCTTACTGAGAATGGTGGAAGCATTCATATGGATTCAAGAATTGTAAAAGAGGTTCAGTGGAACGTTACAGAAGAGCGGGTGGACGCAGTGAGACCTCACTTTCAAAATACTTGAGTCGTCTGATTGGTCCCTAAGGGGTCCATGCGAGCATTAAACCTCACTGGCCCACGCTCTAGACATATGAACCAGCCCTTTGTACTTTAAAGAAATAATTAGATTGTAGTAAGTAACAAAGCTACATGAAAAACAGAACAAACTGTCACATCAGGAGACCATGCGACTGAGAGGCGATTTGGCTGGCTTCCATTCGAGGTGCTTTGGGATGCGGACCCTTGGTTTCTGAGACTCGAGTTGCCATTGCCAAGTGTAAAAGTTGTTCCATGTCGGAACGGGCTCATTGTCGACCATTCCGTTGGCAATGATGTATTTTGAGGGATTCCAGAGTCCCGTGTCCGAAGGGTCAGTGAGGATGGAGCCATCCTCATTTTCCTCATCCATCCATCGTCCGTGTGGCGAGTATAGTCTGCGAACACGTCCTTCGACGGCCTGAGCGAGGTCACTCCCGCTAAGCTCCCAGATAATGTTGTCAAGATCCTTGATGTCCACGACGACTGGATCTAGGAAATTGACGGCCCGGTTCAGAATCGATTTAACCCGGACTTTGGAGCTTCCGGTAGGGACTTTAGGGGCCGTGAGAATTATGGCCAAGGATTCCTCCGGGGAAGTCTTTGTAGGGTGAAAAACTGGCTTTCCGTACCAGTTGTAGTGGTGGGCTTGGGGCTGATCTTTTGTGAAAGCCGCTCGTTCCTTCCATTTGGTAACTACTGGGTGTTCCAGATCGTTTGATGTGATCTGTATGATAAAGCTGACTATTAGTAAATAATAGAATCACAAAAATTCTCGCAACTTGCCTCTTTGTCTTTGTTTCCTGCTTCATCCCGAATCTTGGAAATCTCCTCGTGCCTTGGAGGGTCAGAGGCCAAGAAAATGATTTCTGCCGGGGTTTCCTGGTTGACGACAACCGCCGGGGCGTTCAGGTGATACATGTCTGGATTTGCGTCTCTTCAGGAAATACAACATTATCATTTGATTGAAACATCGCACTTGAGCAAAACGTACCGATTTGTTGAAAAGCTTTTAGGATGTATGAGAGAGAGTTGGTATTGTGTCTGCAGTTGGATACGACACGAGCTGGTCAAGACAAGAGTTTAGAAGGACAGGATCTGGATGAATGAAGTAAAGTCTGAATAGGGTCAAGTATGAATAGGGTCAAGTATGAATCACCTGAGGGAGGCATGGAGCTATTTCCAAGGTTGGCCTGTCCGTTGATATTGGAGTACATCGAGTCCTTGAAAATCAGGCCAGCAGTTGTCTTTCACGTCTCGCCATCGACGACTCCCATCAAATGATTCATTTTTTCCTCCACATTCCTCCCCTCTCCATCGATGATACGGGTAACCCAGCTCCCTCGCGGTTCCAGCCTAAACTTCACTTCTCTCGGCATCGTCATAAACCCTGCCACTGCCATCTCCCAGGGATCCACCACTTCGTCATTCATAGGTTGGATATCGAATGCCAGAGTATTGACGCAATTTTCATATATAGTCCATCCATTGCAACCCGCTTGCCTTGACACATGCGCCGGCCCTGTCCAAAAACAGGCAACGGGAGCTCTGTCATCAGTTTTTCCTCCCCATTGCCATCAACTCTCAACCATCTCTCGGGCACAAAGTCGTCAAGACCCCCGAGCGCGGGATCAAAAACCTTTGCGTCGCGGCCGATGGCCCAGGCATTTGCCATGATTGTGACACCTTTCTTGATCTTAATGCCATCAAGCTCATCGTCACGATCTGCCCGGCGTGGAATGGCCCCCGGTGCGATTGGGCGCCATCGCAAAATTTCGTTTGCGATCGCATCAATGAACTTGAGCTCTGCTCGATCCGAAAACCGCGGCATCCGGTCGTGACCAACAACCTCATCGAGCACAGTATGTGCACGTGTTACAAAAGACGGATTGTGCAATGCTGCAGTGAACAGCCATAGCAGTTGCCTTGGGAATGTCTCCATTCCGCCTTGAACAGATGTGGCCATATTGAAGGCTATATCAATGTCCGGCACCTTATTGACGGCGAAGTTTTCCGCCGTGGCGATTGCTTGTTTCGTCGAGTTCCAGCCTGGCGATTGCCTTCCGTGATTGAAAAGGCGCATATAGAGGTCAACTTGGGCTGCGTATAGCTTGTCAGCAGCACGCTTCCAAGGTGACAGCAATGCTGGCACATGGCGCAGAGCTGGAATGAGATCCGGGAATCTGGGAGTCGCTGCAACATGAGTGATCTGTGTCTGAATATTGATAATCTCGTGCATCATCTTGTCTTCGCAGTCGGGAATGCGCAGGCCATAATGAAGTGACAGAATAATGCTCGCCTGGGTGCGTTCCAGAAGTGGGAAGATGGAATGCGTACTGATTCCTCCAGGTGATGTCCGCGCCGCAGTCAACAAGTCAAACAAAAGTTGTTTAGACTCAAGTGCTATCAATGGCCGATATCGCGGGGACCCAAGCGCACCAAGACTGGGTGCCAGGATTCGATGGTGCAGTTTCAGATGCTCATCGTAGTCATGCATGAGAGTAAACTTGGACTTTCCCGGTTTGTCGTCTGTGATCATTTCCATGCTCACCGACGCCGGCCGGTTGCTGTACCACTGGCTGCGACGACTGAACAACTCAGTCACTGCGTCATAGGAGTTCAAGACAACAACAGGGATGATCCCAAAAAGCTTCGATATTGCCACAGGGCCATTTGCCTCCGCCCAGGAGTCCCAGTTCTGCAATGGCTTGCTCAGAGGAGAACTGTGCAAATCTCCGATGAGGGGAAGCTTGAGCAGCTTGGTATCTTCACCCACATTGATTTTCGTCCATTTGAAACTGAGAAAAGTTGCTGAAAGGGCTATTGCAAGTACGGTCAATGCGAACGTGAGGATCATGGCGACTACTGATGTCGAGTGGACGTTGAAACAGTCAGAAACTTTGGCGACCTACTGGAATCCACATATCGCACACGTATTACGAATGACTGCATGAATGCGGAGTCTAAGAGTTACTATAGCCGTTAGCGTGGTATGAATACTACGAGTAGGCGAGCCCAGGGCTGACAACGCTAAGGAAATGCGGGATATAGCACGGAGCACGGATTAGGCTACCTGTCAGTGGATAAGCAGTACTTGGCGCGCTAACCAAGTCGCTTGATAGATTAGACATCATTATACGGAGTAGTTAGGGTGTCGATGCATCAATCCCCTATAGTTACTTGATCTGATAATTCTCCAGAGGCTCAAGCTTCACTTCATGGCATCCTTTGCAATGTATGGAGTTGCCATTCTATGACTGCTTCTTGGCATGGGCCGGAGATCTACAGCAATAACCCATGGATGTCAGGGCTTGAGCTTCTGCCAATACATGAAATCGAGTCAGGTTCTGGTCCACGGGTAGTCCCTTCCTCAGGTTGCCAGCGCCTGCCATTACTGCGCCTTCCTTATGTGACATTTGGTCTTGTTTATTTCTTTGCGTTCATAGCCCGTTGTTATTGACGTCTCATTTTCTCCAGTCTTGTCTTTCTGAGCACTTTAGTCTTACATATTCACCACTGTATGAGATATCTACGCCCACGATGTTGTTAGGATTGCCTCTTGTTTTGCTGATCCAGGTCTGCTGGTTTGCTCCTGGTCTGGCAGATTCCACTCCCACGGTGGTATGTTCTTGCTCTCCGAAGTGAAGAGAGGGACTGACCGGACAGACAATTCCATTCGTCGCACGCGAGCCCGACTACTTCAAAGGCTATGGAGGCAAGGTTATTGGTGCAGTGCGTATTGCATTTCGGTCGCCAGACTCGCAAACGACTGACTTTTCGACAGAGCGCGGAGACGACCACGTACGCGGTCAATTGTCTCCCAGATGTCTCCTGCCACGGATTTACACCCGATTTGACTGTGGTTTACGCTCCAAAAAGTAAGTGTCATCTTGAGAATCCTTTGAACCACAAATCTAAAGTCCAGTCAAGCGTACGGTCTTACTGCCCAAGGTGTTCGGTTTGATCTCACCTCCGACTGCATCCTCGTTGGCTCCCCAGCCCCTACTCAGGCGACCTGCATCGCAACCACAGCCTCTCACGCAGCCAACGTGATCGTTACAAATACTGTCACTGCTTCAGTCGCTTCCGATTCTTCACTTGGGATTTACCCAGCACCCTTGCCGGTGACCAACACTGGAACCTTCTCCGGACCTCTTGCTGTGAATACCGCCCAGGTCCCTACTACGACCCAGAGCCTCATTGGGATTGCCCCAACCACCGGGGAGAGAATTTCAATCGCAACTGAATCCCCAACTTTTGGTATCTGGACCGAAATTGGACTTTTTACAGCAACTGGCACTTGGGTTCGTCCGAGCTCTGGTACATTGACTGGGCGTTTGAATCAAACGGGGCCTGTTGTAGCTGCACCCTCGCGCGCGGACACGAATGGCACCGTAACTGTGACTGTGACTACCACGGTACTTCCCACCGACGTGGAGTGTCAGTGTCTCTGTGATTGCAAGAACGCGAGTTCCGCGGGCCCCACATCCACCGAGTCTGCGACAGGGAAGAACAATGCGGCAAAGGCGGGGACATCGGTGACATTGATGTTGGAGTTGCTGTTTGTCGCTGGATTCTGGGGTGGATTGTGAGTCTGTGATTGTTGGTTATGTTGAACACTTTGGAATGAATGGGATGTGCTACTCCGCTGCCCATGAAACAATTTGGAAGTGAGATTGAGTCTTTTTTCCCCTAGCACATCGCAGAGTCGAAAAAAGCACGGACTAATTCCGCCCCTCAATAGTGGAACTGCTTGGTAAAAAATTGATAATAATGCACGGGATTAATAATGTTCCCCCTAAATTTAACTAGGAAGACTTCTGCAGTGGACACCGGGCTTCTACGAGTTATGTGCCGCTGACAAAGTCGGCATTAGTTAACTCCGTACATCCGATGCTTCCAGTGATTCTGATTGGCTGCAAGTGGCGTTTTCATTGGATCCGAGTATACAATGCCCCTCAGGGAAATTTATTCGCACCGCGTTGTATATAAGCCCCTTCGCACTTCATTCACTTGATACAACTTCACTCAATATTTCACAAAATGGGCTCCACTCAACCTGAATTCAAGAACCCGGCTACTACCAGCTTGCTGGAGCTGGTCAAGTCCCGCCGCACCTACTACGGCCTCAAGGCGGAGAGCCCTATCTCTGACGATGCCATTGAGCAAATTGTCCGCGACTCGGTGCTTCATGTGCCCAGCTCTTTCAACACTCAAACATCTCGTGTCGTCCTTCTCCTGAAGGAGGAGCACCAAAAGGTGTGGGACATTGCTATCAACGCTCTGGAGGGCCTCGTTGCCGCCGGTGTCGTCCCCAAGGAGCAATTCGAGACCTCCACCAAGCCTAAGCTGAACTCTTTCCGCGCTGCTTACGGAACTGTACGTTTCATTTGAACCCGACCTAGGGACTTTGCAAGCTGACCATCTGGCACAGGTTCTCTTCTTTGTTGACTTTGAGTCTCTTGCTCCTATCAAGGAGAAATTCGCCATCTATGCTGACAAGTTTGATCCCTTTGCCACTGAGTCCAATGCCATGTCTCAGTATCTCGGTATGTGTTTCTCCAGTTTGATCTTTGCTCCGGCAAGTCATAAACTAACAATAACTAGTCTGGGTTGCTCTTCAATCCGAGGGCTTCGGTGCTAACCTCCAGCACTACAGCCCCCTGATCGATGAGCAGGTCGCCAAGACCTGGAACATCCCTGCCTCGTGGAAGTTGGACGCTCAGCTTGTCTTCGGTGCTCCTACCTCTGAGCCCGGTGAGAAGGCTTTCGCTCCCATTGAGGACCGTTTCAAGGTCTTCGGCAAATAAATATAGATTATAGAGGAAGAGCATGATGGTTCAGCATTATGAATGAAATAGCGTTGATTTTCACATGAATACTCAAGTGCAGGTGCTGTACTTTGTACAGCGTACATATTACTATTTACTCGTAGCCGACAGCCCGATAGATCTTATTTCACAGATCTCACAGCCTGGGGCACGGGGACATCTCACAAATCTCGACAGGGAGAGGATCTGCCAACCATGACGTTGCATACATGCACGGCGATCATGATCAGCAAAGCTTGGTGCATCTATCCGAGTCCACCTGAGAGACAATATTCGAGACTCCAGCCGAATAGACGCGGCACACAACCATGGGCACGTTTGTGGATGAAACATATTCGAAGGTCTGCGGGATACGGTGGGTCAGAGACGATGGAGCTCTATCTAAACACCAAAAGCCCCAAGGTGAAGGAAGCTATGGCCAGTTGCATCCCCTGGTTGTCGATCACTGTAGATTTCGGTCTCATTGTAAGAGAACCATTGCCAACGTCACAAGATGTGTCAGTATTTCAAAGACAGTGTCAAAGATCGGCCTCCTGCAATGACCCGAGGTGGCACGGAGAACGGACTACTGCGTACGAGTACTCGTACTCCGTAGAGGTGCTCCTTTTTCTGTTCGGCCACGGAAATCGGATTCCGCCGTGCAAACCTCGATCCCGAGCATCCGATTGGGTATTGAGATTGAAAAAAAAGAAAACCTTGAACTATCGTGTCAATCGGTCAATCATTCGATCCCTGACCTTCACAGCTGACGACGTTGGTTGCTTCGCAATTCATTCTCAACCAAGTACGGAGTAGCATTCCGTGCATCTCACATGTATGGGGATGGGGTCCACTCGAGGATTCGTTTCACGTTCTTTGCGATAACCATGTTTGATGCTTAGACTGCCCCTTGTATTGATGCCCTGGTCAAACCTGATCAAAGACAAGTGGAAGATCCCGTAGGGAACTATGCATCCCTAGATCGAGTGCTTGACTGGGCAGGAATCGCCCTTTTTGAACACGACTGCTGGGGTAAACAAGATTTGAATCAGCTCAGTGAACGTACGCGCAATCGTCCGCAAGGGATTTGGAAGAACTGACAACCTCAAAATGGACCTGAACTATACGAGTACAGGTGAAAATAAGCACTGGTTGGAAAACGGGAAAGGCTTGCCCACTTTTGACTCCACTGTTAGATCACCACACAATATTTAGTCGCCACAGCTGCTTCTTTCTTTTCTTCTCTTCACCCCTAGGACTTTTTTTTTGTATTCAAAGTTACTTTGCACCGCGGTTGAGACCAACGATGCCACTTGAGCAAGCGCACGCGGGCGCAGATCCTGCTAATGCACGCCTAGATGCAATCTCGGCCCAAGACGGTGATTCAGCACCGGTTTCGAGTCGGTCATCAATGTCCTATACAAGGACATATTCAACCCCAGCGACCGGTGCACAAACACCCGATCCGCTAATGGGCAATGGCGCCGTCGTGGACAAAGTTGCTCTCCAAAATCTCGCCATCAAAGACTTCAGCAATGGAAATGAACCCGAGAGCTATGCGCTCGACAACCAAATGAAAAACCGAAAACCCTCAGTCTCGGTTTCCCGTCGTCGGGACGATCTTTCCGGCGAAGAGTCGGCTTCTCCGATACGCGGCAAGCAAGGCATCCCGCCCGAGCTCCCGAGCTTCACAGCCGAACTCATCATGATCTTCGTCTGCTCGGCCGGTCTTATGCTCTTCTCATTCCTGCTGGGGGACATGCTCGCGCCCCAAGAGCAAATCAAGAAGGCTTTAGGGATCACCAGCACGGAGATCCCCTGGGTCGTCGGCGCCTTCAACACTGCCAACGGCCTGTCGGTTATCATCTCCGGCTCGCTAACAGACCTCATGCCTCCGAAACTCCTAATGGTCGGAGCCTTCGCCTGGCTCGCCGTTTGGAATATCGTGGGTGTATTCACGCTTCACCCATCCAGATACGTCTTATTCTTCGTCATGCGCGCCATGCAAGGTCTCGCCATCGGGGTCCTCGTCTCCGGCAGCATGAGTATTCTCGGGCGCGTTTATAACCCCGGTGTGCGCAAGAACCGCGTTTTCTCCGCCATGGCTGCGACTGCTCCGTTTGGCTTTTCCCTCGGTGCCATTCAGGGTGGAGCCCTGTACCAGCATCTTCCGTGGATCTTCGGTTCAAATGCTATCATCTGCGCACTGCTCTGTGTCGCAGCCTGGTATGCCATCCCATCTCTTCGCCCGATGGCCGATATCGCCGGTACCGAGGCCCCGTCAATCAAGCAGTTCGACTATATCGGTGGGTTCTGTGCTGCTGGCGGTTGCGTGTGTCTTTTGTTTGGTCTGACACAGGGACCTGTCGCCTCGTGGTCTCCGTACACTTATGTGCTCATTATCATTAGCTTCATTCTTTTCACTGGGCTATTCTTCGCCGAGCGCAAAGCCGTCCGCCCACTCATTCCCAATCGTCTCTGGCGTACACCTGGCTTCACTCCACTGATGATTGCTTATTTCCTGGGCTTCGGTTCTTTCTTCGGTTGTTGGCAATTCTACGCGATCCAATTCTGGTTGCGCATTCAGCACGCCAGTCCAATTGCAGTGGCTCTTTACCATATCCCTAATGCCTTGGTCGGTGTACTCGCCACGGTGATTGTTGCCAAGACCTTGCATCTCGTGCCTGGACACTACATCTACGCTGTGTCCATGCTGGCATTCACGCTTGGGTCGGCTTTCTTCCTGCCCCAAACAGCGAATACCACTTATTGGGCATTGTCGTTCCCTGGTATTACATTGGTGACATTTGGCCCCGACCTTGCTTTTGCTGCGGCTTCAATTTTCATCACGAGTAATGTCGAGCGGTCTTATCAGGGAAGTGCGGGCGCTCTCCTGGTCACGAATCAGAATCTGTCATCTGCTATCATGACTAGCGTTGCTGATGCTATAGGTACCCGTGTCGACAGGGGTGCTGATGGAGAGATCGGCCTTGATGGACTGCATGCTATCTGGTGGTTTGCACTTGCGGCGCAGTTGCTTGGCGCGTTGGTGACTATTGTTTGGGTCAGAATTCCCAAAGAGGAGGAGAAGGAACATGTAACTTAAAAAGCGAAATTTCCCAAGCCTTTTGTATAGAATTAGATATTTTGGATATAGATACGCTCGGGCGGAATATGTATACGTTTCACGATATTTCTCTTCCCGGCCATTTAGGTGGAAGTATTAAGCCGTGGAAACTTTAAACACCTTTCTTTGATATAGACTATTCAAAGCTGTAGAGGTCCAGCTATTCCAAAAGTTCTAAAGTTTTCGTCGTCAGTTTGACTCTGGTGTGATGTGAAAAAAATGTACCTATAGCCCATAGGCGAAGAAGAGAAAATTAAGGAAATAGAGACAGAAATGTCAGCCGACCACCCAAAACACAAGAACCATAACCATGGAAAGAAAACAAAAAGTCCACCGTCAATATACACCGTCGCAATGCAATCATCAAGTGAAAACGAAAACCTCCAACCCAAACACAACCTGAAAACATAAAAAGAGAAATTGAAGCCCTATAATCATCACGCCTCCATAACCAACTTTTGCTCGCTGGTGTTCCCAAACTTGTGGTCCTCCTGCACGACAGTCATCTCAGTAGTAACTTCAATGCCAGAAAAGGAGCTATGGCTGGTGCGGTCACCTTGCTTGACATTGATAGAATACATGTCAAACTCCTTATCGTGGTTCTGGCTGAACAGCTGGGTATGTCGTGTCTGAGTGCGAGTTCCCGTGGCAGTGGTACCGACTGGTCTCGTCCCTGTGTATCGGTTGTAGCTGGCTGTAGATAGGAGATTGGGGAAAATGCGGCTGATGATTGGGCGCAAAAAGGGCAGACACGAGCAGATAATGGCCACATTGCATTCTGCAGCGGTCCAGTAAGCAGCTCCAACGTTGCTATCTGATGAATAAATTAGTTCAAATACACGAGCCAAGTGATGGGAATGGTGGAGACTGACAAGATGTGTCCGTGCTGTTCGCTACTTCGCGGAGACTCGACAGACGGAGAATGCTAGTGACAACCACTAGGATTCCCATTGCAAAGACGCCCATCAAAGCAAACTTTTGCATGCGAGGGAGCTGTAGCTGAGATAGAAGTGGCATTGGCAGAAGAAGAAGGGCAATATCGGTTGCAATGTTCATGGAGGCATTGAAAAACCAGACGGCTTCGAAGTTGAGACAATTTCCGGGCAAATCGTGGTTCCAGAACTTTGCCACGGGCACACAATTCACGTAGCCGCTCACAATGGCCCAGCTCGAATAAGCAGCCACGATGGCCATCACTACGTAGCAGGCAATGCGGAATGGTCGACCCGGGAAGATTCGAAGATATTGGAAAAGAATAGAGAACTTGGTGAAGGCCAAGCTGGCGTTGTACATCGGAATAGCAGCCCACAAACACTAAGAAAATGTCAGCATCTCAATCAAAAAGAAGTCGGGGACCAGGTTTGTTCAATAAGACATACTTTAAGTTGTTGCTGTAATGTGTGACTAGAGAGAAGCGCAGAGTGGACACCCATACTATAGTTGAATTCTATGCACAATGTCAGCAAGGGTCGTTTTGAAAGATGACCAAGATTGTGACTCACGAGCGGCGACAAGTGCAAGGTAGATTATGGAAAAGACCTGGTAAACGTGGTATATTAGCCGTCTGATCAACACCGATCAAAGATATACTGCGATAGGAACATACCAATGAGATCAGAATAGCCCAATCCTCACGACCGGTAATTTTCATCAGACCAAGTCGAGCATATAGGCGCATTGCGACAATGACGGTGGAGATAGCCGTTAGAACGACAGTCACAACCAAGGCCCGCTTGCCACGAGCTGCTCCATTGTCCTCGTCACGGGAAACAAGTGTGTGAAGAAGCCCCTCCATATCGAATATTCAGCGTAAAGAGTGAATTTGACGGTAATTGTAAAATGAGTGTGAGGAGGTGTTTCAAATTGAATTGATCACGTCCTGGATAGGAGAGCTAGCACGGATAACCCCACAAAGACACAGCTTACTGCATCTAGCACAGGTGGATTGATATGAAAAGAGATACACACACAACGGCATCTGATTTTCAAACAGGAAAGAATCCTTCTCGAGCGGAGGCAAAGGGCTTTTGAACCCAGTTTGGACGTCGATCACAGCCAACGCAAACTGCGGAGTATGATGATTCTCATGCATGGAACGAGCAAACTTTGTTGCCCGCGTCCATTGGCATCCACGACGGACCCCGAATAGTGTGTTCAATAGTGTTACACCAGGCAGCGATCCCAAGTGCATATCCGGGTTGCTGGGAGCGTTAGCCTGACGAGAGGGCGTTTTAGACGCAAGCCATGTGGTCCACATGCACGCAACACGCATAGAGAATATTGCTGCCGAAGCTCTTAGCACGGCACTTAGTTGCCTGGTCTCCACTCTGGTCGTCGAAAATGGGTCCCCATGGCACGGTGTTCCGACGCTATCATTTGAGGTGGTGACCAAAACGGGTTGAGGATTTTCATGTGGCTGCCGGTTCGTCCATGGAAATCCCGAGTTGCCGTTGGATCTTCTCTCAGTACTCCGTACTCCGTATGAGTAGTATGTACATACGAGTAGATTGGGAGAGTTGTGAACGGGCCTCTGTACACTGAGACCCACATGGACACCAGGCCGTCTCTTCACTAGATGTTGGTACCGGAAGAATGCATAGCTCAGGGTAGTATTATGACCCGTTGTTCTCAGCTGCTGTGTCCCGCCCTATTACTCCGTATGTGTGATCGTGTTCTCCGCTTACTCCGTGGCGGAGATCGTGCGGTCTTCAGTGCATCCAATGTACATGTATGCAAGGGTCGAAAACATTCTGGAAATCGCAGAATATTCGCTGCATGGCACTCAATACCACGGAGAATAAGCACTAGAGATACTCCGCAGCTCGGCAAAGGTCCCCCAAGAGGCTAAGAAGTGGGAGAGATCGACTGTCAAAACTTGACGGAAAACAGTGATCGCTCGCGTTCTTTCCTAATTAGGGTTCACCCCTGACAATACACTGTTTTTCATCGTCTTTCTTTTGGCTTTGTGCATACGAGTAGTATAGGGTGCTCCGTAAGGAGAACTGCACTTTACACTTTCTCGGCTTGAGTTATGAATGTTCCCCACGCCGTCAAGTATCAAACAGGCTATCAAAAGCTAAAATTTGATGATCCTCGTATGTAGCCCCTGATGCTGTACACCACACACTAAGCCCCCCAGACTCCGCAATAATCGCCACACTTCAATAATGCAGTGGATCTCAAAGACGCCATACTATATCTGCTCACATGAGAGAACAATCTCAATGGAAACAAACCAGCCCCTGCGACAGGACATGCTATTGCGGCATCAGTCCGTGTGTTGAGCTCCGTGTAGCGGACATCCTCAGGGCCCAGGGTTGCATGATTGTTTCTGTTGCGACATCCAACACGGAAACCCTACATGATCATGGTTGCCTCGAGGTGCTCATGTCCATTGCCGAGCTATTCAACACACATGATCGACGTGCAATTTGGTCATGAACCGAACAGTGTACAGTACTTTTGACACTTCATCCACATCCCTATCATCCAATACATCCATTGGAATGCATGCATTAGGTTCATTTTGCTTCAAATTTGAGGCTTTCTTGTCACGCTAGTGCGAGATCTCGATCACTTCTCGGCATTATTGTTTCCACTTCGTCAACCTTGAAAGGCTGAGTTCCAAATACACATGCGGACTGGGATAAATCGACCATTCTACAAGTACTCCGTAGCCCAAGGTGGCTCGAGCCGCATCTCGGTTCTGACTCAAATTTGCAGACCTCTAAAATATTGAATAGCGTGGTCTTGCGTGCATATTGTAGCTTGCCATGACGTTTTGGGAATCTAGAAGAATGGGCACGTACCAACCATAATTGATCGTAGGTGATTGTTCCCAAGTTGGGATTTACCCTGGTCTCCTGTGGAACAGAATTGTCACATTAGCTTTTTGAGTTTGTGTTGATGCCTTGCCTTGAACGAGTCAAAAACGCCGAAGCAGAGCAACGGAGAAAGAAACTTGCGATTTTACCATGTATATGGTGAAAGATGAGCCGCCTTCTTAAATCTCCATCCACGGGCTGGTATGATAAGAACCTAGCGTGTGGGGCTATTCACAGCTGGTTTTGGAATTCGAGAAGAGCACCGAGGCGCTCTGGGTGTTAGCTTACAGCACTCGAGGTCAGTGGCCATGATTACGATATCTTCAGATTCTCCGCGCTGGAGAGAATGGGGCAATTTATAGGAAAGACAAGTGTCATTTCGGGTAAAAAATAAAGTAATTCCACATTAAAATACAGTCCAGACACGTTTTTTTGAATAAGACAGCCAGGAAGACCCAGCAAAGTGAATGGTATCTTTGTGCGCCATTTATCTCACGAGAACACCGAGTTGCAAAACATTATCCGAATCTCATTATTTTCGTCACTGCTTGGAAAGATCTCCAAGAAGTGGGTTCTACCGTCTCATCTCCGCCAATTCACGCTCTTTGGCCCGGAGCATCTCGCGCATTTGCTCCGCTTCGCGTTCCAGTCGCGCACGGCGATCGACTGAATCACCCAGAGATGCAATGCCGGGGAGATGCTGATGTGGGTGGGGAGAAGGAGAGACAGAGGGATGGAGATGTTGAGGACGAGCCATGTTGGGATCGGGGCGAGACTCGCCTCGAGAGTCCGATTGGTTCAAAATGGAGGAAATAGAGCTGAGGCGGCCAGGCGGAGTTGGATTGGCAGAGGACATGATTGGAGGTAGTTGATTTGAGCCTCCTTCCAGGGTGGTGGGGGCTGGTAACACTTCCGTCGTCTCGGCCAATGTTCGCTTTTTGGGGAGGTTGATGGAATTGGGGGATGCAGACCGTCGGCCGTACTGAGAGACGGGCGAATGCCCCAGTCGCTCCACGCCCAGTGGTTTTGGCAGACTGTGGGCAATTGGCAGACCGTGAGGAATGGGGGCGTCATAGCCAGTAAAGTCGACTGGGGGTGGCGCGAAAGGCAAGGGTCGGGGTGCGTCTTCCATTTTTCCAGGTATCATTTGGTAGTGATCCGCCGGCTCGCTGCTCATGTAGCGGTAGTGGTCTTCATGGCCGTGCGGCAGGGTAGCGGGCGAGGCTTCTGGGGAGGCGGATGAGCCATTAGATGAGAGGGTGGCTGCAGTGGGGGATTGATCTCGTAGAGCGGGAACTACACGTTTTCGACGTTTGATGATAGACTTCTTCATATTTGTGGGGCGATAACATCCGTGCAGCTTATAGTACAGTCCTGGTCGTTGTCAGCAAATGATAGCGTTCGGGGTTATCGAGGCCATAACATACCACAGGCATTGCAAATCGGATGGCCCTGTTCATCGCGACGCCACAGAGGAGTCACAGTTGTACTGCAGTTTTGACACGCTACTAATGTGTTGTTGCCATCGACGGGAGGAGGCTTGACGGCCGGCTCGTCTGGTTGTACCGGTTCAGGCTCCTGCACCGACGGACGTCCCCACGAAGATTGGATTGCAGCCGTCCCTCGGGGAGCGGACTTGTAGATGCGGTTGTTGTAGGCTGGACACCCATCACATCCCTCGGCACCACCAGTACCATTGCAACTTCCCCCACCCGGGCAGGATCCTTTACAACCACCCCCTTCAGATGGCGTGCAGCCCGCCGAGTGGGTCGTGGTAGGAGGCGGCACCTTTTCGGCTCCCTCAGATTGCATGCGATTCCGTTTTGTGGGGCGGGCAACGTTGCGAGCCTTGAGGTAGAGACCGCAGGCATTACAAATCATCGCACCCGTTGGCGAGCGACGCCAGAGTGGGGTGCTTTTCGTGCCGCAATTACTGGAGAGAAGATCGAAAGGTTAGCCCTATAATGAACTGCAACAAGGACTCAATCGTCCTGAATCACACGTACCTGCACGAGTGTCCTAAGAATGGTGTGTCCTTTTGGCCCTTGGGCGACATTGTATCGGCCGGAATCTCGGCTGGTCCGTGTCCAATCCATCGATCTGATCCTGGTTGACTAGACCCTTGAATGGCCTGATCCTCACGGTAGTGTTCTGCCAGGTGCTCACGGCCGGCTTGAGCCGAGGAGATCAACTGCTGCGCGGCATCCAGGTCTTCGGCCGAGGGTTGTCGCATTGGAACGTCCGGGTTCCGAGGCAGAGAGTGAAGCGCTTCCATTTGTGGAATGGACGCTAACATTACCACCTGAGAGATGGGCCGTGATTCGGCCTTTTGAGATCTGAGCGGCGGAATTGGGAGTGGAAACGAAGGGAGACCGAAGAAGATCCGCGAGAGAGGGAGGGAAAAAAAGTGAGGGTTATGTCGTACCGCAGTCAAGAGCAGAATAGACCGTATCACTTGAAAGACCAAATGTCGGTCAAGCTGACAGATGAAAGATAAGTCAGTTCCGGCAGGAACGAGCTGCAGCCACGGTGCTGCAGGCTCGGAGAAGCACAGGGTGGACAGTGACTCGGGAAGTCGAAGTCGTTCGGATTGCGAGGGGAATCAAACGGTCCTCAGGTTTCCAAGACCCGCCACCAAGATCAACGGCCACTATGGAGGAGTGGCGACCCAACGGCGTGGGACGGTCAGGTGATGCGTATTGCGACGGCTTTGACAGCACAGCAAGACTGACTAGGCTGTGATCGTGGAGAGACGGTCTCGTTTAGGGACTGGGGGGCCGACGCAAAAGGACGATTCGCAAGACAGGGATTGGCTGAGAGGCTAGGGAGCTGCAAGAGGGTGATCACTCCACGTTAGGAAGAAAGCACAGACGTGCAGATAAGAGCAGAGAGGGAAATGGGGGAAAGAGAGAGAGAGGAAAGGGTAGAAGGTAAAGCAAAGTCTCGAAGGTTTCAGAAGCCGAGAGTGTGGACGGTGCAGACGGTAAGTCCGACAAAGAGGATCTTCGATGGTCCTTATCAGAAAAAGGGATTTGGGGAATTTTGGGTTTATCGATCTAAGAAGGGGGGGATCTACGGGCATATCAATCTATCACTTTAGATTGACCACGCACATCTCATCTACATAATCACATTTACGTGCTTACGATGGCCTGATACGTTCTTTAAGATCCTGTATCACCTTCAATGCAGAAATCTGAATTTTCGACATGATTCTGTCAAGCGTCCCCAGATCGCATCATAGCGACTCCACCGTGGTCTCGATGCAGTTTAGCAGCGAAAGAGAAAAGCAGAAAACAGAAAAGAAATAGAAGAAAAGTGGAAATCGCTCCTTCCCATTGCCAGCTACCAGTGGGGCTCCGAAGGCAAGCAGAATTGTACGCCCTCTGATTGGCTCCGGCCTCTGGTCCGTCGGTCAGCAATACTCTACGCGTTCCGATTGGCTGCAGATGCCCTGGAACCTGCCGAATGTGGCCACCTGTACTTTGGGCGAACCCAATCAACGTGGCAAACGATGACTCTCGTGGTTTCCGTGATTAATGCGTGTAGAGCCCTCGGCATTTACTTGCCAAGTTTCCCCCGATCGTGGGTACCTGAGTCTCGGTACTGTGTTATCAGATGTTGGTAATCAATAATTCATTAGAAGCTAGACTCAAACTAGCTGCCATTTCCAAATATAGTACAGGCCTCTGCTTTGTCCTCGTATCAACAAAAAATCTCGACCCTCATCTTTCGGCCCCGTTCATACACTGACATTGCCGGTAGGTCATCTCACTCATTGCGCATAGTCTAAAGGCCGTAGATCAATTGACCCTCAAACCCAGGCACTATACCGATGCATACAGTTCGGACCATGGGAACTGGTCATTGCCGGCAATTTAAACCTGCTCGGCACCCCAGCCCTGGTCGGCCTCGCGCATGTTGGAAGGAGGCTCAATGGAGGGGATGAACTCGAGGGCAACGTAGGCAAGACCGATGAAGCCAATCAGCGAACCGTCGATAATGCGAAGCACGTGGTCGTGCAGCAGGATAGAGCCGATGAAGATGTAGACTGATCAATTAGCCATCTCATGTCGCCGAGAGATGAGGCGGAAGCAACTTACAGACACCACGACCCAGGAAGGAGAAGAGGAATGACGCGTAGCGGTAGGCGTAGTCCGGAACATGAGGCAGGAACTCAAGACCACCGACGACTGGGGCAAGATTAGCTGGCTGTCGCTATTTGACCTTGAAAATTCCATAGAAACTCACCAAGACCGAAGGCAACGGCGTAGGCGCCTAGGATGAAGGAGCTCCAGCTACCGCTAAAGAAGTTACTGATGCCACCAAGCACCATAAACACGCCAACGGCAATGTTGAGAATATATATACATCCATGGATTGACAGAGGCATATATCTTGTAGCTTACAGAATGCTGGCAGTTCGATACTATTTTGAGTAATGCGTAGCTGGCGTACTCCGTAAGTCGGGCGTGGGATATTGCAACAGAAACAATTAACAACCGAAGGCTGAAACTTTAGAAGTGAGGGAAAGCAACCTCAGATCAGCAATGCGATGAAATCCAAACCTCATCCATGGATGTTGAGTGTGCAAGAGTTCCAAGGTTCCAAAGTTTACGTTGTGTGCAAAGTCACGCATGATCTGCTTTCAACCTTGGAAGGTTTATGTGAGAGATCTTCAAGATTTATTTTTTGATCTAGCATTCTCGTCAAAGATATTTTAGCTGGCACACATCGCTTTTTCTGTGGGTGAGCTGAGTAGACATTACTGCATTGCCCAATCATCGGCATAATTCATCAATAAGATCTTGCCACTGCATGCTAGTCCCCCGCATGTTGATTTGCAAACCGCCACAGAGAATGGAAGTAAGCAACTTGGTTGGTGTCAGGGTCCAGGGCTGCAAGTGATGAGTCAGTTTTGATAGACTCATGTCCTCGAATTCCGGTGGTATTTAAATTGAATATACGGAGTACGGAGTACTTTCGACTTTGCTGGAGCCAAAGTACGGAGTACGTGGGAAGTTGACTTTCTGGTCTGTCGAGCCCACACCCTTGACGTTTGCTGCTCTTGGCTGCCTTTTCCCCCTTGCTTGTTTTACTTACACAAATTCTATTATGCTGCCTTCAACCTCGTGCGCTCGTGAAAAATCCTGCCACTATCCAGATATCAGAGGGGACGAACAAAATTATATTCTGATTCCCCAATTTCACAATGGCAGACACCGAATATCCCACCCAAAAGCCATGGCTTTTTGATTTACGGTCATCAAAGCAGCTTATAGGGGTAGCTTTCTTCGCCACAACATTCACAGATGGATTTCTATACGGAATAGTGAGTGCCGGCAACATCTGCCATTGAAGCAGTGGATTGCATTCAAGTTGACTGATCCGGTGAACTCGACATAAGGTTGTGTCTGTCCTTCTCTTCTCTTTGACCAGACGATCCGGAGTCCCAGAATCCGATGTTCCATTCTGGACCTCAACCTCTTTGGCTGTCTTTGGAATGGCAATGGTCTTTAGTGCTCCAATGGCAGGATATATTGTGAGAGTATGCGAGAAGCGGCAAATCCCGTTTTTGGGAGGGCTTTCTTGCGCATTTGGGGCTACTCTGTTTTTCATGCTCGGAAACAAGCCGTGGATGATCATCGTGGCTAGAATCTTCCAAGGTCTATCTGCGGGCGTGGTCTATACTGCTGGACTGACGCTGTTAGTGGACACGATTGAGTCACACGAGCTGGGACCCTGGATCGGATTTGGCCTCTCAGGCATGAATTTTGGAGTTCTTGTATCACCCACTCTCGGGGGAATTGTATATGAGAAATCAGGGTTCTATTCTGTTTTTGTGATGGGTCTGGGAGTTGTTTTCGTCAACTTGGTGCTGATCCTGCTCATTGTTGACAGAAAGACCGCTGAAAAGTACAAAGGTCCAGCCAACCCGACCGGGAATCCAAACCTTCTCAATGAAGAGACTGTTCAAGCATCCGCCGCAAGCGCCAAAAGACGAGTACCAAACGTTGAAAATGGCGACATGAACGCAACGACACCATTGCTCTCAAGTTGCGGAGAACCGTCTATCAAACCCGAAGATCAACCTAGCTGGTGTTCGATTGTTGGTGGATTTGTGAGGAATCCTCAATTAGTTGCTGCTCTATATGGATGTCTCATCAACACTATCCTGGTGAGCTCTATGGATGCGGTCCTGCCGATATTTGTCAAGCAAACATTCCACTGGTTGTCTGGTGCGACTGGTGCAATTTTTCTGAACTTGACTGTCCCATCATTGATTGGTCCCTTTATTGGAATAATCTCAGACAAATATGGCGTCCGGTCTGTATCTGTGATTGGGTTTACTTTTGCGGCTGTGGGGGTTACTTTTCTTGCTTTCATACAAAGCGACGACACGCGAAGCAAAATAGTAGCATGCTTCTTATTGTTTCTGGTTGGTAAGTCTGACCAACAATCTACTTTGGTGGCAGTACACTGACTAACGAATTTGATAGGCATTGGACTCAATACCTCATTGACCCCTCTAGTCACAGAAATACCTCGCATAGTCAACTCTCTTCAAGAGGAGAAACCCGATATATATGGAGATGGAAGTGCAGTTGCTGAAGGCTACATGCTTCTGGATGCCGTATTCGGCGCTGGAACTGTACTGGGGCCCTTGCTCTCTGGGCCTGCATTCGAAAAATTAGGATGGATTGGGTGTACAGCGATGCTGGGGCTCTTGAGTGTCTCAGCCATGGTCCCAGTTGTAAGTATTCTGATATGTCGACGCCATTTATACTGACTACCATCTAGACAATGTACCTGTCTCCATCCCAGAAACATACATGATATGCCTCGCGGTCTCTGCTTGAGCCCGCTTTAGAAAGTGGGAGGCAACGTGTTGGCATCAATTTTTCCCCACATGCAAGCTCCAGAGCTAAACTCGACAACTCCACCTGGGCATGGCCACACATGAGTCGCTCGAATTTGAATTCCCTTGTTACCGATATCTTTCCACACCTTGAAATTTCTAAATGGGCACTTCCTGGCTGAAGCTCATGTAGAGACTGAAGGGCGAATTTATGTTATTAGTTGAATTGAGATTCCGTATATAATGAGAAGATTGTTCTCACAACGATTTAGCTCAAAGTACATCATCCATTGATGTTTCCAACCTTGGAAAGTTATACGCATCCAGGTGACCACATCCCTTGAATATCTGAGAGCTCGAGCTACATCGCGAAAGACGTCCTAACTGGAGGGACGACTAATTGGCATCGGGCCAACCATCAACGCTGTCTCTCTCTCTCTCTCTCTCAAGCCTAGATCATAGTTTGGCCCGAGACTTAGCCTGGAGAACCTCTTTGGCTAAGGAAATAGTAGCGTATGCGCATCCAAACGAGGCCTGGTACCCAAATCCACCATGACCATAGTTATGAACAATTGCGACTCCATCTACCTTGTCCTTTTCAATGCGAACTCCTCCCTCCCTCAGAGGGCGCAGGCCAACGCCATGTCTGACAATATCCAGGCCCTCAATGCCTTGTCCCTCCTTCACCAAACCGGGACAGACTTTGATGCAACGTTTCATAATTCGATTGGCAAGGTTCATATCCGGAAGCCCATCCCAGTTGTGCTTCTGATAAGATCCACCAAGAATCGTACCGCCACCTAGATGCAATAAGTAGATGATTTTATAGATTAGAAAGAGCGGAGAGGTTCTTACCTGCGGCACGGGTCATAATGTATAAAGCCTCATCTTCGCCGTCGTCGGTTCCAGATACTGACACCATGGGTCCAGGGTCGTTGCGGACGACCACAATTTGGCCACGCGCGGGATACATCTTCTCATCGAGCACGCCGCCCAGGGTTTTGGCGGACAGACCAGTACAGTTTATAATTAAATCGGCTTTCAGACCGGTGTGATGGGCGTCAGCTGCATCCGCGATGTGCTTAAGCACGGCTCTTTGGAATACAGCGCCATTCTTGACGCATTGACCGACCAGCCATGGCAAGTACACAGCGGTGTTGATACATACGGATGTGAATTCCTGGGCATTGTCAATTCCAGGAGCTAGCTCCTCTGTGGGGGTGGTTTTGAACTATAATCGGCAGGTTAATGTCAAAGTCGTTTTGGTGAATGCAGGGCCAACAAACATCAGGCACAACGTCCTTGTACCACGGATTAGGTCGAACCAATTCCGAGAACCAATCTCCAGTTGCTGTTTCCTGATCCTTCTTTCGGTTGTAGATCACAGAGCCTGCACGTCATTAGAGGGGTCTGTGTTTCGACAAGAGAGTGAGAGCACATACCTCGGAAGTGGATACCGGCCTCCGGATACTTCTCCGTGATTTCTTTCAATGCTGGCCAGGTAGCGCGCTCCCAGGCTTGGTGGGGACTTCCTTCTTTTCCAACTCTGTGGAATAGTCAGTACCCTAAAGTCATTGATGGCACTCTCAAAGTTATAGGTTTGGTCAACATACGGCATGTAATTGGCACCAGCCCATGGAGATGCATATTCCACATCATAATCACCTGGCATATGCTTTGCCAGCACGGTAACTTTGTTTGCAGGGTCCTGCGACAGCAGGTACGCAGTTGTCAACCCGGATACGCCAGCCCTGTTGCATGAATTAGTGTCCGACACACCGCTGCAAATGTGGAGCTTGAAAAGCTAGATTCACTCACCCTAGAACCACAATGTTGTTAGTTGCCATGATGATAAATGCCTATTTGACTGATTTTTCTCGCTAAGTTTAGCAGAGGCTCGAATTGAAGCACCCCAACACCTTTATATTCATACGGAGTGAGCTTAGAGGCGGGGGTGAGGGGACGATCCTTATCTCTTTTGATAAGCCATGGGCCCGGCCCGGTGGTAACTTACAGTGTATGGGGCTTGTTGCAGAGCGTTTCAGCAAGTCCTATTTGGGAACATTTTTAGAGGCGGTGTATAGTGTAAGCCAATGAGCGTGTATTTGAAACAAAGGAACGCGCTAGAGTTTTACAGTGGGGACGTGGAGTGATACGATCAACAACGTGAAAATTACACCTCCGCACTGATGCGGAGGTGATGCGTGCTCTCTAAACTGGTGAGAGCCATAGGCATATTCGAGTCATCTCTCAGTCAATGCATCCTTCCAAGAATCTTCCAGGAAGGCTCCCTGCTGCAATTGCTCATTAATGAAGATGTAATCTGGGGTCAGCAAGGAGACTCCGTAAAGTCCCGCGTTCTCCATCGCTCCATACTCCACCGACGTTATCGATCACATTTGATCTTGATTTTTGGCTCTCTTTGCTCTCATTTTACGCTCAGTTGAATCTCAATTCAGCCGTATAGGAAGATCAAAGCACTCCTTAAAATAGAACTCACTCTGCCTTATACACATTGTGTTGGATACAAAGAAAGTCGGCTATGTCATGGGGGGCAAGGGCTCGCGTGTGGCCAATCAATAAGCATCACCACTCACCGCCAGGGGGTCGGTGCCAAATTCGGAAACCTGCAGTAATTTTCCTTTAAACCACCCGCAGGGCCCGATTTACCTCTGCGGGTTTACTTGTTTAGTTTACGGAGTACTTGAGCTTCAATTGTTCTGCTTTTCTCTAAATGCTGGATCATCGAGTCTTTTCACCATGTCGCAAACCAATGGTGGCAGAATCGTGCCCATACTTGCGGGCCACGATCCGCTTCATCCCAAGTCGTTAGAACAGCCTACCATGCCAGCTTCAATCCCTCACATCCAAAATCCTCATGAGACCTCGCCTTCTCCTCCGATCCCTCCAACTGCCCCGTCCATGATCGAACCTTTACCCGACAAAAGACAAGACCCCACGAGTACGGGCCACCCAAGCTTGGAGATGCCTGCCCTCAAAGAACGAGGGCTATTCGCTCTACCGACTGATGGTGACGGTAAGTAAACCTTGTATTTTGGATAGAATCTGAGCTCTTTTGCGCCCCCGGGGGCAATAATTCCCTTCCACAAGGTCTGACGCGTCTCGTAGGGAATTGTCTTTATTATTCCTTTTCAGATCAGCTGTATGCAAACACACATCACGCAAACGAAATTCGTCAGCGACTCGCCGATCACATGGCGGCCAATAGAGACTATTTCATGCAATTCGTCTCGGATGGGGGAGAGCGTCGTCGACCAAAACGCGCAGCTGCGTCCACATATGCGACGCGTTCAGCCGACGTATCTACCCCGTCTGATCAGGATAAAGAATCCAGATTCCAAGAGATGATTGCTACAACTCGCAAAAATGCAGAGTGGGGTAGCTCAGAGCATATCCAGGCTTTCTGCCAAGCCTACGGACTTGACGTGACCGTATACACCATGGATGGAGTGCATCCATTTCAAGATGTGAATGCACCTCCTGACGAGTCCCGCAATGTGATACATATCGCCTTCCACGTAAGCATATCGATTTGCCATTATATTTCTGCCACCAGCCCCAAGCTAACAGTCAAAGGAATTTAAACATTACTCCTCTGTGCGGAGCATTGGGGGCACGCACAAGGGCCTGTTATCGGATGTGCAGTATGCGAACACTGCCCCGGCTGGATCCGAGTCTGAGTTCAAGACCGCATCTAAGCTTGACGACACTGGTGAAAGCCTTTGTTCCGGGGACAAGTCCGATCTCGCCCACTCGCCGAGCAATGCCAACCTCGCCGTGGACGTCTATGCACCATGGGACATTAGGTCAATTGAAGAGAGTCTTGGCGGCCGGTACGACCGAGAAACCATTATTGATATGCTGCAGAGGTGTCGTGGGGACATTGATCGAGCGTTTGCTGCACTGCTCGATGAGAAGTCAGATGACCAGGTTGAAAAGAAAATCCCACCTGTCATCCCAGTCAAGCCAAGTCTTCAAGCCTCCCGCGAAACTTCCCCTTTCAGCACTGGCAGCAAGCGGTCAGCAGATGATAGTGACGACTCAGAAGCCCCACAGCCTGCACGGCGGGTCCGTCCCAAGCGACGCTTTCTATCAAGCCTGACCTTGGGTGTTGGTATCTCATTTCGCGACAACGAAGATGAAGTTGTCTCCCTCAATCTTCGAGTGAGTAATCCCTAGGAAGGACGCTTCTTTGCAATCCCACTAACCTGATTTTGTTGCAGATGCCGTCAGAAAACGAAAAGGGTCAGGCCACAGACCCTTCTTCCACCCGTAGCACGACCCCGGAACAATCGGATGTGGAAGGAAAGAAGTGTCGACGCAGCGACCGAATATCCCGATCTCGCAACACATGAACTCTCCTGTTGCTCTGTTTCTTTTTTCTGTCTTGCGCTCACGAGGCTAGACCTATGATTATTTGCGCGTGCATGGAGGCGTAAAGCGAAGAACGTTGGATTTTTGATGATTTTGCATATGCATAGCCCTGTGGGCGTGCGAGGTGGGCGTTTGGATTAACAAGCATGTGGACGGTGCCTGGGGCACATCCTTGATCACATTTCTTGCGAAGATACCTTTTCGCTTTGGTTGCTTTCACCCTTTTGCTTCCTGGGCCTTTTTCAATTTTTTGCTATTTAGCCAAGGCTATACCTCCGCCTTTGTGCTAACCTTGGAGTGACACAGCTGGCTGGTTCCGGTTATTTGAAACCTCACTCGGATTCAGCCCAATATGAATGACACTGACCATTCGTTGGTAGTCTGTTTTCTCATTTCCGTGTCTGAGTAAAGGTAGATTCCATTTTTCAAAAAAGCTCAGTCAAGAGATGAAACATCTGTGTAACCGCGCAAATAAATTCCTCTTGTTTCTATCACATTCTATCAATATTCACAAAGACTTATCACATCTAAACAATCTATCTTTATACACGAGGATGGATCCAGAGACCAGTTCTTCAAAGCGCCTCGACAGCCCTCAGGCCCAACAAAGTCAAACGGGAACCAGCCCGGATAAGAGCCCTGGATCTAGGCGACGCGCCTACTTCAGTATGTTGCACGAGATATGTTCCTTCTTTTATTCCTCCAATAGGAATCTGAGGAAAGCAGTAGCAATGCCCAAACCATCATGATCATTTCCAGCTCTATCAAGAGCGTCCTGCGCAAAGTCGGCCTTGAAGACTCCCGCCTGGGCCCGAATATTCACAATCTCCTTTACAATCTCCCCGGTGAACTCGGGGTGGCCCTGCATTGTAATGAAGCGGCGAGGCGCATACATGCTCTGTACCTCGCACCGAGGAGAAGATCCCAGTAGGGTCACGTTCGGGGGAACCGAGAAGACGATATCCTGGTGCATTTGCTGAATGCGCTGTTCAAGGTTCAAGTTAGTGATGGGCCTCTTCCAGGTTGTGGCCGGTTGTGCCGTGTAGTTGCAGAAATCCAGTTATGAAATAACGTACAAGTTTGTCCTGACCAAACAATTCCTTTCCCTTATTTGTCAAGTCCATGTCACACACGGAAATCTCCCAGCCCTGATCATTTGGTCCGACCTTGGTGCCTAAAGCGCGTCCCACAATTTGGTGACCAAAACAAATACCGAGTATACGGACCCGGTCCTGTGCCAGGATCCTCTTCGTGAACTCCACTAAGCGTAGAATCCATGGGGTATTGTCGTAGGAGTTGTATTCTGTCGCAGTGTTAGCACAGGTACTGAGATTTTCAAGTCAAACTCGCAAAACTCACTTGATCCGGTCAGGAGGATGGCATCAATATCTTCCAGATTTGGATATTGATCGCCGTCAACGATATCGAACACTGTGACTTCCAGATCACATTCAGGATCCAAACCATTCGCTGTGGCGCTGGATTCCAAAAGCGATGTAAACAGGCCGCCATACCCATTATGGCGCCGGTTGGCCTCGGGGACCGGAGTGTCGCATGTTAATATGGCGATGCGCAGCGCCATGGCAGAAAAATAATGTATGTGGTGCAGGAGGGATAGCCAGTGGGGGAACAGAGCGTAAACACCTGTAAAGTCCCCTCACCTTATCGCTCTTATCTGAGATCCGTGGATCCCCGAGATCGGGATTGCTGACAAATATCCGAAAACCAGAACCTTGGCAAACCATGGAACCCTTTCAGGGTTCAGTTGCAGTTGTCCGGTACTCAAGGGGTTCTTATACCAAACTCTGATGCACAGTTATTATACACCTGGGCAGTCCTCAAGTGCATTAAAATAAGCTCTGCATGAAAGGGTGCTGCTGATTCAACTCTCGGCAATGTGTGACCTCTCGTTCTGATCTCGGAAGCTTAGCTTGCGACATTTCCTGTAGATATTTCGTGCTCGCAGGATTGAAAACTTTTTTTTTTCTTCTTTTGAAGGCTTGGAAGCTTGGACATTTTTGACAGAAGTCAATTCGGCAGGATCACATTCTTTGATAATGTCGATCGACAGGCGGTCCAATCATCTGGACGCCTCTGAAACCACTCCCCTCCTGGTTCAGCCCGACGACTACGATGTGGAAACAGCCTCTTCCCATAAAGTTGATGAAGAGCCTTTTCCCGTCTTGTCCAGTGCCAGCTCTTTATCCGGAGGGCTTGAGGTAACTCCAGCTCTAGAAAGACATGCTTCAAACTCTCTGGAGGATGTCCCAAAGGCAGAAGACTATGCAGCGCGGTTCAATGATGTGACACCCACTCAATTCTGGGTCATATTCAGTGGAATCTTGGCTGGCTATATGATCGGCTTCTTTGACTCGACTCTCATGGCTTCCAGTCACCCGGTCATCACCTCATACTTCAACGCAGCAAACTCGGCATCATGGTTGTCAACCGCCTTCTTGTTGACCTCGACCGCATTTATGCCTCTATTCGGCCGTGTTTCCGACGCCTTCGGTCGTAAACCGGTCTATCTCTTCTCGATCGCAATGTTCTTTTTCACGACGGCCGCATGCGGTTTGGCTCGGAATATCGGCGACTTCATTGCTGCTCGGGCGCTGTGCGGACTTGGTGCAGGAGGTGTGTTCTCCATCGGTCAGATCATTTCCAGTGACTTGGTGCGGCTTGAATATCGTGGAATCTACCAATCTTATATCAATCTTTGTCTTGGTGCTGGGGGTAGCATTGGACTTGCCTTTGGGGGCTATTTATGCGATCACATTGGTTGGCGGGGAGCGTTCTTCATCCAGCTGCCTCTCATATTTGTCTACTTCTTTGCAGCTGCATGGACGGTTCCAGCCAATCTAGGTCGAAAGACTGTTGGAACAGAGCACATGAAAATCTCACAGTTGATCCGAAGCATCGATATCACGGGATCCTTCATTCTGATTACTTCTGTCACCCTTCTGATCCTAGGATTGAATTTGGGAGGAAATGTTCTCCCCTGGAGCCATCCACTGATTTTCACCTCCCTGTCAGTATCCTTTGTCTTGGCTGTGATATTTGTGCGTTATGAGCCACGCGTTGAACGCCCCGTGATGCCGATTGAGCTTCTTACAACGGACCCCCGAGCCAGTATAATCTTTGGCAGCTTCTTTGCTGCGGTGTCTATCAACACCGTGGTTTTCAACGCTCCACTGTATTTCCAGGCCGTCAAACTGACTTCGCCCACCACCTCTGGTCTACGGCTTGTTGCCTCCTCTATCGCTATCACGTTTTCCAGTGTAAGCACCGGATTTTTGATCAACTCTACCAGACGCCTTCAGCCATTCGTTCTCATTGGTGTATGCAGCATGATATTAGGTGGATTTGCTGCAGCATCGATGGGCATGGACACCTCCCACCCCGTTGCAATGATATGCATCTCGTTCTCAAGCTTCGGTCAAGGTTTTGCATTCCCAAGTCTGATGGTCTCTATGCTGGCGACCAGTAAACAAGAAGACCAAGCTGTTGCAACAACCACGCTTGGTTTGTGGCGCAGCCTGGGCTCTGTCATGGGTGTTGCTGTGAGTAGCTGGATCTTCCAAAACGCTCTCATTTATCATCTCAACCAGAAGGTCACTGGCGTTGAGAAAGACCATATCATTGCCCTTGTCCGCAAATCCGTTCATAGTATCTCCCAGCTAGATCCTGTGCATCGGTTAGAAGGTATGTTACGTCCTTCAGCTCCTCACACTTCGATGTCCAACCTTGCTAACAGATCTTTAGTAACCCGCTCATACTCCGATGCTCTCCGAATGACATTCTTCTCGGCAGCGATCTGGGCAATCCTCGTATTGTTCCTCATGTGTCGCATCCGTTTGCCACGCTTGAGAAGAAAGGCATAAAAAACTTTCACTAGATTTGTGTGTATATTTTGTGTTGAGACGTGGCTTTAGGGGACTATTTAGATGCCAGACAGGCATATGCATCATAGCATAGCATTTTCGAATACCATCCGACGTATACACAGTATATTCGTTACCTTAGAAAGGCCTTCGTTTGGCCAGGGAGCAAATTAAATACGCTTAGATGTGTCAAAGCTTCAAAGCCCATTTGGGCGATTCTTATACTCGTATCGGCGCTCTTGGCAGGATCCACCCTTTCCCCCCCCCTCAACTTCGCAACATCGCAACTTCTGAAGTTCGTGGCAAACCTGCAGCCAAGAAAGGGGTACAATTCACCTGCTTTCGGTGAATCAATCTCAGCTGACCCCTCCCTGCACAGAGATATACTTGCCGATCCCTGACTGTCTCCCCGCACTGGCAAGATCAACGCGATCTCATCGCAAATACAATCGATCCCTCTTACCCCAGCTTTCCCGAGCCTCGACACCATCAATATCGAACATGGCCATTCGGGAAATTCCAGCATTTTTTTCATTCGGGAAACCTCTATCGATTCGGACTCCTGTTGGCGCTGGTGATTAGAGATCGATCCGCGAACAAACCTCCGCTCCGACCCCATTGCCCCAAGTCGCAATGAACCTCCGAAATTTTGCGAAGTCGCAACCAGAGCCGACTCAAGTCGACACGACAACCTCAACACCAAAAAGCCAGTCGAGCGATTCGCAAACCCCACCTCGCTCGCGCGCTGGTCGCAGGAAAACCACGGATATATCCGAAACCAAAGGCAGGAGATCGCGCACAGGATGCTTTACGTGTCGCCAAAGGCATTTGAAATGTGATGAAGCTGTGGGGAGGTGTTTAAATTGTCGCAAGTCCGACCGTGTCTGTCGGCGTGGTGTTCGCCTCAATTTTATCGATACTCAGACAGTGGCTCCTCCCCACCTTATCGCTCGACCGGACGGCTCGAAGGTGACATTCAAGGATGATTCACGTTTGATTGCATCGTTGTATGTGGGTGGGTTCGAGATATATCCTCCGGTTCAGCCTGAAAGCCCCGTGGAGGCAAATGGGCACCTCAACCATGACCTGGATGCCATCGGACCCGATGACCTAACGAGTATCTTTCAATCCGCGGCACACTCGTTTGATCCGCAGGGTTTTGATGTTCCCAACCCTGCCGCAGGGTTTGTGGAAACTGATACTTGGCACCAGTCTCATCTGGTGCCCGGGGATGAGCTTCTTCCACACGGAACGTCTAATTTTGCGCGGAAGCTCGCCAACAAGCAAGAGTCCCATCAAGCTCTTCTTGATTATGAATCCGTGTCTTGCCTCCGGACTTTTGTGGAGGAAGTAGGACCCCGTATGGATGCGATGGACGAAATGAATCATGTGGGTAGCTTCTTCTGTGGCATTCCATTCAAATTGCTAACAGAGCACAGTTCTCCCAGGCTCTTCCAAGCCTTGCTGTTGGGGAGCCTTTACTCCTTAAGGCATTTGTAGCGAGTGGTGCAAACCACCGCTCGCTTCATGACCCTTCTTGGCCGGTTGAGTTAGCATTGGCTTTTTCTCAAGACGCTACCGAGGCCCTTCTGAGTGCAGTCCACGACCCCGGTCGAGACTCCGTTTTGTGCGCTACGGTTGCTCTAGTCCTCGGCTTCACTGCGTCTATGTCACCTCACTCCATGCGCTGGGAGAATCACATCGCAGGCTCCCGGGCTTTGATTCGAGAATGTGGGTGGACTGCCAAAACACCAGGTCTTGGTGGGGCATGTTTCAGAATCAGTATGAGTGCGGAGCTTCTCGGCTGCCTGCGTTATAACTGGGGATTGTCTTGGAATCCAGACACCTGGGGTGTTGATATAGACATGGAGCACGCGCAAGCCAGTATTGGGGGCAGCCATGACCTGTGGCATCATCGAATCCTATACATTTGTGCAAAAGTATCGATGCTGCGAGCATCTTTGCGCCAATGTCGAGCTTTACCCGACGATGTGGCACGATCATCTCAACTCAGTACTTTATTTCAGGAGTGGGCACTCTACAGCAGGTGGTGTGATGAATGGGAAAAATCTATACCCAGATCTCTTGTGCCCCTTGGTTATCTACAGCCATGGCAGACAAAGTCAAAATCAGTATTTCCAGAAGTTTGGTATGGTCAAACACCCGTCATCCCAGGTTTATCACGAGCTGACAAGACAGGCTTACTAATCGATCCGCCATAACCGCTCGCTTGATATACCACATAACTCGTATCATGTTGACGACTACGCATCCTCTTCAGTCGACGCTTGATGATGAGATGCAGAAGCTGCAGCACACCCATGTTTATGATGTTTGTGGTCTTGTCGCTCACGCCAAAGATCGGTCAGTCAAATTGTACCTGCCAGCTTACCCTCCCTACAAGCTACTAACTACCAATCAGAGGTATCGCTGATATAGCAATCCACTGCCTCGTCATCGCCGCAGAATACCTAGAAACACCGGAGGCACAAAATGAAGTTCTCGATCTTCTCGATGCCATGACTAAAATTACCAGTAGCAGCACTGATTCTATAAGGAATGAGCTGAAGCAAGTCTGGAGCTGGGTCGATGCCCATCCACATACCGTGGCTCCATCACAGGTGCATAATAACTTCTACGGGCTCGATCCTTCATTGGCAATGCCTGAAACACCTGAATCACTTGCAAACCTGAATAATCCTCTTTTGGATACCGGTAACTTCTCAATGGAGAATCATCCCTATCAAGGGTTCTATGTGCCACCGCATCACCACCATGCGCTTAATCAGTACCACCTTGGTGCGTATCTGATCTGATACTTGGAAAGCTGTTGCCAACACCTGAGCATGGCAATTGAACAAAGCAGCTACTTCAGAAACCCAATATTTTCCGCCCTATGCCATGTGTTTTGGTCACATTTCATCGGCACTGGGGCGCAGATCCTTCTTAAAGGCAGGCTTGTAGTCTGGATTGATTGCAGCATCATGAACGTTTACTTAAGTATGTATGAACATGTCAATTTTGGAAGCTTATACCCAATTCACGCAATTTTATTTACTTTGTCACACTTTTACAATTGTTTTTTAAAAAAGGGTTACCTACCATCTAGGCAATATCCAGGGACTTCAGAACATAAAAGCGCGGCACTTCAACAGAACTTTAGAAGTATGCGCCCTTCTAACTTTTGGAAATGTCATTCGGCAATATCGTGGCTGGAAAAGGCTAGAGGGATATCGTATGCTCGTGCTCCTAGATTTCATAATACTATAGTAGATCCGTGGATTAAGGCCCAGGTTCTTGCCACGCCCTTCCCATTAGGGGAGAGCTGGGCAATATAGTGGGGGCGGTGTGTGCGGGCAATTCCGCGCTATGTCCGTTGAGCATCCAGTTCATCGAGACCAACACTCTTTGGCTAAAGTTTGTACACTGTGATGGAAACGAAATCGATTCAGGCTCAATCTGTAGCCACTCCAGTTTACATATTGCGTGGACACAACTCCCCAATTCACGCACTGCATATCTACAACCAAAATCTACGTCTGATATCCGGCGACGCCAATGGATGGATCGTCGTTTGGGACTTGGTAACTAAGCGACCTGTGGCAGCATGGAAAGCACATGCAGGAGCTGTGTTAGAAGTGAAGGGTTTCAAACTCGGCTCAGGCATGACCGAGATCTATACGTACTTATCCCAACTTCTTTGTTACTTGTTGATACTGACCAGTACGACAGACATGGACGTGATCACAAACTATGTGTCTGGAAGATTCGGGCCGAAGATGAATCTTTCCTTGAGAACACCTTACCAGTTGATGCAAAGGAAGATGGACAGAAAAGCAAGACCCAGCCTTGGTTACTTCATTCTCTACCTGTGAATGCGCTTAACTTTTGTGCTTTTTCAATGACATTCCTCAACTCGGATGGTCTGCCTGGTCTTCCGGCCCAAGAAAAAAAGCCCGAAGCTACTCTTTTTGCCGTCCCTAATGCCTTAGACTCTGGCGGTATTGATATCTTCCACTTACCATCCGAGCGTCGGATCAGTACCATAGCTTCTGATGCTTCAACCAAAACCGGAATGCTAATGGCTGTGAATCTTTTCGTGGCTCCTGCTGGAGATATCTATGTCACTTCAGCATATGAAGATGGCCATGTCATGGTCTTTCACCATCGAAGAGCTCTCGATTCCATCGCTTTTGACCGTGAAAACATAAACAAGAACCCTTTGAAGTGGGATAGGCTTTACGCTTGTCGACCCCATACCCAGCCGGTCCTTTCCTTGGATTTCTCTCCGTCACTCGGGTACTTTATCTCCTCCTCGGCAGATTCTTTGCTTGTCAAACACCCTATTCCGAGTCCAGACCAAGCTGGCTACAAGGAAGAATCGCCTCTTAAAGCCGTCAATACCAAACACTCGGGTCAGCAAGGTCTGCAAATCCGGTCGGATAGCAAGGTATTTGCCACTGCTGGTTGGGACAGTAGGACCCGGGTATATTCCAGCAAAACGATGAAGGAACTTGCTGTGCTCAAATGGCATAAAGACGGATGTTACACAGTGACATTTGGCAATATCTTAAACAAATCTTCGACATTCCCCTCAACCAACGCCGATCCTGCAAATCAAATTTCTCAGGATGGGAACGAAAACCCAGTGTCCGAACGTGACTATTCTCTCGCAACGGTCCAGGAACAGCGTAACCTGAAAACACAACAAACTCATTGGCTTGCGGCTGGTTCCAAAGATGGAAAAATTTCATTATGGGATATCTATTGAGATAAACGCTAATGCTAGAAAACAAACATAACACCAAATTTTTTTTTAACACAAGTTCATCAACGAAAGCTCAAGCCAAGTTGAACTCGTTGGCTCCAGCCATGTGCTCCCTCATCTTGGCCCTCATTCTGCGAGCAGCATCATCCGTAGGAAGGGCACCAGGTGCAGCATCATCAACAGCAGCAGCCTTTCTCTTGTTGCCCGCACCATTACGTGCAGCCTTGAAGTCTTTCTTACTATCTTCTTGTCCGGGACGCAGACCGGGGACATTGATCTTGCCGGGCCGATCACGCAGGGCAAAACTCTTGGCCAGATGACCAAGGTGGAGTTCTTTGATATTGAACATGCTCCGCTCAGCAGCGATGTGAGTCGAATAGGCTCGGACATGAGATTGGAATGCACGACGAGCCATTTCCAGATACTCGGGGTTATCCAGAGCCCAACGCTCAACATCCATTTGCCAATCGGTAGTCTTCTCTTCCCAGTTCTTCTTTCCGGATTCGTTGCCTCCGAAACCACGCTTGATGATTTCATTTGCATCAGTACGAGTGAGCGCCTTGCCGCCATCCCGGTAGCCGCGCTTGAGGACTTGAACATAGTTCTCCTCGCAGCCGGGTTGGAGGAAAATTAGAGCTCGACCGTCGCGTCCCACACGGGCGGTACGACCGATACGGTGAGTATGATCGTCGGAGCTGAATGCTGGGTCGTACTCCACAACCAGGTCCACGTTTGGCAGATCGAGACCACGCGAGGCAACATCAGTACAGATCATGACGCAGGCCTCGGTGCTACGCGAGAAGGAGCCTAGGGTGGCAGTTCGAACATTCTGTGGAAGAGAACCGTGAAGCCTGTGCAGAATGACGGGATTTGTAGGTGTTGAAAAGGCTCTGGCGGGTGCAATGGTTCCATGGGGTGACAGTTCCTCTTTCTCCTCTGGCTTCTCTTCCTCCTCAGGTTTTCCGTCCTTCTCTCTTTGCTCTCTCTCGAGCTTTCTTTGTTGTTCACGATCTTGGTTTCGCGAAAATAGCTCGAAGTGGAAATCAACAACGTCGGCGCAAGACATGAACACAATGGCCTTCATCACGGATCCCTTGCGCATAAATGTTCTCTTCAAGTAGGCTGTCAATGATACAAGTCGCAATTTCGCCGGCACGATGGCGTAGGATTGCTTCAGCTGCGCTGGGACACGGAATGCCTCGTCGTCGTCTTTTTCTTCTTTCTCTTCATCATCAGAGGGGTCAGCCTTGATGTGGACTGCGTCCTTCAAACTGATCTCTCCCAGCTTCTGGACATTCATCTTCAGCGTAGCCGAACACAGCACCGTTGTCCGGCGTGTTGGGACACCGGGTACTCGGCTCGGCCGTTGCCTGGCATCAAGTTTCCCGACAATGCCTTGTAGTTCCTCCTCGAAACCCATGTCCATCAAGCGATCTCCTTCGTCAAGCACGAGCCAGCGGACATTGCTGACATCCAATGCCTCCGTGTTATCAAGGTGATCCACCAGTCGACCAGGTGTTGCGACGAGAATATTGAGACCTTTCCTCAGACGTGCTTTTTCGGATTTCTTCTTCTCTCCACCAATGACTGTTCCACAAACAAGCCAGTTTGCGCAGCGCAGGATGTTCTCCAGCACGACTGAAATCTGCTTGCACAATTCACGGGTAGGTGCCAGGATGATGGCGAACAATCCACTATCCCGATGAACTTGGTTGTCGTTATGTTCCTTAGTTGCTTTCGATAGGTCCATAATTCGTTGGACCAGCGGGAGAAGATAAGCCAAGGTCTTTCCGGAACCAGTCTCAGCCTGGATGAAGGCATCACTTTCCTCCTTCAACAATTGTGAGATGGAGCTCTTCTGAATGGCAGTCGGGGCCTTGAGCTCAAGCTTGGTGAGCAGATGCGCCGCCAGGTTGGGAGACAATCCCAAGTTCGTGAAGGTATCAAGTCCATCGATCAGTGGCGCATTGGTAGGCTTCGCCTCCTCGACCTCTCCTTCCTGCTTTGGCTCTTCGGCATTTTGTGCTTCCGGGTTGCTGGTGAATAGCGAAGAAACGAAGTGGCGGGGGTCCTTCTCTCGTGGATGTTGGTGCGGGCGTCGGTCACCGGAGCGTTGAGGGCGCTGGGACGAGTCGTCTGTTCGTTGTCTTTTGGCGGGACGGTCGCCTAGTTGAATCTGATTAGGGTTCTTAGATGCTGCATTGCGCGCGGCTGCATCTTTGGGTCCGTTTTCTGAGCCGCGGTGGGATGAGCGCTTTTTCGCAACCAGCCGGTCTCGCCATGTGCCTCCTTTGAACTTGGCTTCGGGTTTGATGACACTGTCAGCAATGCTGAAGTTCATGAGCATGCCATCGTCGGCCATTTTGAAGTATGTGGAATGCGGAGGTGGTTGGAGTTTTTTTTTTTCTGTTCCGGCGATCCAAGCTCTGGAGACTTTTTTTCGGCGCCAAGACTTTCAGGCTTTAATTGTTCATTTTGCTCCACTCCGATCTTTGTTTACAACGAGCCCTGGAGAAAGTTTCAAGAGTCTGAAATAAATTGAATTGGGCTCTTTTGGTTGTCTATCTGCTTTTTTCAATTCTATATGTAAATTTTTTACAACGCTAAGGCACTGAATGTTTGAAATGTACTGTTGCTAAGCACGGGGATGCAAAATCAGGTTGTCAATCAGTCGCACAGGGACCTTGCCATCGCCTAGGCCACAATTCTCGCCGGAGTTAGACTCTTCTAGCGGTGCCATCTTGAATGCAGTGCTCAGGATGGCACCTTTGGCCGGCTCGACAACGTCGACCTCGTCAAGGGTATCAGGATCCGCGAGAGAAATGTAGTCGACCTCGTAGATCGCGCGCTCCGATGGCGAAAGGGCTTGCTGCTCAGCAAGGACGGTCTCCGCCAGGCTCTGTGCAGATCCAAGGATATCTGCACGGCTGGTCTTGCCAGCAAGATATTGATCCTCTGCGGCCTTGAGCGCTTTGTAGATCGTGAGGCCAACGGCTCGTCTGCGGTCACCCAGGTAGACATTACGCGAGCTTAGCGCCAGGCCATCATGCTCGCGTGCGGTTTCAATAATTCGAACCTCACTTCCAACGTGGAAGTCTTCGACCATGCGCTTGATGACCACGGTTTGTTGAACGTCCTTCTGGCCAAAGTAGACACGGTCGGGGGTGGTGATGTTGAACAGCTTCATGCAAACAGTCGCCACGCCACGGAAGAACACGGGACGAGAACCACCTTCCAGTTTTCCAGACAGGGGGGTAATGGTGACAAAGGAGCCGTCACCGTCCACCTCTGAAGACGGAGGCGACCCGGGGTACATGGCCTTCGAGGTGGGGGCGAAAATAGCAGTAATGCGCCCGGCGCTTGCACTACTTTCCCCCAAGCGAGACAATTCCTCGTTCAATTGTTCCAGCTTCGCAACGTCAGAATCCCAGGTGCGGGGATAGCTGGACAGATCCTCCGTAACGCCGAATTGTGTGGGGTTGACGAAGATGCTGACGAAGATGTCGGTGTTCTCGCGGGCAGCTTGTCGAATTAAGGACAGGTGCCCCTCATGTAGGGCGCCCATGGTAGGCACGAAGCCTACAGTTCTGTCCTTTTGCAGTAATTGCCGCCGCAGGCCCCGGATTGAGGGCACATCGCGGAAGACCTGGAAGGAGGAGCGAGCAGTGGGAGCGGTCGCATCGGCAAGAAGGGAGGAAGCAGTCGCTGAGATAAGGTGAGCTCATGTAGAAGTATTAGGTCGAGGTGACATACTCGAAAACGACTTGACGCCGTTCACTAGACGAGACATGATGCCGGAGTGGATTGATGCAGGTCAGAGGATAAGGTGGGCTAAAGCTCCGAAACCGTTGACTCCACCTAAAAGGGGTGATTTTAGTGGCCTGTCGGAAATATCACCAGTTTTGGACATCAATCAAGAGGCATTCTCCATTCTGCTTCCATGTTTAGTCTCAAGCTGACATCAAAGGAACGCTATTGTTAAGAAATGGAGTATGATACATGAATATGCAGCATCCTAAATGCCTTGCTATATGCTTTCTCCAAACCCAAGAGCATTAAATGTGCAAAATATCGTTATCGGCTGCCTTAGCGCGGTATACACGTGACTAGCACCTCGGCTCAATTCTGGGGAAACAGCCTGTGAACATCCGGGGACGATCTCCCGGTTTGTTGGGAGCTTGGTCTTGAATATGTGGCCTGGTTGACCTCATTTCCCACCAGAATCTTGACATTACTTCCCAGTCCATCACCTGGACACGTTCCTATGATCTGACGCGAACCATCCCGTCCTATCGGCACTCTTAACAGCATGCCATCTTCCAAATCGTCTATGGTCGATGACCACTCCGCACCCGACCTGGAGATTGTCGGCAAGCAATTGACTATCCACCCCTCAGGCTTTACTGGGGGACCTGAAACTCAAGATGAAATCACCGAGCGTAACCTAGTTCGCCACATGGCGCGGTTTCGCGAGAACCCCTTTGATTTCCTTCGCGAAGTGAGCCTGTACATGTCCGGCACCGGTTGGCGCGCATACGACGATGCTATTGGTCAACCGATCTTCTACTCTGGGTTTTCCGAAAGAATGAAGAGCTCGATATTGGATAGCCCGTTGTTGCAGGACAAGATCTCGGAACTGGCCAAGGGACGACTGACGGTGGAAGAAAAAGAGGGGTTATTGGCAATCAAGGAAGGTGCCACACTGGATGATAAGCGTGCGCGTCGAAGGACTGAGATTCAAGGCAATCTTTTGGAGGTTGTGGATACGATGATGGATAAGATGATCTGCAAGATGGAAAGCAAAAGGTTTATTCGGGGTGCTTATTATATGTGCACACAACTATTGACCCGCGCCTACCATCAAGGTAAGCTCTCCCCGATTATCCTCTGCGGGTCGAAATTGACCAGACATAGGCATTCATGTGTCCAGCGAGGAAGTGTTACGCCTGAGGTCCGTGGCTGAGACTGCTGCCAAGAAGAAACAATCCATCGTCTTCTTGCCCTGCCACAAATCGCATGTGGACTATGTTTCGCTGCAGCTCATCTGCTATCGGCTCGGAATTGCCCTTCCGGTTGTTGTCGCTGGCGATAATCTAAACATTCCGTTGTTGGGTCCTTTCTTACAACACGCAGGTGCCATGTGGATTCGACGCAGCTTCGGGAATGACCCATTGTATCATACTGTGGTGCAGGCATACATTGACACACTGCTACAACAAGGATTTAACTTCGAATGCTTCATTGAGGGTGGTCGCTCAAGGACCGGAAAACTGCTTTCCCCCAAGTTCGGAATCCTGAGTTTCATCATGGATAGTCTGTTATCGGGTCGGGTGGAGGATACTATCATCTGCCCCGTCAGTACACAATATGACAAGGTCATCGAAACTGAGTATGCCTTCCCACTACCAATTATGATCCATGTATTAGTGCTAACGTCCCTCAAGGTCATACATCAGTGAGCTACTTGGTCAGCCAAAGGCGAAGGAGAATCTGGCCGATCTTCTTTCTTCTTCTTCGGTCTTATCACTGAAGCTGGGCCGTGTCGACGTTCGGTTCCATGAACCATGGAGTCTTCGAGAATTCATTGGCCAGCAACTTACACGACTGGATCACCCAAACGCCGACCTTAATACCAGGCTTAGTTACACCGACCGAGGTCGCATCCTTCGAACCTTTGGTTATCGAGTGTTGTCAGAGATCAATGACGTTTCTGTAATGATGCCCACGGCTCTTGTAGGAACCGTTCTTTTGACCTTGCGCGGCCGTGGTGTAGGCAAAGGCGAACTATGCCGCCGACTGGACTGGCTTTGCGAGCGAGTACGAGATAAAGGTGGCAGAGTAGCACATTTCTACCGTTCGCCTACGGAGCTCGTGGTTGATCGTGCACTTGAAGTCCTGGGACCCAAACTCGTCGGGGAGATCTCTGGGCTGGTCGAGCCAACATATTATGCTGTGGATCGTTTCCAGCTTTCGTTCTATCGCAACATGCTCATCCACCTCTTTATCACCGAGGCGCTTGTTTCTGTGGCTATGTATACCAAGATCAAACAAGGCGGTGGACCCGCCCACCAAAGAATCACTTACGAGGAATTGAAGAGTCAAGTCTCCTTCCTATCTCAACTTTTCCGTGGCGAATTCATCTTCCCGCCCGAAGGTCTCGCTAGCAATTTCGAGAAAACTATGCGGGATTTAGAGAAGGACGATGTGATCAAGATCACTCGAAACGTATCCTTCACACCTCTTTACATCGAATTGAGTGAAGCTGAACGGCTTTGTGGCCGCGAAAACTACGACTTCTACTGCTTCTTGATCTGGCCTTTCCTAGAGGCCAACTGGCTGGGGGCCGTGTCTCTTCTTGGATTGACACCGCCTTTGGATGGACCAAGTGACATTTGGATTGATTCTAAGAAAGCACAGGACAGTGCTCAAGTCGTAAGTTATCTCCCCTTATGTCCTATATCGCCAAGGACGAAATTCTAACATTCACAGCTGGGCAAAACATTATATCACCAGGGAGATCTCTCGTATTTCGAAGCCGTCAACAAGGAAACTCTGAAGAACTCTTATCAAAGATTTGAAGAAGAGGGCATCATTCTAGTTGCGAAGAACAAAGAACTGAAAGCTGGTGCATCCCTCCGACTCGCCCCCGAGTGGGCACCGCAACGTGACCCTAGTACCGGAAAGGTCTTGGAAGGCGGGCGGCTATGGGACTTTACCGAACTAATTGCACAATCTCGTCGTGAAGGGTGAGTCTCTGACTCTAAATCCCTAGCTTATTAACTGATGACTGACCTGAAACAGCAAAAACCGCCGAGATGGTGCAACTGTTTCCTCGCGTGTTCTCGCTATGTCTGATCATGTTGGACGCCAGTTGTTCCAAAATGCCGCAGCCCCAGCCCCCGCTGATGTATCCTCGCGGCAGATGCGTCGAAAAGCCCTTGGCACCGAGGCCAAATTATAATATCCTGTTTGCTGATACCCGTACATGCATATTTTTCATGCTTATCAGATTCCATTCCACCTATTGTTGAAACAAGAGTGTCACCTCTTCACAACAATACATTTTTGCAGGCGTTTTGCGTTGTTTATATTCACCATTCTTGCATTCTGATTTATGAACATAGCTAACACTTCGAATGCATCTCTCATTTCATTTCTACGTCGCCGATCAATACAATTTACAAACACCCTATAACAAGAAGCCTTGGAAGAATTATGTGATAACCATGTGCTTCCTAGACCTGATGAAATGGCCCAAGATGGATCTGAACCGGCGGTGAAATTTCGGTGCAGGCAAAATGACCTTAGCATTGTCCAACAGTAACAGGATTCGAAGCCATGCCATCACCAACACCACCAACTGCCTCGACAACAATGGAGTCGCTGTTGTCCAACCCCTCGATCATGATCTTTGTCTCAAATCCATTCCGCACAGCAGTCTTTTCTACTGCCGACCCGGAACGAACTGTCCAGGCCTGAACGTCACTTGCCCCATTCCAACTAACATAAACGACAGTCTTTCCATCATCATTAGAACAAGCCACGGCAGCGGGCTTGGTGGCCGGTCGCCCGACCCACGGGTAACGATAAGTGCGATATGTCTGCATAGAGTTGTCATATCCAAAGCGAGCACGCATGACAATAGCTCCGTTCTCATCATACTCCTCGATTTTGGGAGTTGCACCGTGATTCTGCAGGCTGTGCCCATTGCCGAGTGATTGATAGCTACCTTGCGACTGTGCAAATACGGGCTCGGCAGCATCCCACATGCGACTCTTCAGGGTCACTTGCTTCGAGCCTTGGAGTTCCACATCCAAGACCATGCCGGTTGTCAGCGATGTGTGGCCTGTGAACTCGGTGTTCTCATTGTTGTGTAGGCTGATCGTAACTCGCTCTTCGCTTTGCGAGACAAATCGTGCATCGTGCTGGTAGCAAAAACTCGTGCCAAGGCCTAGCTGGAAATCACCACCAGTTCGGCCCTGCTCTTTGTTAGATATTTCATCGGATTGAATATCTCGCAACGGGGGTATGAACTTACATGAAGGTGCCATTTGACCATACCATCAGAACCGATGAAGAACAAACTGCACATATATCGTGATGAAACCAAGTACGAATCCCCATACCTGTAGACAGCGTTGAGGTGAGGGTATCCGTACGGATCCGACTTATTTCCACCAGAACCTTCCAATGGCGCCCGAGCATTGGTAATAGAGACCTGGTCACTATTCTCATGTGTACTCCAGCGAAAGACGATGTCATTGGTAACCAGATCGATCTCATAGACAAGGGCATCTTGCACCCATCCGTTCTTGGGGCCACCAACAGCGCTCAGATCAGCCTGTGTGACATTGACAGCCGTCACGAGAATGGTTCCGTTGTCTGTAAGCTGACTTTCGTGAATGTCAATGCACGAATCAAGCTCGAGCGGATCAAACACAGTCACGAATCCTTCTTTCTTGCAGTCCAGCGTCACGCGGTGGATCTCATCGTACGAGCTGTTGAGGATGGTGATAGCCCCAAACCCAAAGCCTTCGCCCGAATATCCGGACCAGTAGGCTATCACAGGCTCGTCGTTCAGCATCTGTGGTTGGAGTGCTGAGTAGTTTCCAGGTTTGCCTTGCCATACCAGCTCGCCGTCATCTGAGTAGATTACCGGGTGTCCAGTCTTTCGGAGTTCGTCGTGCGGTGTGAAGAAGAGGTATCCTGGTTCTGTCTGCCCCATCTTGGTGACATTCATGAAGGGGGTTTGGACAGATGAGCTCTTGAAGCTTTGAAGCGGCCATAGAGCTTCATCTGCGGACTCGACAAGGCCTGAGAAGCCCGCCAATATAGTGAGTGCTTGTGCTATGCAATGCATTATCGATCGAATCATTTTATTGCAAAGGCAGTCAGGGACTCCCTCTTTCCAATGTTGCAATATGGTTCTGTGGTAGTTCTAGTTTGGCAGGACATGATGGTATTAATGATCTTTTATAGGTCTCTGTGGCTCCCATGTCCTTCGACAATCTGCCTCCTATCCCCGCACCCTGGAGCTAGGATCACTCAGAACAGCCATCAAAGTAGCTGTCTCGGTAAATAAGACACAAGCCATGATCCGATCGTAGTATCTCGTAGTTCGGAAGGGAACATTTCGAGGAAGCGGAAAGTCCCCGACGACAGCCCCCGCATCGCTATTGATATCATTCAAAATACCATTGGGTTTAGACATAGCACCAGTCCCAAGAGAGTCGTGATACAACACCCAACGTCGAAATGATCATAACTCGGCCATGGAAGTTGAACTCACTCCGCCGTCTGTGCGTCGCTGCTTGCAGACTTGTCTCTCGCTCGACTTGGTCTTACGGATATTCCAGAGGGCGAGCGGCCGCTCTCAGGGGGTCACCGGCAATCTAGCATCCTGAGTTTGACGTAGCCGAGCGCAACCCGCCGCATACCGGATGTCGGATAAGCCTGCCTGTCAACAGAAGCCATTTCTTGCTTTAATTGGGTGAGATTACCTGTGCAGGCCAACTATTTCGGTAAAAGATAGCGGAATTACCCCAATCTTAGCGGAAAGAAAACGCTTATCGAGTGTGTCCTGAACTCTGTCTTGGCTCATGTACGAGTAGATCAGGTGGAGGTGGAAGATCGGCAGGGTTGAGAATGTGGGAAAATAGAGTCAACTAGTGCATTTAACTAAGCTTTGACTTCGTCTTCGGCAAACGGATCAGCTGAGGACGAATCATGTTCAGTCTGATTGTCGTCAAATACGCCGCTTGGGGAAGCTTTTACACTTACGAACTTAGGGCTGATCTAGAATGACGGAGCTCAGGGAACCCGGTAACAAGTTCGGCAGTTCTACTTGAGCCTGCGTAGTAGATGGCTTTCCCTTCTATCCCCTCTGGTTTTCTTTCTTCTTTTCCCTGGTCTTGCAATATAGCATTTGAAGAGCGTCTTACTTTGTCTTTCGGTTGAACGCCGGTGCGACTAATGTTTTCATTGGCTCTCTCTCTCTCCTACCTAGAACATGAAGAAAATCTCTATTAGAAGCTGTGTTCTTAGTCTCTTTACTTCACTCTGACCTTCACGCCCTGCTCAAAACCTTGGAGGGTTGACTGTTGGAAGCAAAGAAACAAAGCAGACCGGGTCGTAATTTACTCACGCCCGGAAAAGCAACGTGCTCCAGACATAAATGACTACTTAAGTACGGAGTATGGAGTACTTATCAAACAATTGGGATTGAAATCATTGAGATATATAGAAAATGAGATCGGATCTTACACATTTGAAGAAGAGAAATAGCAAACAACAAAAGAAATCGCGATACAAAAGAATGGCTCAGTCGCTAGTGGAACAACACAGTGAGTTTGGAGTAAACGGGAAAACAAAAACACAAATTCGTCATCATCATGCTCTCGTCAATGGGGCCTTGTGTCTCGGACTCGTAGGTGCTGACTGGACAGTCACAACACGAGGTGACGAAACGTTTAGTGGCGCCAACTTCTCGATAGGCCTGTTGTTAGCCTTAGTTGGCGATGTTGGGCTATCCAAACCACCAGGTGACTTCTTGGCAAACTCCTGCAACCTGTCCATAATGACAGGTGAGTCCGAGTAGAGCACAACACCTGGAGCATAGATACAGGTGTTCGCCCTCTCTTCGCCGGTGGCAAAGTCTTCATGAGCAGCCTCGCGGATGATGCGCGGGAAGGTACGCAACACAACATGGCGAGTAGGCTCTGCGCTTCCGCTCTTGAGCTCTTTATTGGCAGCGTACTCGAGCCAGCCCTCGTTAGAAACGGTGTCTGCATCTGGGGCGGGGAAAGTAGCCAGGACGAGTTCACGCTCGACTCGGGCGTGGCGCCAGGTTTCCGCTGCTAGTTTGACGATCTTCCGTACGCTTGTAAGAAGGGAGTCGAGGTGCTTGGGGTCGGCGAAGTGCTTGATGTGGTCGATGATTTCGTCCACGATGACTGCGGCTGCAACGTTGATGGATTGCTTGGCGTCGGAGGTTGTGTACGCGGCTTTGAGGGTCTGTTGTCTCCAGAAGGCTTCGCGGCGGACGGACTTCTTACGAATGTCCATGGACAACATTTGGAAGAAGGTATCGGCCTTGTCGTAGCGGCGGCCTAGAGTGAAGAGGAATGGCTGGAAGACGCGGTAGGTGATTGTTTTTGACACAACGTGTTGGATGTAGACGCAGCGGAGTTCGCGGGAGGCAGGGGTGTTGTCGAGGAAAGGTGGAAGCTCAGAGGGGATCTTGGAAAGAATGTCTTTGGGAGGGTCGATGGGAAGGTAGCCAAAATGCTCCTTGGAAAGGTCGTGGATCAATCGCGAGAGCTCTGTGAAGCTGTCCATGCTGAAAGGAAGAGGTTTATTAGATCGTGTCCATTTGTCCATTTGTCGTTATCAACATGAGTCTATAAGAATTTATGCCCATGCTCGCTGAAGTTCAAAACATATGCAGAATGACTCGCGCAAGACCAAAAGCAAAAATTCATAGTCGTAGCAATCATAGAAAAATCATAAAGTCGATGGGGTTGAAAAGGCGCACTCACAAGAATTTATCGCCTTTGGTGTTTCGAAGGTCGGTGGCTTCGCCTAGGCTGAGCAGTGTCTTTCTCAGTCTGTCGCAGTCTGAGCCAAGGTTGTCGATGGTCAGTTTCATTCCATCGACGGCACGTTGAAGGTGCTGTTCCTTGACGATTCCGTCTCCTTCTAGTCTCTCCTTCTCGCGTTCGGCGCTAGAAAGCTCGATATCTTTCTCAGCGAGCTGCTTCTCTAGGTCACTACGCTCAGCGGTCCAATGCTCCTCCTTATTGTTGAGCGTTGCCTCTAGAGTCGCAATCTTGTCGTCAAGGGCTCTGGCCGCGGCGGAAATCGTTTCATCGTGTGACTTGCGGAGCGCTTCCAATTCGCTTGCATGGCCGTCTTTGGACAGCCCGAGCTCCTCGCCATGCTTCCTGCCAGCTTCCTCGAGCTCGTTTCGTGCTGTTTCCAGCTCGGTCAGCTTGGCGGCGACCTCCTCGCGAGCAGAGTTGAGCTCGGCGATCTTGGCTTCCAACTCGGCTTCCAGGGCAGTAATCTTGGATGCAAGCTCTTCTTTGGTAATCTCAAGCTCAGCACGCTGGGTTTCGAATGCTGCTTGCATCTCCGATTTCTCTTTCTCCCATTCACCTTTGTTGGCTTCGTGCTCGCTGAGAAGTTCTTTCTCACGAGCCTGCAGGTTCTCAGCAGCGATCTTCTCATCCTCGCTCTTGATCTCCTCGAAAAGTTCAGTGAGTTCTTGCTTCTGTGTAGTAAGAGCCTTTTCCTGTTCTTCTTTCTGGGCCTCAAGCTCTTTCTCGTGAGTCTCTTGGGCTGCCTTGATGCTGTCGTTTAATTCGTTAATCTGACCCTCAAGCTCGGTTTTCGACTGGGTAAGCTCTTCGTTGGACTTTTGGTGAACAGCTATGCCATCTTCGAGGTCCTTCTGCTTTTCTTGGAGATTACCCAGCTCAAGACGAAGCTCGTTGACGGTATTCTTCAGTTGCGCAGCATCTGCTGCACTCTCACTGGCCGTCTTCTTCATTTGGGTCTGAAGAGCTTCAATGTAGAATTCCTTGTGCAACAAGGCTTGTTCGTGCTGGTTTCCGATCTGTTTCATCTCAGCCTCACGGTTTGAGAGTTTGCTGTGAGTGTTACGGAATCCATGGAGAAGGCGGTTGATGTCTGGAATAGCTGATTGAATCCGGTGGAGGAGCTCGATGTGCTCGCCGTCGGCGTCAGGGGGAGAAACAAGACCATTCTCACCACCCAGTGATAGATTCTGGAGTGCTTGGTATGATGCAGCATATGCTGGGTCTTGGATGCTGTAGCTCCGGTGCATTTGGTGGGCCTCTGGAGAATACCGGGGAGAGTATGACCCATAAGGCGGCATCATACCGGCAGAGCTCATGACCGGAGAGTTGACAGCAGTTGGAACACTCGGTGCAGTGGAAGGTGGTGGTGGGTAGGCCATAGGGACCGCCGATTGGTTGTGAGGCGGAGGTGTTGCAGTGGGAGACATTGTCGGAGACATTTGGGGATAATGAGACCGTGCAAGTGGACTGCTAACCTTGGGTACAGGTGAGGCTGTGTGAGGAACTGGTGAAGCGTAAGGGGAGCCGGCGTATGGCGCAGGTAATGAGTAAGGGACTGGAGAGCCGGCGTAAGATGGAGTTGGGTTGTATGGTCCGGGTAAGCTATATGGAACCGGTGATCCGGCGTAGGCTGCAGCTGGGTGGTAGGGAGCTGGCGATGTGTAAGGAACTGGCGAACCAGTATAAGGTGAACCAGAACCGTGTTGCACAGGTGACTCTGGGAGTGGTACAGAGTAGGGATTTGGTGAGCCGTACGGTGAGGCAGCGTACGGTACTGATGAAGCGTAAGGGTTCTGTGAGCCGTAAGGATACGGTGCTGAGTAGGGGACGGGTGAAGCGTAGGGAGAATAGTTAGATGGTGGAGGGTAATATGCCTGGTTATCCGGAGAAGCGCTGGTCATATACTGTGCCTCTGTCAATGAAGGTGATGGCAATGGCACACAGGCAGCAACCGGAGAGAATGGGTCTGCAGGGGTTGGCGAGACCAAGTTCGTATCCTGGGATGTTTCCGGCTGGTCGCCCTGGTTTGTGCTTGAATCAAGGTGTGGTTGATTCTCAAAGGGCTCCTTGGTTTCAGAGTCAGTTGGAGGCTGCACGAGACCTTCTTCGTCCACGAGCTCCTTGGTCTCAGTGTCTTCGACTTGGGGCTGAGTGAGGTTTGTTCCGTCCAAAGGCTCCTTGGGCTCGGTTTCGGTTTGCTCAAGGTGAGGCTGGACAAGGCTTGGCTCTTCCACGGGCTCTTTAGACTCGGTCTCTTCAACTTGAGGCTGGGCCGGAGTCGCCTCGTCTGCAGGATGCTTGGGCTCAATCTCTTCGAATTGAGACTGAGTTAGGCTTGGCTCGTCCAATGGTTGAGCTTCGTCAACTGGTTTGGTGATTGCCTCCTCTGAAGCCTCTTCGGTTGCTATTTGTGGTTGTTCTGAGGCAGAATCCAGAGCGCCCTGAGGTGCAGCTTCGTCCGCAAGGACCTCGTCTGATGATACGGGGATTGGAGAGTCTAGCTTCTCGGCCACCGGTGACGATGGGTTGGTGGCAGGGGCGGGAGTGTCTTGAGGAGCGTTGTTTTCATCAAAGACCTCGTAGGCTGACACAGGCAACGGAGAAGCAGGCTTGTCAGAAGCAGGTGCTTCTTGACTCTCGGCAGTACCCGAAGCGTCCTGTGGAGCAGTGTCGTCGTCAAACACTTGGTATGCCGATACAGGCAATGGGGAACTAGGTTTCTCTACCGCAGGTGATGCAGGATCTGTGGTAGGAATGGAAGTCTCTTGAGGCGCGGAGTCGTCGTCAAAGACTTCATAGGCTGACACAGGCAGTGGAGATGCAGGCTTATCAGAAGCAGGCGCTTCTTGGCTATCGGTGGCACCCGAGATCTCTTGTGGTGCAGTAGTGTCGTCAGTCACCTCCTGTGCCTCTACAGGCAGTGGTGTAGACAGGTCAAGAGATGCTGGGTCGGCAGGAGGTTGATCTTTTCCTTCAGAGTCCTGCGCCAGAAGTTCCGGGCTGCCAGGTGCAGGAGTATTGGGTGTGGTTGTCTGTTCTGCATTCTCTGGACTCTTGCCCTTCTTAACCTTTTGCTTGTTGGCGGCCTTGCCCTTCGCCTTCTTACCCGCGGCCATAGCGGGAGAGTGATGCGTGCCCAAAAGATTTCCTTGATTCTATGAGACGTGTTACCAATAGGATCAAAGTGCTAAATTCAGCATGAGTAATGGCTCGATCAGATGTTTCGCGGGGATGTGACTGCACTGTACATTTGCGAGCCCTGGCAATGCCTCAAAGATATAGCCCAAAAGTCGGCTATAGTTGGGAGGAATTAAGTCCCCAAAATAACGAGACGTGTAAGCCAACTGGCTTTGACTGGTTGTTCGGGCAGAGACTTGAGGTTCTGTGAACTAAGTGTGGGCGCAAATGATGAAGATCCACGACCGTAGCGCCAGCAAGTAGACACTTCGGGTAAGTCCAAATCTCAATACGCGCTGAGAGATTTAATGCACACAGGGGAGAGAAAAGGGAGAAAAAGCAAAACCCGAAAGAGAAAAAATTTATGTAGACACGAAATCAGTATCCCAACGTTGTTGGGGGACACAATAGCGGACCGAACCTTAGTGTTGATACCCATCTACCCCCAATGTGCGAGAGGGCCGAGGGAAAAAAACGGGGACGCAAATATCAGGGCGCAGATATCAGGGCTGGAAAGGTGATCCTAACCCGCCTCGATTCCATTCTGGACCGAAGCGAGACCAGTTGCAGGGCGCCATGGCATTGGGCATCAAATTGTGGGTTTGGGCGAGGATTCCCGAGTGGGACCGACACCGCAAAGTTGACTTGTTCAATTGAAAGAAAATGATTTGCATGAACTAAGCCGACAAAGCACTGTAATAGATCCAATGGTAAACGAAGGTCGCCTGATGCGGGAGGTGAAAAAGGGATGTGTAGGTGAGGAGCTCAAACAGTGAGGCTACGGACAACACACTGGCTCTTTTGAGGCTTCACCATACACACCACCGACATTCTTCGTACTTTTGCGATGAACATAATATGATTGTTGACGACATTGTACGGAGCACTTTACATTGAAGTCCAATGGCAGTTAGCCTAGGAAGAAATTCTATAATTAATGTGGTTCCTAGAACTGACTTTCCTTGTGTTTAAGATGCGGTCAAGTGCCCAAAATCGGGGGATACCTGACCGCATAGGTAACACAGTTATGGTTGTAGAAATGAGGACCAAAATAGACGGAGGGATTGGCCAGTCATGGAAATGGACAGCAATAACATCAGTTTACTCTACAAACAGCTAAAAACGAAGTATAGCCAGCGCAATGTACGGTCGACGCTAATCCAAATCTGGACGTCACGTGTCATCGACTTTGCTTCCCACCTCTCGCCCTATCATCGGTCCCCAAAGGGTCATCGATCACCACAATTGCTTCCCTCCACACCATGTTTGCCGCCAGACGATCTGCTCCCTCGACGCGGCAACTGCTGCGCACCCAGCGCCGCTGGGGCTCCCACGCCGCTCACGAGCCCGTGAACGAGGGCTTCGGCGTAAGCTCTCCCCCGCGACCGAGTCCGGAAAACGCCTTGACCCACGACCAACAGCTAACAATTGCCTCAATGAACAGCGCAGCTTGTACGTGACCGTCGGTGCCATTGCCGGTGCCTACACTCTCTACCGTATCAGCAAGTCCAACCAGGAATCCGGCTCCCCGTCCTTCATCTCTGGCCTGATTAGCAAGTGGACACCTTCCCAGGAGACCTTCGAGCAGCGCAATGCTATCCACACTGCCATCATGGAGAAGGTTGCGGAAGACCGCCACTTGCTCGGCAGTCAGGGTCCCCGTGAGAACTTCGAGCTCATGCAGCCTGAGTATGTAGACTTGCACTCCGCGCCATCCCGATTCGCCCGCGCTAACAATCGCTTCTTGCAGTATGATGAACACCGGTTCTCCTTACAACGTTTCCCCCGGTTCTCAGGCCGATCTCAGCCACGTCGTCGCTCACTACCAGCGCAAGAACCAGGAGATCGAGGCAGCTCGGGTCGAGCGCATGAAGGATGGCAAGGCCTCCCTCTACGATTAGATTGGAGTTTTATTTTGTTTCTTTCATTTGGTCGGCTGTCTGAACAAGACAAGTGTGGAGGAAAAATCATGTACATATACGTTGGGACTTGACGTTCAATCCAGCACCTGATAATTGGATTTTCATTTGTTCAAAGCAGACCACGAAGTCTATGTTGGACTTTCGACAGAACGGGGCTTCCCGGATACTAATACTGGGTATTGATTTCATTGCATTCATGAGACTCATGATTTAGTCTAAGATTGGGCTGCAGGAACAACTTCCAGAACCACTCTCCCCACGCCCTCAGACTGCACATTCAATTTCTGCTGTACGTCCAACTCATCGGCACATACGTTTTTCAGAACAGCAAGGAACTCATCAACACCGCCACCAACTCCGAAATAAACCTTCTTTGCTGCCACAAGGGCCCGGCTCTGAGTCGATGCATTGCTGGACCGACGAAGCAGTGCGAGAAGAGTTTCGGAGAAAGCTGTCAGCGAAGCTGGCGAGTAGATGGTCTCGCTTGCAAGCACTAGAGTTTTGCGAGAAGATCCCTCGCCTGATGAGAAGACCAGATCAACAAATTCAGGTGACCAAGCACCGGAAATGAATTCAACGGAGATACCACGCTTTGCAAGGTCAGTCTTGAATTCTTCAACCAACTCAGGGGTTATGTCGAGCTCTTCTTCCTCTTGGCTAGGTGCAGTGGAGCTAGTGGAAACTGCGGTTTGGGAGCGACTGTTGTGCCATGTTAGGATAAGGTTGGGCAGCGTAACGAGACGGAGCACGTCGGAGTTGTAGTCCGCAAAAGTCAAGGTAATCTTTTTCTGACTTTGGTCAATTTCACCCTGAAGAAGGCGTGCAAACAAAGTCAAAGTTGGAACCGCTGTTCCTGCGCCGAGCTGTAGTGTATGTGAGTACTCCGGTGACATGTTATATGAGGGTTCGACGGTTGACTAACCTCAATTATATGTACATCCGCTGGGCCATCGGGAGAGTCGCCAAGGGTGTTCTCGTCCAAGGCGAGTTTGGCGAGGTCCAATGCACATTCCCAGGTCTTGAAACCGCCTTCATAGAAATTGGGCTTGATGTCACCTTTTTCGATGCCCGCGATAAGCTCCTCGTTATCATGGCCGGCGCTGTCTTCTGCCATGAGTTGAGTACGAATGTCGAAGATCTCTCGACGGGCCACGGTCAGATTTCTGACGGCGAGTTTGTTAAATGAGATCTGAGAAGGTAGAATTGAAAGCTATACTTTTAGTTAGCGATGTGAAGTTGAAAATTGCCTTGCATGCTTTTTCGCTGATCGGACAATATGCCATGGTCCGAAGTCAATTTATAGACAACTATACTTGACTGAAGATATAAAACACGCCCAGAAACCATGGCCCAAGACGTTGGGACTAATTGGCTACTTACCCATTCATTCATATCATGTTTATTCGCCTGCACCAGCTCAGGAAGAGGGTTGCCAACGGTTTGCTGAGAGGGCACGTCGGAGAAATCATTATTGACATCCGAGTCATCCATGTCGATGTCATCACCCGAGAATCCGAAGCTGAAAGCCATTTCTGCGAATCTGTATGTTCGTTCGTTCTCCGAGACACTTAGTTCCAGGTAGGTGGGATGTTTGAGTTGATGGGACGGATGAAAATTTGCCAAGGGTTGAGATTGGCGAGACACCCGTAAACTGAGCTCAACACAGCAGACAATTGGAACCGATTTTAAGCCACTTGGTCAGACAGGTTTGGAATGTTACTTCCCAGAATCGAGAGATCTAATCTCCATACAAAAAATTCCAGTGGGCAGTTATATCGTTACTAAGCATTCGTTGCCTCAGGCCTGATTGAGTCGGGGCACATCAAATTACATCCAGCACGAAGAAGCCATTTACAGGCTGTATCAAGTACATACCTAGGTAGGCAATGATCTTAGTGTCGGGATTCCCGAGGTTGGAATTCCATTCGGCCGTTGTTCGTTTAGTTGAGCTGGATTTCGGTGCGGGAACATCTACATATTCATAAAAGGAGAAACATGCATGTGGTTGGTAGATCATAATGTCATATGCAAATGGTAAGTAATGCTATCTATGGGAAATTATTTTTTGATGCAAGTTGAAAGACGAACAGCTTAAGAGCTGCCATTGAGCTTCTGCGAAGCAGCAATGGCAGACTCCAGGGCCTGCAGGACATCAGCGTGCAGATCCTCGGAGTCCTCAACACCACAGCTCATGCGAACAAGGTCGTCATAGACACCAGCAGCCTCACGCTGATCCTGGGGAATACCGGCGTGGGTCATGCTGGATGGCACCTCGCACAAGCTCTCAACACCACCCAGACTTTCGGCCAGAGTGAAGATCTTGGTGTATTGACAGAAAAGGTGAGCAGCCTTCTGGCCACCCTTAATGCGGAAGCTCAGCATACCACCACCCATACCATCGCGGTGCTGCTTGACGGCGATGTGGCGCTGGGGGTGAGAGTCAATTCCGGGGTAGTTGACGGAGATAACGTTGGGAGAAGCCTCAAGAGCCTTGGCGACAACGGTAGCGTTCTTGGAGGCCTCGCGGGCGCGCAGGTGCAGGGTCTTAAGACCACGGTGTGCGAGCCAGCAGTCAAAGGGTGAGGGAACAGCTCCAATGGCGTTCTGGAGGAAGGTCAGGCGCTCCTTCAAGGCCTCGGAGCTGAAAGCGGCAACACCCATGCAGACGTCGGAGTGGCCGTTGATGTACTTAGTCACGGAGTGGACGACAAGGTCAGCACCGTGGTCCAGGGGGTTCTGGACGTAGGGGCTCATGAAGGTGTTGTCGACAACAACCAGGATGCCATGCTGGTGAGCAATGTTGGCAATGGCACGGATGTCCACCAGACCGAGAGTGGGGTTGGAGGGAGTCTCAATCCAAATGAGCTTGGTGGAGGGGCGAATCAACTTCTCCACATCTTCCTCGATGTTGGGGGTGAAGGTCACCTCAACACCGTGGGCCGAAGCAACCTTGGTGAAGTAGCGGTGGGTTCCACCGTACACATCGGAGACCGAAACAACGTGAGACCCGGCAGCAAGCGATTGAAGAATGTTCGCTGTTGCGGCAGAGCCGGAAGAGAAAGCAAGAGCGTATTTGGCATGCTCGAGGGCCGCAATGGCTTGCTCGAAGTTATCACTAAGGCGGTATCAGCCCACCGGAACTTATTGACCCAATGCGGAGAGACCGCGGAGTAAGACTTACCGGTTGGGGTTGGAGCTACGGGTGTACTCGTACACACCAACGGGGTTTCCAACGCTGGTTTGCGCATAAGTGGTGGACAGAGAGATCTTGGTCTTGTTAGTTGACACTCTAAGCATCCGAAATTGACGGACTTACCGGAGCAATGACAGCGCCGGTCACGGGATCGTGAGGCGCACCGGCGTGGACGGCCAAAGTGCCGAAACGGCGGTCAGTGGTGTGTGAAGTTTCCGTGGAGCCCATTGTGAATGATTTTTTGACGTTTGAAGGTTTGGAGGTTTGTAGGAACTGGAGGCCTTTTTATAGATCCTTTGTATCACAAATCCCAATTTAGATTATTGCGAATCCTGATTGCTAATCAAGGGCAAGGATGGCGGAGGAGCTGGAATGTTGGTTCTGGAAGAATTGGACGTTTCCGGCTTAAAAAGAAATCCCAAATGAAAAAAAAATTTCAATCCGGAGGGAATCTTTTACATACCATCAACCGTGGGAGAGCTGATGGCGATTGATCGGACCAATGCCACTGGCCGAGCACGACACGGAGCTCCACTGGTCACCACTAGGCGTCGGAGAATCTTCACTTACGCCGACCCGTCGGAGTCCCGGAGTAACCGTCATTGTTCTTTTCTTCTCTTCTTCTGCGGGTTTCAGATGCCCCATTGGCTCACACTTCTGGCACTTGATGCCTGCTTCTTTTAGCATCCCTAGGGTCCCCGGATCGCCATAATCTGGCGGTGATCCAACCCCATATTTGGAAATCCAAACACCGACTTTCTGAGTACCTACTCAAGAGAACTATGATACTAGATCCCCTAGAAGTTGGATAATGACTTCACACATAATTCCGAAATAATTAGAGGAGTAGTCGAACGGCACTCCGACGGTCCGTCTAGGGGTGCTCCGTGCTATAAGTAGAAAAATGATGGAGTACTTCGTACACATCTTAGCTATCTCGGCGCTAAGTACAGAGGCTTTTTCCTAGGTTAGTTAGAGGCATACCCTTTTGGTAGATTGACCTTGGGGGAAGTCGTACTCCGTACTACTCCGTACACTTGAGAAGTACAGAGTACTACATGATCTACTACCCAATACACTACATGAACAACCTGTAGACCTTGGAGGAACATATAATTTTTGAAATCATCCCATAATTTTTGAAACTTTATTGGAAGGTAGAATAACTCACCGCTAGTCGACAGAGCATTGGGCGTGTGTCGTCATTGACCCATTGTACAGTGTCAAAGCGAATCAGGGGGGGAAATCCCATGATAAACACTACTCCGTTCTCAAGACAGATAGAGAGGCTGAGCTCGGGGTGGCAAGTCTTGCAAGGGCCAGAGTAACAAAATGCATAATTGAAACTTTAGAAGATCAGTTGAAGACACGTCGGGAGTACTCAGCTCGGGGCTATTTCCTGCCGAGTTCTGTCGATGAAATTGATATCTAGAAGTTGATGGTAATTGTGCATGGGGGTTGCCTATGGCCGGACACCGGAAAGCTCTTGGGGGTACAAGTATGCGCGGGTTTAGCGGTGCACACAACACTTCCCTAGGTGTGCCCGGGTGCCCGGGGTGCCCCGAATCTATAGATGCCAAGGCTCTTTAGGCGGGGAGGTTCAAAGCGGTTCAGGTAAGTCTCTGCCTGTTCTACGAGGTATGCCCAGGTGCATTATCGTGGAGGTAATCCTTGAAACATCCATCGAGCCTGCAGATAGAATGAATGCAGACATCTTTCAAGAAATACATCGTGGTCCGGATGGAAGCGTCACTACACCAGCAAGGTCAAGTCCCGTCTTGCGCCGAAATTACATCGTTTTCCACCATGCTTTCCCAATGCTCACCCTCGATCTCGATCTTTTCGGGACTTGGAAATTTGAAGCACGATGCGGTCATTACTCTCGCAGACCCGGAGATGTCTGTGCGTGGGCACTACAACATACCATTTGTATTCGTAGGCATTGATTCGTATGGGTATATGATGTATCTGATATGAGCAAGGAAATTGCATGGGCGCTCTGAACAAGTCGCAAGGGAGAACATATTCTGCTGTCAAATTCAATGGTGGTTTCACAGTGCTCGGTCTACCACCACGTGACAGGTCCCATTCCACCCATTTGCATTGAGCCCTGGAAACGGTCAATAAGAGTGATCGAGGGGATAGAGCTATTGAACGCACCAGGATGGAGTAAGGCGGCCTCCTGTCTTGGGGAGTCTGATCACCAAGCTCAGGCGCATTGGGAATCTGGTCATGCCACTCCTCTGCTTCAATTCGGAACCGAACAACTTCTCCAACATCAAAGAAGAATTCTGATCCTTCGTCGTTCTTCCAGATCCATACTTGCTCCGCGGGGTCACTAAGCCCTGATTAGCAACATGTGGCTGAGCCACGGTCTGGGAACGGCTCACAATGTAGAATTTTCCATCAGCATCTCCTTTGGGATCAAGACATCGTTGAAGAATTCCAGCCCAACTGTTGAATAGTTAGTGAATTGAAATAACAAAAGCAGCATGCGGTACTTACTTTTGATGCCATATTCTGTGCCACTGGATATTTTTCCTAGCATGATCTCTCCCTTGAAGGGTCGGAAAACGATCATCCGGAATTTCACTACCGCGAGATCAATAAGCATGATGACTGGAGCGAAATGGCAAGCAGACATACCGTTGACATTGACCAAACCAGTTCCATGGCCAATCAGGCCATCCGATGACTCCAGAAGGTCATAGAAGCTAATACAGAGACCGATCTTTTGAATTACCTAGGGACGAATGTTAGTTTGAGGGAGTGCAGGCAGCATATGTATGATACCTTGTTGGCGTACTTGGCGTTGATATTATCTTCTATAGCCACAGCACTAAATTTTGAGAAGTCCTCGGGCGAGATCTGGATCAAGTCCGAGATGGTAGTCTGCAGTGGTTAGCCAAGGGCTCCATATACGGGCAGGAGACATACAAGGATGAACATAACGACGGTGATAGCTGTACGGCAGTAAAGCGGTGTTGGTCTGAGCACGCCGCGAATATTGTTTCGCTTGCTTTCTTCTCACTCAACGCTTCTTCACTGTGCAATCAGAATCCTTCGAAGTTTGAAGATTCTCCGAGCTCCGCCAATCAGTGGAGACTTTGACACGTGACCCGTGTGAAGCCTTCAGTCCCAAAGACTTCAACCGAACCGTCAATATTCGCCCGAGTGTTTTTCTGAGATCGTACTGGGGCCGCTGGAAGGTCTACAGGCTCTCATCATGGGTTCTCAGGGGTTTTCTTTCCCACCCCCTCCCCCGCCGCCACCACCTACCCAACAACCAACCGCTTATCCTCCAACTCAACATGGACACAATTGGGGTGGACGAGGTGGAGCTCAAAGAGGACGTGGAAGAGGTCAGGGTCATCGAGGCAGAGGTGGCCATGCTGAGGGGGGTCGGACACCATCCTATCCCGCGCCCGGAGGCTTCAATTACGCCCAAACGAATTATGCCGGCTACCCCAGTCAACCTGTTCATGCAGCGCCTTATATGCCGCCGGCGCCATACCCCCACGGACAATCGCAAGGTTACCAGAACCCTCAGGGGGCATCAACATTCCCCAATGCCCCATTCCCGCAGCCGGTGGCTGCGACGAGCTACCAACATCTACCCTACAATGCGCCCGCCAATCAAGCTGCGCCCTATCACTCGACTCCGCCGTACATGCAGGGACTACCGACTCCGCACCATAGCCATCAATCCAACAGCCAAGCAATGATGGGCGCCATGCCATGGGGGAGTGATATGCACGGGCAATACATGGGAGCTCAGCCAGGGCAGGCACGAGGGCCTCGACCCCACGCGCATGGAAACTACGGCTCAAAGCCCAAACCGAACCAGAAGCGAGATCATGCCTCCGCTTTCACCAAGCCTCAGTCTACTGTTCCTCGACCAGCTGCTGCCCCAGCCGTGCCCAGCTTTGGGAACCCTCTACCTTCGAAACCCCCACCCGCTGCAGATGCCACAGGCAATCGCAAGACGAAGAAAAGGAAGAGGAAGCACAACCAGCTGGGATTGACTCCGAACGCTGACGATCACGAGTCCAGCGAGGAGGACGAAGCGGAGGGCGCTGATGAAGAAAGCAAGCTCGCGCAAAACGGATCCAATGCCGAAGCACTCCAGGTCTCCTACAAGGGCAAGACCTCTACCTTAAAAACGCCATCCGAAATTGCCGCCTGGATTGCAGAGCGAAAGAAGAACTATCCCACTCAGGCTCGAGTCGCAGAAAAAAAGAAAGCCGCCGAGGAGGCAAAGGCCTCTCGGGAAGCTGCTCGTCAGAAGACACAGGAGCAGCAGCAGGCTCAGTGGAAGGAGGGCCGCAAACAGAGCGAGAAAACACCAAACGCTCCATCAGACTCTGGGGCAGATCCGGATACAAAGCGTAGGGAAGAAATCCGGCGCAATCTCGAACGAGAGCAGGAACGCATTGCTAAAGCTGTGGCTGAGGCCGACGCAGCTCGTCTTCGCTTGGAAGCTTTACAGAAAGAAGCATTGAGTCTCAATACGGAATGCATCAAGGAAGAAGATCAGACAGTCAAAGATGAGCCAATTACGGATTCGCACGACAATATTGCCGCGCTTAATATTAAAACCGAACCAGCCGACAACGATGAGCCGCAGGAAGCCACTTCTAGCTCCGAACCCAGCGCTCCCGCGTCCTGGGTGAAGAAGGAGCCAGAGTGCGTCCTCGAAGCGCCGGAAGTCCCAGCCAGTGCTCCCTTCGGCGCCCCCACTCCTCATGACATGAAAGCTGTGAATGAATTGTCCAATCAGGGCAGTGACTGGACATCGTCAGATGGCTCGGATTCTGATTCCGAGGCACATTCCGACTCCGACAGCGCGCCCGAACAAGCCAGTTCACGCCGTACGGGACCAGAGCGCGTCCCACCCCCACCCCGCCAAAGCAAGGTCAAAAGTATTTGCCGCTATTTCAGCAGCGGGAAGTGCAGAAAAGGCGACCAGTGCACATTCCTTCACGATACCGCCGAAGGTGGTCCCAAAGCAAAGCCAGAAAAGAAGGCCGAGAAAGAGACTCGACGCAAGGGACTTTACCAAGCCGTGAGTGTCCCGAAAACCGTTTTGAAATCCCACTAACCCGGATTAGTTGCTGGACCGGCAGAAAGACGATGAGGATCGCCGAGCCATGGAAGTGATCTCCTACCTGGGGCAGCACAATCTGCTGGCCCCACCAGATACAAATACCCCAACCAGCTAGTGTCTGAAACGCACTGCGCAACATATTCAAGGACACAGCTTTAAGACCCCGAGGTGCAGGGGCAGGTTGTATTTCCAACACTCCAGCACCTTGAGTCGCGTGGCTTCATTTGGCAAAGGGGGATGAGCTGAATTGCTAACTCTATTGATTTTTTCCTCGGTCCACAGCCTCGATCTAAATTTATCCCTGTAGCTCCGGAGTATATAAATTCTTTTATTTTTTCTGTGTAGTACTCGTAGTTACGGAGTAGGCCACAAGTGAATATAGCCGACAAGTGGATACTCTCATCTTAGGTGCCTTTGGGGCCAAAGCCACTCAATGGAGGCAATTGAACGCCAAGCGAGGAAAGGAAACCCGTTAGTGGCCCCCCGTCCGCCTCCCAAGCTCGTGGATCGCCGCCACGCGCAGTCGAAAAGGCCCTAACTCCTCGTACTAAAAGGGCCCTTTGTGTAGAATAGCCAATCACTCACCTTGCTTCCCTGTATTTGTTTTTCCTATTTTATTTGCCTTTACCGGAGTCTTCCTAGCGGCGGACATGCTTTGGCACTTAAAAGACTAGCATCCGCTTGATCCGGCTCTTGTTTCCATTTTGCCTCTCGTTTACCCCGTTCGTTCATTTTTGAGGCTTTTACCTTTCCCGTGATTTCTTCACTGCCACTCATTTAACTTCTTCTACTACCCGTGTTACCTTGATACTTTGATACCCCCAATACCCTCCATACCTTCAACCATGCGTTTCTTCACTTCTTTCGCTGTCGCTGCTCTGGCTGCCGTTGCTGCCGCCAACAGCAAGGCTAACCCCTTCAACATCCCCACGGATGGCTACACCTTCAAGGTTGGCGAGCCTACCACCTTCACCTGGAAGCCCACCACCAGCGGCACCGTGACTTTGCGCCTGCAGTGGGGTTCCGTGACCACCGCAACCTCTGGCACTGCCATTGCCTGTAAGTGAGGTCGCGCATCGTAGTGACTCATATATGCCGTTTCGCAGACAACAATTTGCTGATATATCAATTCAGCCAACATTGATAACTCGGGTAGCTACACCTGGGACGTGCCTTCCAACCTGGCCGCCCAGCCTGACTACACCATTGAGATTATCTCCGACGAGGACTCCAACGACTACAACTTCATTGGTCGTTTCACTGTCGAGGGCGCAACTGTCTCCGTCACCTCGGCGACCGCCACCTCAACCACTGCCCACTCGACTTCCGAGTCCACCAGCTCCTCCACCCCAACCACCACCTCGGAGTCGACTTCCAGCTCCAGTGCCAGCACCAGCTCTAACTCCAGCACCAGCGCCAGCTCTAGCGCCACCACCCTGACCACCGCTACCAGCACCTCGGCCTCCAGCACTGGCAGCTCCACTGCTAGCTCCTCCGCGACAACTGAAAGCTCCAGCTCCGCTGCCTCTTCCACCGCTGCTACCTCCTCTGCTGCATCGCAGAGCGCCGTTCCCACCACTGACTCCGGTGCTGCTGTCGCAAACCGCGTCTCAGGCGGTATGTTGGCTCTTGTTGCCGGTGCCTTCTTGCTGTAAATTATGCATCCAGACGGTCTAGAGCCCGGTTGGGCCAATTAGCCGCGCCTGGTTTCCATTTTTCATTTCTTGGATTGGCTGTATATTTGAAACAGTTTAATTGCCTTTGATTATATCTCATTTCCCCATCTCCGCGACCATTTGACCATTCTGTACAGAACTCGATGGTTCGGTATCGGAATAGGGGGGTTTTTTTTTTATAATGTGTGCGTCGGCCACGAAGCGATAATGTGTACTTTTTTTCATTTCCCTAATGTACAATGCATGATTCTTCCGAGTCTACCTCGTATCTACTCCGTAGCGGGCCACGATCGGCGGGTGGGGGAGATAATCAAAATATCACCCACTTTTAATTGTAGCCTAATGCCGCGTGATCATCCTGATTGTGCCTTGGGGTGCATTTCCTTGGTGCATTTCCTTGGTGCATTTGTCGCCAAAACCTCCAAGGCTCGCAGTCCCAACCCCCTGAAACAGGGTCCAAACGAAATAATGAACCATTGTAAACCCTGAACTCTGGCCGTTTGGAATTGGAAACATTAGCTTCTAGTTTTCCCATGAACCGTCTGATTTTGTGCAATCCAATTTTTGTCTAGTTTGGCTGTTTAGTGTCTGTTTGGGGTCTGTTTAGCGTCAGCTTGGTGTTGCCTTAGTCCCGGTCTCGCTTTTACGAGTCGCTTTTACGAGTAATGATTTTATTTCTTTTTTGTCAAATGTTTTGATCTTCACGATCTACTCGTAACGGTAATTTACTCCCACGGGTAAATTTGGATCGGCGCAACTGCCGACTCGTATACAACGGTCGCGGTACGAGGTTCCCAGGCGTCGAAAGATATCAACTCGGAGGGTGTCCGTCCACACAAAGTACATTCACCTTGCTGCGACTCGAAAGCATTAGTCCATGACCCATCTCTGCTACACAACTATCCCCGAGTCTAGATGCTGAGCAACTCTACGTTTCAGTCCCCAAACGTCATTGTGATCCGAACCATCTAGGTACGAGGACTCGGATTCCATGTGGAGGGTTCACAGAGGTGACACGAGTCGGGCTGTGCTTCTAGGCATCCATGCTATTCTGCAGAACTAACCCTTATGCATGCATGTCTCGCAATACACACCAAAATTTCATGACACCCTAAGTCAACAACAAGCAGTCAACGGCCTCAATTCTTCGAGGCTGCTACTTAATCTTTAGAGCCCTGGCATTCGCTCAAAAACTCAATGTCAGGCAAGGGCGCTGATATGCAACGTCCAAGATTTACCTCGTGTCAGCACTGAGCAAGGGTCCTGGCAGTGTGCAGTTTACTGCATCTCCCAGTCCAATCGCACTCGTCCTCCAGATCTACATATCTGCACATGGGGTCCGCTCTATGATCTATCCATTAAAAATCCCCTTGAGCCGATGCAGATACAGATGCAGAAATTGGGGTCATTTCCCACACCTCCTTGAGTCGTAAATGGCTTAAGTTGTCCTTTGGGACTGCACTACTCACCTGCACGGTTGCTTATTGGCTCGCCCTTGCCAGCGATGCCATGACAGTTCGGTTTTCAATGATCGCCCCCCTGGCGTGCAGCAGAGTCCATTGACGGACCGAAGCGACCGAGATCCTGGACATTTCTCGGCTGGCTGCTTCGCACAAACGCCGTGGTATAAAGATTCTGCTACGTCCCCCGGATCTAGGGGTAGGCTCATTGTATTGCTCTGTGCATCGACTAATTTTCGAGAATCTATCCACTCTGATTCAATCGGTAGATACGACCAGGCCGTGAGATTCATAATGATATCTCCTAAGCTTCTTGTCGCATTGGCTGCGGCTTTCGCCGCACTTTCCGATTCTGCGAATGCCCAGACCAACATCACTGAAAAGGCCTGCGCTTCCTCATCCGACTTCTCAAGATGCAACAGGGATGTTGCGGAGAAGTGGAGCTCCTGTGTGAGAGACTGTAATGGCAATGGCCACTGCATTGTGGATTGTGGCTGCGACTCCCACCGAAAGTATATTAATTGCATGGCTGAATCATGCTGGAATCAGGTATGACATTCACAACCTCAGAAACCTCGATTATCGATATCTCCATGGCCAGCCATATTCTTACCGCTCATTCAGGTCTACTCCTGCAAGTACCAGCTCTTCATCCAGCAATACTTTGCCGTCTGCCCGAGTGCCCACGAGCCAATTCCCTTCTGGCCAGCACCAAAGAACGCCCCGAACCGCTGCTCCTGTGACGTTGCCAAGGTGGTACAGACGACTTTAACCTCCCGCAAAGAACAATTAAATTGCATAAAAAACGCCACCGAAAACATCAGCACCAACATCTCCGATCTATCAAATCTCAATACCGGACTTGACATCGCAGGCCGCACTTCCGACTGTGCCTGCTGTGGCGCGAGCGCCAGTATCTCTGCGTAAGTCTTCTCCCAGCATGGAGCGACAAAAATCCCTATCTAACTATATTAGATCATGGGATATCTGCCCTCACACAGAGCCTCGACTCGCCGGCGCAGACATGTGGAACGTCTTCTTCCCCTCCAGTCTACCAAACCTATACACATCGGTACCAGACTGGGCCTGGTCATCTTCATCCTGTGACTCGAAAATCGACAGCACGAAGTGTAAAAATCTCGGGTTCACAGCAGACAAATTCTACAAGCCCGGCGACTATCCCAAGAACGGGACCTCGACTCTCTCTGAGATTGCTGGTACTGTTAGTGCTCCACCAAGCGGGACCGTTCTCACGTGGTCGCAGGCCTCGAGTACATACACCGTCACTGCGACTGGGTATGATAGTAAGGCTGTGGCGAGTCAGAGTGAGTATCGCGCTACGGCGACGGGAGATGATGACTTTGCGACGCAGACTTCGGATAGTGCGGCTGATGCTGTTGGTGTGCGGAATGGCGGTCTAGGTGCGGTTTTGGGGGCGGCTTTTGCGGTTCTGATGCTTTGATGGGTACGGAGTACATCCAGGAGAAAGGGTGTGGGTTGAAGAGTTGATGCTTACATGGTTAAGATGTGATGTGATTGCGAAAGAACTAGATTTTATGAATACAAATAGAGCCAAAAAGAAGTTCTTTCTCTATACTTAGGTATATCTATAGATATAACTTACACTCCAATATGGCACTTCGGGGAATCAAAAGGGATTTCAGACTTCAAATAGGTGGACGGCATTGATATAAGCCCTGGAGACCCCAATCGATCACATCAGGTCGTTGGCGGCTTCCTGTTTCCCCCCATATCCTTACTTGTCTTTATCTGTCTCAACCGCATTGTAGTTTTCCTCGTCTGTGACCTCCTCTTTCTTGTGCTCGCATCCTCTCAGAGCACTCAATCTAGCGGGGTTACAGCACGAAGGGTCTGAGTGTAGGCATCCATTCTGGGGCTTTTCACCTCTGGAAGACCCTATCTCAGTAAATTAGCTGGAAATCGGCACCCGATGGATCCAGGTATCTTGGTGATCTCGCTGGGATTGCCAGGCTTCTCATTTCTGGTAGTGTTCTTCAAAGTTTTCGCAGCTAATCTAGCTGGTCCTCAATGTGTCGGTCTATGTCTGGATGAGATGGATGACTCTGAACTGTTTTTGGTGGCTGTGCTCTTTTCAAAATTAGGGACGGTCCCATCTGCGCTGACATTATGATGGCCTACCTTGCAACCGCTCTCATTCTCTTGTTCATAAGAACTATGTGTCATTATCATGTCGGGGTTTCCCAAGTTGATCATGGCGCAGTCAGGAGTCAACCGATAAACTGCGCTGGCTGCATTGATATCACAAGTTGCTTCTTTTCAAGGCTGGCCTGGATGTCGTCCTCCCGAGGTCATCTCCAAGAACGACTCTTTTGATTAATCTTGACTGAAAACAATTTGAAATGAACGACTGAAGGAATTGCGTCTACGCGTCAATAAAGAAGCTCCTCGCTAAGACAGACACATACTCCGTGATGGGGCTTCTGAGGCATGCTGAGAAGGCTAAACACCCCAACACCAGTCTGACTCAAAATTATTCACTGTTTATAGAGCAGCAACCAAGCCAGGGCACATTCCAAATCTTGGCGAGGGTGATGCAAATTCGAATGGGCTAGAGCAGACGAGAAAATCTTTGAGCAACAGATCATACTGTTACCATTATCGAGAAGTAACATGACCATTGCGTCTATCGTCGGGTGAACATTTCTGGCCGTGGATCAAAAACGAACATCCAGTAAGTTTTAAGAATGAGATGAACCTAGGCTTGGAAATCAATTCAGAGCTAAATACCATACAGACTCAGTTTTCAGACACCACAGCAAACTGAAACACCTCATCGCCCAACCCGCAAATAGTTCGACTAGATGTTTGAAACAAGTTGCAGGACCTCAACCGCAACTAGAGATCCAAGTCTGAGAAATCAAGAAATGAAACACGTTCGTTAATTGTCTGTCAACTGCGTAACAGCTATTTTAAAAGATGACACTAAACCGACAAAGACCGCCAGTGAAACTCCAAGGCTCCATAATTATGATATCAATCATTAAGTCGTAGCCCGCCAGAAATGCAGGACGTAGGAGGTCAGCACCTCGTTCAAGCGTAAATGCAAACAACGGAGAAAAACCCCCTCTAACCCTGGACCCCCTTGACCCAAGAAGGAACAACCCGCTTCAAGAACTTCATAAACTTGAAGAAACCGACAGCATATTCGACATTGCCATGAGGATCGACGACCCGCTCAGGGAAAGCAATACCGGCACCATACAGGCCCGAGATAACAGGGCCAGTACCCGGTTCGTGGAAGGCGCCAGTATCATGGTCAAACTCCATAGAAAGGGGAGCGTTGTTTCGAGTCAGCTGCGGCAATGGGTCACGGGTGTATCCGACCGCCTGGACAATATAGTCACATTCCGGCAGGTACTTCTGATATTGGGCAGACTCGATATCCCGACCACCCGCGCAGTCGATCTTAGTCAGAACTTTGCCTGCATCGGAAATGGGAAGCTTATCATCTTCTAGCTGCTCGCGGGCAAATTCTGCAGCGTGGCCCTTCAATCCGGTGTTATCGCGCAGAATCCAGCCATCTTTGAATTCGGCGTAGCGGAGCGCATGGCGGGCGAACCACTTGATGCGGAGATTAGGGTGGGAGGTGTTGGCGAGATGGATGAAATTGAGGATGGCTAGGATGGCACTATGAGAAGCGCCGACGATGGCTACCGTGAGAGGCTTATCCTCTAGGGTCTGTGCTAGCTCGGTGGGCTTGAGGACTAGGTCGAGGTCCAAACGCTGAATGTTCAGTCCGGGGACCGGGACCGGGACGTTAGTGGGGTGGGCGCCTGTGCAGAGGATCAGGCGGGTGGTTTCGATGTTGAGATCAGGTGAGCCCTGCTGTCTGACGCGGATTGTCCAGGCCTATGATGTCATTGTTAGTCTATTGATTTGCACGCTGATCTCGATATTACCCACCTGCTCATTGAGATTGGCTGCTGCAACAAAGCCTTGGAAGGCATGGACTTGTTCCATTTTCACCAGGCCGTCGGTCAGACCGTGGATCATGTCTGCCGCATAGCTCAGGGTGCATGTTTTCTCTTGGTCCAGTTTGGCCAGAGTAGTGAATGCGTTTGGTGAGCGGGAGTTATCAATGATCTTTTGGAATGGCTGAGTTGCCGTTGCGAATGCTTGGAAAAATGAAACCTTGGTGTTGCTGGTTTGCGGGTTAGCTGCCCGGTCTGATATCATCCGGAGCTGGGTACCAACCTAGGGACCTCGCGGTACTTGGCGTGGACTCTACCGGCGGTAAAGCTGGGGTCAATCCATGCGATAGATCCTAGCTGTCGCTCCAGAAGATTGCCCATCACAGCAACGCCGGCCGGGCCAGCGCCAACAACGACAGCGGCGCACTTGCGGGTAGCCATAATGATTCAATGTGGTTCAGAGAGCACGGATCCAGGGAGCACAGCGAATGTGACGTGACTCGCAGAATGTAGCTAAGAGAGTGAAATAAAGAATAAATGATGAAGGTATCAAGTGGTTTTTCATTCGGACTAAATAAAAGCAACATCGGTGACTGACGGGGAACCCTTTAAAAAGGGGGGGTGAACGGCGAAAGCCAAGACCAGGGAAACGACAGCCCGCGATGGAATGTGAGTCGCGATCATCGTGCAGATAACGCGAGCATCGTCCAGTCGGGGTGTCGCTATAAGACGGGAACATTGATTCTGGTCCAGTTCAGGTCCCCGGTTGACACATCAGCTCTCGGACGAGATGGTTCGCCGTTTAATGGTCATCTCAAGGGAGAGCTCGGGATTGGTTGTGCTGTGTTGCGGTCTGTTCAACGGGACACTTTTTCGTGTTGAAACGCCGACTCATTTTCAATCGCCGATTGCCCAAGCCCCACTGCCCGGCTGGTCGGCTGCGTCGGTAGAGCTGCCTCTATGTGCAATATGTAGTGATTGTGATTCTGTATGTTCATGGTTAGCAGGGTGCAATATTGATGGGTGCATGATAGTCGATATGAAGCGAAAAATAGAAAGGAAGATGATGGAGGGGATAGAGTGATTTATATTCTGTTGTTCTGGCGTCGATCGGGCGGTCTTGGCGGGATGGCGTGCTCGATTTTGGGCTTCGGAGCCCAATCAGCGGTGGTCAACTATACTGAGGCGTACCTGGGCTAACACCTGGTCTGGCCAATCTCAAAGACATCAATCTCCAATCTGGGCGTACTTAATGAATGCTGAAGCCTACTGATTTACTATGTGACATCGATGTATGATCATTTGGTCTGTAGTTCGCTTATGCGTCAACCTGATATCTGGAACCAGGCACATCTACCTCTAGATCCTATAGTCCTGGGAATCCTATAGTTATCGATCTAGGGTTTCCTCATACAGCCCAGTAAATCCGCACGCTGGCACGGTTGACATGGTTCGACCACCCGGGGAATCTCGCCCGAGCCCATAGTGCAATTGAATCCCCGACTTCTAGCTCCCGCACCCCACGTCCATCAAGGGTAAGTCGGCCACGACCCCGAGTCTTCTCGATCTCATGAGCTTCGGGAGAGTCTGCCTTCACATCGTCACGATAGTCCCACACAATCGTGGTGTGTTGCATCTCACTGACATGAGCCCCATTCACCTGCAACTTGTTGCCGCGTGGGAGAAGCAGGTCATCCGCTTCGGTGTAATGTTTGCGCACTTGTCCGCGTTCGTTGTCGAGTATCTCTTGCTCATTACCATTGGCATACATGCTTTTCTCGTGTGCGCTGTGGATGACTTCGGTGTCGAACCATGTCCATGAGAATTCGTACATGTTATGGTGGCGCCGTCGCCCTCCTTGATCGTGGGACGAGAGATTGAAGATAATCTTGCGACAGGGATGCGTGCCTCGATGAGGTAATTGCTTCGGAGATGATCCCTGTTCTAAGCTCTATACGGGAAAGTTGGTCAGCACTCTCGTCAAATGGTTCAAACAACGATAGACATGCGTTTCTATCATAGCACAAAGGCACTGTCTTCAACAAAACTTGATCACAGTCTTTGTGAATTGTCCTCTGTTCGTCTATCGTATGCTCTATCGAAGGCCAATATTCAGCAGCATCGATGATCATATCGACGAGTTCCTCCGGGACACCAGTAGTGAGTTTCCACTGGAGCAAGAACCGCACTTTGAGCACATCCATCAAGCCCGGATTGAAAATTGCATTTCCTGACTCCGAGGTAGTGTCCATAGAGTCATCGGATTCTGACTCGTTGGTTTGGAGTGGCAGTGTGCCCCGGCGGCGCTGGTTTTCAGGGCGGACACCGTGAGGTAACATGGTGGTAGTTGGGATTCAGATGTTGGATCGAATGTTAAACCAAACTTTGGTGGCACTTGGATGCGTATATTCCAACTGTAGATATTTTGATGAAGGTGATCTTGATGTCCCCTCGCCGCCACATTCCAAGGCTTCACTCTGGGCCTTCGGGCGGTTCAGATGATACGGTCCGTTGAAAAGTATCTTTATTGTATCACCCGAGTGAGCTCCGGCCCTCGTTGAGACGTTTTATGATGTAAAGGTATGTGTCGAGATAAAACCAGAGCTGGAATATTGAGAAGTGACAATCAGGTTGAAGGCCATGGAGTACGAGAAGAACAGAGTAAACAGCAGCTGTGAAACACTTGGGGGTTAACTGACGTCATTGCATGCCCTACGCTTCAGGTCCATATAAGACTGCCTTACATTAAGTAGAGAGTGTGAGTGAAATGGTCAAGCTTAGAAGCGTCGTAAAATATATTGAAATGCCCTTCCTAACGCCTTCTTAAGATACAGTAGCAACTGAGCCAGTTTTAATCCCGTCGGCCACCCGCCGCCTTGTAAGCCGCAGCACGCTTAGCACTCCTGGAAGTCCGCTTAGCCTTCTGCCCACGGCTCTTTTGCTTCATTTTGATAGACGATGAGCCCTCGGTGGCACGGTGGCCCTCAAACACAAAGGAGTTGCCAGCAATGGTACTGTTGGCCTCAGCCTTAACCTTCGCTGCACCAGCCCGACCCAACAGTCGGTTGGCACGTCCTTGCATGGTCTTTTGAGCTTCGTCCACGCGAGACTTCTTGGAGTCAGGACCAGGTGCAGCAGACTTCTTCGCAACCTTGCGGGCACGGGTGACGCGCAGCTTGCGAGGAAGCATCGGTGGGAAGTTTTTGCCGTTCAGAGGAAGCGATTCTTCGACACCGTTGCCATTGTAGAACTGAACGTAGGCAAATCCCTTGCCAACACGAGTAGTGCTGTCACGAATGACACGCACAAACTCGACGTTCTTCTTGACGGCCTTCTTGTCCTTGCCGCCGGTGTGGGCGTTGAAAATGCGCCACAGGCCCTCTTCGATATCAGCGGGAGCGCGCACCTTCTTCTTCTTTCCGGTCTTCTCGTCTTCTTCGGGGGTCTCGCTATCGATAAAAGACAGGTTTCCAACGAAGACACAGCGCTTGTGATCAATCTCGGCAGGGTGAGCAAGACTGTCTACACGCAAGTGACGGTCCAGAACGATGGATCCATTCAGAGCAGCGGGAGCTTTGCGTGCTGCCTGCAGAGTGGAGTACACAGCGTAAGCGTTAGTGCTAGGTGTGGTCTCATCCAGAATCTCGCGCTTCGCAAAGGATGCGCGCTTGGGGATACCACCGCCACTGGCGAATGCAACAGAGCGGAAGCGAATCGACTCGACCTTGTGGGGTCCGGTAGACTCGGGGAGAGTTGAACAGAAGGAAGCTAGGTGGCGCAGGAGGGTCTTCTTGGCGGTCTTGGATCTAATTGCCTCTGTAGAGACGTTGCCCAAAAAGACTGTGCGGTTGGACTTCTCAACTTCGTCGGAGGCGGCAGTACCAGCCACACTCTCGTGCACCGGGGCAGGAGCGCTCTCTTCCTCGTCGCTATCTTCGGAGACGGATTCTTTGTCGGAGTCCTCCTCCTTCTCGTCGTCGTCGTTCTCGTCGTCACTGCTTGCTTCGGCTTGCTTTTGGCGCTTTGCGTGCTCAGACTTGCGCTTTTCTTCGTCCTTCTTCTCTTCCTTTGCAATGCGACGCATATATGTCTCTTCGATATCCTCGCCAGCGCCGCCACGCTTCCGCTTGCGGTTTTGTGTCTCAGCGGGCTGTTCGTCTTCCTCGACGGCCTCAGAGGCGCTCTCCTCCGCGGCATCATCCATCACTTCGTCGCCTGAAGACAACTCCTCGTCATCCTCCTCGACATCCTCCTCTTCCTTCTTGGCCTTTCTAACAGGCTCAACGTACTTGATTGTGGGGGCTTGCACGGGACCGGACTAACTAGTGTCAGCTAGATTCTCACCACATATACACCAGGTATCAACTTACACTTGAAGCGAACAGGGAGGACAATGTTGGGTCCAGAGAAGCACCACCGAGGGGAATGCCGGAGGACTTGGCCTTCTCCTCTGTCTTTGTAGATTTAGTTTTTTTGCCCATTGTTAAGATCAACACAGTCTCTGACAAAAGCGTCAAGGTAAATGGAGCAGACGTGGCTTTGTTGTAATTACGCCTCTGATAGCTCCGACTTTTTTTTTCTTTAGATTTCTGCTTATCGGGTCTTGGCGCGGGAAGCTACGCTTATGTAATTTTATGCGGTGTAGATCGAATTACCAGTAATTACATGCGAAACCCTCCCTCTCTCAAGGCTCTATATGCATAAAGATCTTCTATGCAGCTGCTTCTTGTTCCTGAACTTCTTGCTGTACGTGGAAAGTCATTCTCTGTAGAGAGGTCTGAATGGAGGTGATCTTGGCTCCAATGTTTTCCGCTTGTGATTGGGTGGATAAGTGTATACCTCACTGCAGCATATTCCATGCCACAACAATACACAATGCAGTTTGTTAGACAGTTCTCGTAACTAGTATATCCCCCGCACGGTGCAATATCAACGCAGTGTTATGCCCAACCTATCCTCTTCCGGCTACGTCAGATGGGATCAGATGGAACATCACGTGACTTGCTTTTTTCTTCGGGCGGTGAGCCCGCCCTCGCCGGGAACGCGGCAGAACCCCGTCACTCGCTTCTGTTGCTGCACCCCATCATAGCAATCTGCTGCTTTTGTCTGCTGAAACCCCCTCTTTCGCTCTACCTTTCCATCCCGATTCATTCCTCTAGTATTGATTACGATCCCTGGGTACTTCTTTATGCCGTCCGACCCTCTGCGACTCGGTACTTCGTCTTGACTGCTTCCTACTTAATCTCCCCTCGCCCTCCACAGTCGGTCTGCGCAGGATTCGTCGGACCGAAAGCTTTTTTTGGAGGCTTACAACACTGGTGATACGCGTGGGCCTGGACCTGAGTGATAAGCTGCGTCACAGGAACGCGGTGGTTCTGAGAATCGTGCTCGGTCGCGAGCAGCTGTGCTCATTACCGGTGTCGCTCCCGGCGCATTGTTAGAACGGTACGTCGCTAGAGGGTCTATACCACTTTCTCGCTTTTGTTGGTCGTTTTTATACGGGGGAAAAGATATTTGGGATCTTCAGGGTACAGTGGATGGTACACTTGCTTTGCGCGGCCTCTGATTCCTACGCTGAGCGATTGTTGCCGACTCTGGGGCGTCCGATGATCAATCTCCGCACCACCGCCTTCTGGGGGCGCTCGCCCATCCTTTGCACCCACCCTCCACTGTTTGCCCACCACCATTCATTTTCGGTGGTTTTGCTATCTTGACATGGCAATTGTGCTAATCTGTTTCATGATTTGTTCAGATTTCCGATTGAAACTCCAACTGGTCGACCGGTGACCTTCCTCCCCCTCTCCACGCCATCGGCGGATCTCACCCTCGCCGCAAGCAACCAACGTCCGCATACTCTCTCTTCCCTCCTCTCAACCATCATACTGCATCTGCGCCAGCTTTGTGTCTTGTGATTTAGTCAATGGAGGTGGCTGAGAGCAGAGAACAGGCCTCCGTTGGTCATACAACGGGGGCAGAGTCCACCATTTCCAACGGTGATCGCAACCCTTTCCTGGATGACCCGCTCATGGATGATGATGGGCGGTCAAGTAGCTTGAGTGAGATCGACGACGTCTCGGACAATGAGCCGTCAGACTTCGAAGATCCCATCAAGTCAGACAAACCAATGGAGAACGACTCGGAGGCCGAGACTGAACGAATCGAAGATTCTCCACACAACGTTCGAAAACGAGACATCGTGTTGAGTGCTGGCAGTGCCGGCCCAAGTCCGAGCAAGCTCCACCAATCTACAACGCTTGACGATGTCGATGACGACGCACTCATGGCAGATGATTCACCTACCAAACGTCGGTCCTCCAAGAACAATGGGTTGACCGACGAGATTCCGGACCTTGGCGATTCCGAACTTCCAGATAGCATTGGGAAGAAGCGAAAGCGCGTTGAAGCCGGTGACGAGACCACCGCTGGATTGGGTGATGAAGACGAGCCCATGAAAAAGCGCCGGAATTCGATCAAGAGTGATCTTAGTGACCCAATTGACGACGACACCCCGTTGTCCCCCGAGCCGCTTGACGACACCATGGCGATGAACGACGATGACACACCGGTGGACGACGCGCCGGAGTTGGATCTCCCAGTTGCCCCACCTATCAAAGGCAAAAAGGGCAAAAAGAGTAAGCGCAAGGGAAGAACGGCCCAAGATGCCGATGATAAGCCCGTCGTCGGCATCGAGGCCTCAATAGAAGACGTTGCTGATCATATTCGCGAAAAAGACGATGAGCCTGCGGAACGATATGAACCTGATGATGCTGAGCCGGTTGGTCGAGCTGAAGAAGAATGTAAGTTTGATAATCCTCGTTGATTCTAGGCATCACTGAAAGCTAAACCCCTGCACAGCCGTGAAAAAGATGTCTGCTCTGGACTCCTTGGCGACTCTGGAGAAAGAGTTCGCAACATTACGTGACAAGTGAGAAATATCTCCGGCTTTGCTGCATTTCATACTAACTATCGTAGGATTTATGATGAAAAGATATCAAAACTCAACCGTGAGCTGGAGATGCTTACTGGGCCGAATCCGACACACCCCGAGTACCTGCGGCAGATCGAGTGTGTGCAACGTCACCGCGATGCCAAGATCAAATACGAGGAGAACCTGTATCGATACCGCATGAAGTCCCTTATGAACAAGGCTCTGGCCGAGCGATCGCAGGCACACAGCACATACTTCCAGCGTGTACGAGATGTGCGTGAGCGACATTCGTCTGCGATCAGCAAGCAGTTCTACGCAATTCAGCATGATCGATTCAAAACAGACGAACTCAGTCCGCACCACATCATTGCTTTCCCAACTCGTCGGTCGCAGCAGATCGCCCACCAGGCCTCATACAACCATGAGGTTTCAATCATGGCTGGTGTTGCCAAATATGTGGGCTTCCCTGCTGCTCCTTCCTTACTCGGTGCACGCCCAAGTGAACTTGATGATGACCTTGAAAAGATGGGTGTAAGTTGAATAAGTGTTTGTGAGATGACCTATATCCTGACATTCAATCAGATTCCCGTAGAGTCGCGTGCCTCAGCCCCTCGGCATTCATCGGCGATGCCTCCCCGGCCTATCATGTCTACCATGCCTTCCAATCACTTCCGTAACGCTGCGGAAGAAGCTTTTCTAGAACAGACCCCTTGGGCAAACCCACAACACCCTATTCATCAACAACAGCAACATAATCACCATCCCCAACATTCCCAGCAGCAGCGGCCGCAACCCCGTCAGTTTGAGCAGCCCCAGCCATCGTCATATACAACACCAGCAGCTCAGAAGCGGATGGTTGATGTGAATGCGCCGAACGGATCCGCATCGACGATTCCTGAGAACGCATCTGCTGCCAACTCGTCGGCTAACAACACCCCCTATGGCTTGGAGCAAGACCCTCGACACCACGGTCAGGGGCCGTTCCGCAATCCAGATTATGATGTCGACCATCGGAAATCTGGGTTCCGCTCCCTCAGCTCATCGCCTTTAGATGTACGGAAATCTCAACCACAACTCACCCACACCCTCGGACACCGCTCTCCCGCCACCGACGCCCCCTCTCACGCCCATCTTTTCTCTCCACCTCCTGCCCGACAAGGCTTGTTCCGGCCTTCCTCGGCTCTCCAACGGGAGCCTTCGCCATCACTTTCATCTAAACCCGCGGATGCGTTACATTATCGCCCCCATCAATCGGGTATATCGACAGGATCTGGTTCAAATCACATGTCAACGCGATAATTCGTCTGATGATTCATTTTTCAACGTGGCTAGCTCACTTTGCTCCCCTTAATACCCAGGGAAACACTCCCTTCCATGCATCATGTGCCTTTTCTTCTTCTGTGATAATCCCCACTTTGTACCATTCTCCTTCACTCTTGCTACAACATCAAATGTATTTTTGACTGTTATGTTTTTTGGCTGTGGGAGAAGTCGCGGTATGTGTCTGCGTTCGTTGCATGACTGAAATACCGGTCTGGGACCTTGTCTTTCGAGTTTCAGCGGCGTTAAAATCTGGGATATCCATGTTCAAATTACTTCTAACTTTAGGCTCGTACTAGGGTCAATGGAACGGAATCTGCTTCAAATTTTGTCTTTTGTTGTGGTATAGAAGGCGTATTGGTCGAAATTCGTCTTTGGGGAATTTTGGTTCACCAAGGTGTCTTATATTAGCGGTTGCTCCTTTTTTTTCTTTCTTTTCTTCCAGTATTCCAAGATTCATGTTAACTCCAATGCCCAAGTGGTTCGACTACGTATGATGTACACTCTGATGCACTTACCCGGTACAGTACCAACCTCGTCAATATCTTTTGCCATATTCTCCACAGAATTGAACATCTCGTCCGACGACTGTCATTCTACAATGAGGCCTGTCTTTCTTTACGGCCTCTCAGCCATAGGTGGACCAGTGGACTTAATTTGTATGCAACTGGTACTCCATGCAAGATGCAGATCGAGAATTTCTACAGTTGCATGTAAGGTTGAATCATAACACAAATTATTATACTAGACACAATCCTTGGCACGCGAAACTTTCCAAGTTTTCTCAGGTGGAACTCTGGAGAATGATAGTACATACTTAAGTATAACCGATGTAAGTACAGCAAATCATTGAACAAGCTCGGGTTGGAAGCAAATATCTTTGACGTGGAAGATATCTGTGGCTTTGTGCGAAATATCTTCCACCAACCCCGAATACAGATGTCCAGCACGATGACCAACCCAAAGTACTTTGTTCTACGAGTTGCGTCATGAATCTCCCCTGCATGTCACATACGATTCCTGCATAAAACCCCGCCTAGTCACAGGTGATGAGACACAAACGGATGTGTCAGTACCCAGGTCCCATCATTGTACGGAGCATTCATCTAGAAGATTATCTTAATAGCCATTTGAAGGCGCTTGTGTGTGCATCCCGGGTTGTACAATATTCTGGGATTTGTGCATTATCCGATAGTATGTCCTGTTGAGGACTCTACAAGTGAGCAATCGGTGAGTATGAACTCGTACTACAGTCTCAATCCCCTGAGCCACTTGTCAAATTCTCCTGAAAACTACCCAAAAGGGTAGGTGGTTGAATCTTCAGCCGATAATTCCAGAGACGGGAACTGAATGCAAGTACTCAAGTACGAGTAGGGAGTAACAAGACTCGCATATCGAAAGCCGTTTCGGGCAGGTCGGAAGAAACCCAATTCTGGAGCTATTCACGTTAAGGTGTTATTTGATGAGACTCGTGACGAGGTCTTCTTTTTTTTATTTGTTTTTCATTTTTCCAACTTAAATTATGACTAGGTGGCTAAGGTACTTTTGGCCGAACCATTGTGTCTAAGTGGTTGATCTATTGCTCGATTTCGATTCGCTTGGCAATGCTACCGAGTACGACAACCGATACGCAAAATGGTCTGCAAGATTCTCGATCAGACGTCTGATATGCTTAAGTCTGCCTGTGTTAAAAAAAAAAAAAAAGACCTCAGATTTCTCATGTTACTCGACTGCAAGCAACCCTGGGATTAGGTTTAAAGCATCTCACACTCGTATCGGTATATACTGTCTATGCATTAGCCGATGTCCTTCATACCTGATAAAGGTAAGAATTTCCCTAGGTAGTGACTTCTCTTTCTTTGGACGATTTCCCTACAAATTTCACTAGCCAATGGACCCAGAGTCGGGCCCAAGACTCCTCAACACGGCATCCGAGAACTCGTAGGAACGAATGTGACCTGCCTATCTAAGGGGGAAAGTGGGACACGGTTGTCACGCACAATTGTGTGGCGGAGTGGAGGGACTCACTGCAAGATTGATCATCCGGGTCTGATGGACCCTGGTTCCCATTCCACCTGGTCTGCGTCTACGTATACCATAACCACTGAAGCAGGTGGTAATTGCCCCTGCAACACGTATTGCACAAGATCATTAACACTTGGGAAATCATAGTAAATATTACACAAAGTTGTGCTGGATTATTTTGATATAATGCTCGCTTTAGTTAACGCTTATTCAGATATGCAACACCTTCCCACACCAGTTTATGTTCAATCAAACCAATCACAAAGCCAATGACTCTTTTCTCAGAGGGGTATCACGCCATCGTATGTCCTCCAAATCACCAATCCATATCCAAAGAAACACGAGAAATAGGAAATAATCAAGAGAAGATGCCCAGCGGCAGAGTCATGGCCACTTCGAAGTTGGGCACGTTGACGACTTCGGCAATCTGCAGGTCTCCAGCAACACTGGCAAGGATGTATGCCTCGCTGCGCGTAAGACCCCTGGTTTGTACCAGCCATTCAATCATATTCCGGGTGGCACTCCGAGTAGCCTCGTACAAGTCGGGAGCCACGCCGAGGGCACCGTAAGTGCCAAGGTCGGGGAGGGGGTTGGGAATTTGGGCGCGAGGGGGTGTCTGGAACTGAGGAGCCGTCATCCAAGGCTGGTTCTTGACGAGTTCGAAGCGCAGGGTAGCCCGGATCGGGGTTTCGATGGCGGTACCGCAGACCTCACCGTGGCCCTGGGCAGCATGGCCATCACCACAGCTGAAAAGGGCACCGGCAGTCTGAACAGGGAGGTAGACGGTTGAGCCAACACTCAGCTCACGGCAGTCCATGTTGCCACCTGCGTTGGTGGGTGGGACGGTGGAAAGCTCTTCGTCACTGGCGGGGGCAAGACCCATACATCCTAGGAAGGGACGTAGGGGGATTCGCATGTTCTTGAATTGAGCGAAGCCTGCTTCGCGGTTCAGTTCCCAGATCTTGAGTTCTGGCTCTGGGAATTCGTCTGCCAGCAGACCAAAGCCCGGGATGATGGCGGACCAGCCCCAGTCAGCGACCTCCAGATCGAGGACTTCCACTTTGAGGACATCGCCTGGCTGGGCGTCGTTCATATAGATCGGACCGAAAACGGGGTTGGCTAGACCGAGATCCAATGCTTTGATGGCTGCGGCGTTGGATGAGGTGTCGAGTTGACCATTGCTACTGTCAATGGCGTCGAACGAGACGGTCTCGCCCGAGGAGATGGTGAACTTGGGGGTGTTTCGTCGAGCCCATTTCTGGTGGCTACATTCTCTTCCCACATGGAAGTTGCTCCATCCTTTTGATGTCATGTCGGATGTTTGAGTTGAAGGTGTTCGGATTTCTGTGAGACTCATTGGAATAGACAGAAAGGAGGTAAATAGGGAATCCAATAAATGAAGCTATTAAGGGGAAAGCGAAAAGAATTTAAAAAATTCAAGAAAGAGAAAAAAAGAACCTTGGAATAGAATAAAAATCTGTTGAAAGGTTGACACAGGGGATTTTGTATTGTATCCGATCCTCTTCAGGGTTGACCGTTCTGGAAGGTGGCTAGGGCCGGATCTTATGCTTCTTTTTTTTCTGTGCTCCACCCCGAAACCAAGTCGCCTGCCTAAAGGAGCTTGACAGATTCTCAGATCCAGAGCCCCTGGGAGCCTCTTCGAACGTCGATTGGCATAGAGTATGTGAATTATGGTTGGATCAGAGAGATGTACAGTAAGCGACTATCGGTTATCCGCCTGCTCGATTGGTATTTTTTTTTATCGAGATGTGGCGGGGCTTTACGGAAAAGCCGAATGATGTAGTTTCAACTCTGCATATTGAATCGGCATACTCCTTAGTGCAGTATAGTAGATCTTTAATTATTTTTAGATCTTTTTGACAACCATGACCTTTAGGACATATACTTAAGTACTTCAGTACTGGAGGGATATAAGACTGTATATCTACGAGTATATGAGTACTTAATATCGGGTAACGAAAGAAGTGGGAAAGCCGACTATTGCCAAAAATTGAGAAACGAGATCACGAGAATCCGGGAAGGGAGTTTTCACGATTCGTAACACCACCTTCCGGATTGGGTCAAGGGCGAACCGTTGGTAGGCTGTGAGTGGCACAGCTGCACAACATTTTCCGAACTTACACTTAGTACTTGCATAGTATCTCCGTACTTTAGTACTTTAGTATGTGGTCTTTGGGTCTTTACTACTATACTCTCGTTTGTATTTACATATATGGCGATGGGTTTAAGTCTATCACTTTGAACCCTACGACCCCCGTCCATCAATCATCGCAACTATACAAGAAGCATTGTCGCTCTGAGGACGACTGGCACTATTTATGGCGATCTCTTGTGCAATCTCACTCGCTCGTTTCCCCCGCATCGACAATTTCATCACGTGCTTGACCAGGTTGCCATCATCCACTCGATCGGTAACTCCGTCGGATACCACCAAAAGTAAGTATCGGCGGTCCGTGTGCAGCGTCCGCCGGGAGGTATATGGATCATTGGATAGGAAATTTCCCCGTGACTCGGACTCCGATGGTGCCGCCAAGGTATTGACGGGGTTCTTGTACTGCAGGTCTCCCACCGCGCGAGACATATTCAAGCTCCCTATCAACTGTGAGTATGAAATCTTAAATCTCAGGGGTCGTCTGGTTCCCCCTACCTAGACGATCAGTGCCGCTGCGGTTGATCACTTCTCCACCTGCTTCCTCTATCCGAGCCCTCTCACCGGGCATCTCGGGTTTGTGAGCCTCTGTGAGACGTCTCTGGTGGCCGGTATCAGCCAAAATCACCGCGCATTGGAGGGGAGGTTCGAACAATGTGATACGGGTGCTCGGTTTTGGGGTCGCGCTCGGCCAGGATGACATGCGAGTCGCCCAGATTGGAGACGACTAACTCGCCCTGGGTCAGGTTGATGCAACATACTGCTACCGTTGACCCGGAAATTGCTGGCTCTGCCGTCTCGTTCTTGAACCGATCCAAAAGCATCTGGTCCTCCTCGATCAGTGCTGCCTTGATGGCCCCCGCCCAATCCTCACGCTCAAGCTCGGGGCGGTGCGCGATGAGGTGGTGCAGAGTCTGATTGACATGTTCCGAGACAAGCTCGGAGCCACTGAGTCTAGGTGTCAGTCTGACTCCTGCAAGGAAGGCTGCTGTCTTACTGTCCATCATAGATTGCAAAGAATGCAATTTTGTCCTTGCCCTGGGAAGGAAATTGTTCCGGAAGGACTACTGCACATCGGTCTTCTTGATACTGTCTTCCACCTTGAGCCTGGATCGACATTAGCATCACGACCGCATATGTTTCATCCATACTCACCTGGCCAGATCCAGCATCAAAAAGGGTAGCAGCATCGTCGGTCGACACCACTGTATGCCGGAACAATTGGTTTCTCAGAGCTCTGTGGGCTATCACCATATTGGGGCAGTCTATAATAAACTCCACGGTTGATGTATAGGGCGACTTTCAAATGTATCGCCGTGGAAGATCTCTGCGAGGCACTATGGACCATGATGATGAACTGACATCATGAACAGTCTCTGTTTTGATGCTTGATTTAGCCCCCGCTTTAGATTGGCTTGCACTCAGCTTCCCCGGAATGGGTTCCTTCACCAGACATCAATGTGATAACATCCGAACCAAATTCAGTCCATGGTGTCGAGCTTCTCCCAATAATGAACGTAGCAGATTTCAACTCTATACTATATTCCCTTTAAAAGAGACACAATACCAATATATATTCTCTGAGTTACATTCTATTGTTGTCCTGGACCCCTATACTAGTATTGACGCACGGACCATGCCGCTTCGGCGAATCTGCAAGATCATGATTCTAAGCACGTCTCTCTCGACTCACGCTCTCTTTCGCTGTCTATCATTCTTTACTGCTCCGTGATGGGCTGGGTAGGAGCAGGTGTAGCGATCGCGACCACAGCTTACTTTTTCTATCGATACCCCCCTCGCAGCCGGGCTGAGCCACATTCTCTTGCCCCTCCGGAGCCCAAACCCGAGACGCCCCTCGCCGCTACGTCGGACGCACCTGTACAGGAAAAGCATGATTCAAGGAGCCCAACACCACCGATAGACTCAGAGGAGGACACCCAAAGCACGCCCAAGGCGTCCGCTTCGAGCGCCCCGCTCCCCGTCTTTGCCGTTCCCGAGCTTAACCTCGAAAGCGAGGGCAGCACATCACAACCCGCAACGATGCCGTCTATCCCCCCACCTACAAGTGAGGTGAACGGCCAATCATCACTTGAAGACCGTCGTTATGAAGGACACACCTCTTCGTCGCAGTCACCATCTTTGTCGGCCCCCTCTCAACCAAAGCAACCATCCGTGCCTCGTTCCGCACCCGCTAGCAGCTCAAGTTTAATGCCTCCTCCCCCAGCGCCCAGGCCGACACCTCAGCCAAACCGAGACCCCAGACTGCAACCTCCGCGCCTCAGTGGATCCTCGCTCGGCCCACCCCCATCAGCCGCCGCCTCCCAGCGTGGTGCACCCATGTCCGGCGTTCGTCAAGTCAACAGCACTCTTGCCCCGACACCAGTTTCCCTCAAGAAGGCTAGCAAGAGGGTAATCCTGGAACCGGGGTTCTCGCCACTTGACTGGGCTGCACGGGCTGCAAACCCCAACAATCAACTGCGCGGGAAAGATCTCCCCCCAGGTCTCTTGCGGGTCACACCGTCCATGTTGCGGCAACAACACGGTCGTAAGGGCCGGGACGCTTGGACTTCCTATAATGGCAAGGTTTACAACATTTCGCCCTATGCTCCCTATCATCCGGGTGGAAAGGGTGAGCTCCTCCGTGGTGCAGGCAAGGACTCCGGGCAACTGTTCATGGAGATCCACCCCTGGGTCAATTGGGATGGAATTCTAGGAGAGTGTCTCGTTGGCATCCTGGTTTCGGAGAATGACATCCAGACCGAGAACGCCCTGGATGCCATGGACTGAGCTTGGATCCGTGTTTCATTCCGGTTTGCATACTGTGTACACTTACTGTAAATATATATATATACGAGATACCCTCCTCCTATAACAAGGAGCAGACAGCTGCATGATCATTTGCGAGAGCCGTGCATGGAATTGATTCGGTTTACGTATTCAAAGCTCATCCTTCACTCCCTCGATAGCAACCAGCTCGGTCTCGAAAACCAATGTCGCGCCACCGGGGATAGGACCAACACCACGGTTACCGTAGCCGAACTCGGGGGGAATGGTCAAAGTGCGCTTTTCGCCAATGCACATGTCCAGCAAACCCTGGTCCCATCTGCGACAGTATTAGCCTGCAATTCGCGCAATTGTGCCCCAGATCGCAAAACCTACCCCTTGATGACACGGCCGGTTCCAAGTTTGAAAGTCAAGGGAGCATGGCGCTTGTAGCTGGAGTCGAACTCGGAGCCGTCGGACTGCAGGGTGCCGCGGTAGTGCATGGAGACACCGTCGCCCTTGACAGTCTTGCGGTCGCACTCGACCGACTTGGTGACTTCGATGCCGAGGTCGGCGGCGGCGGCGAGGGAGCCAAGGGTGGCAACGAGGATGGAGGTGAGACGCATTTTGGGATGATTGGGGGAGAAGTGGACAGATGAGCGGAGATTCCAAGAGACTCCGAGGGGAGACTTTAGCGTTGGTCTGTGCTTTAAGCTAGGTCTACTCCGGACTGCGTTCAACGGCCACATACTCCGTACTCCATACATACAAGAAAGTGGATGCTTTTTGTCATTTCAAATGATCATTATTCATTAAAATTAGGCTAGGAACTCCTCAAATGGTCATCTTCAGCTTCATAGAATCCCAAGCAAAGTAATTCAAGCACAACGCAATTTTTGGGGGCTTCGGGATTGTGATGGAACCCCCAAGCATCGTTCCAGGGGTTACCCCAAGACCCCAGGAACGAGTTTCACCCAGCTTAAAAGATCTAAATCTTGGCCCTCTCGATACCATATGGATCCTCCTGACCAGCAAACGCCTGCAGATCATCTTCGCCCATAGTGCCATCCCAGCCCTGAGAAACAAGGTAAGCACGGAAATTCTCATCTCGGTGTCTCAAATCCTCGCCAGACAAATCCGGCACAAAGACCCAGGTGACAATAATACCAATCACACCACAAACAGCGGCAATGATGAAAGTCCACCTGTTCCCCAAGTTATTCCTGATAGGTTCGAACGCCTGGGTCCCAATCGCAGCCCCGACCTTCCCAATCGCCGCCGAAAATCCATAGCATGTTCCGCGCACACCAGTAGCATACGACTCAGAAGAGATCAGCCCGAGCATATTTCCAGGTCCAAAGTTACCAGAGCTCTGCATGAGTCCATAAAAGACAATGAAAAGCGGAATAATCTTCGTGATCTGGTTATATGCACAGCCGATAATCAGTCCGAAGATGAGATATCCACTGAATCCAATCATCATGATAGGCTTGCGGCCGAGCCGATCGCAAAGAATCGCGCCGAGAACAACACCTGGCAGTGCAATTGCGCCGAGGAGGAGTTGCCACTCGCCTGTTTGGCGAATCGAGCCATTGTGCACGACGGAGGAGATGATGGTTCCTGAAAAAACCCCGTTAGGGAAAGTCACAAAGTCTAAGCTTGTTAGCTTTTGTCCAGCCTGACAGGTGAGCTATGTGTGCTTACCATATAAGAACCAAGCCCCGCATGTCCCTATCAGTGATCTCCAATAGTACCGTAGCACAAGCATGTAAGGCACATGTCGTTTGATAGCCCCACGTCGGTAAAGGACCGAGTTAAGCATGCGGATGCGGAAGTAGAATATCATCAGCGGCCAGATGCATCCTATTCCAAAGCAGACTCGCCACACAGTACTGTAGTGGGATTGATGACAGGCCATCAGCACGATGAGGAAGATTGACACTGCGAACGGGCCACCGAATGAGAGAGGAAAGTTTGTCACCATGATGAATGCTGGGCCGCGGTGCTTGGGGATGAGATCGTTCGCTGCTTCCGAAGCAGATGTCGAAGAGGCCGGGTACTCGCCGCCGGCACCTGTTGGCATTAGCAATGGCTTCTATGCTTGAGAGTGATGACCTTACCGAATCCGACAATGCCACGCGCGACGGTCATCATCCAAAACATGCCATCGATTGTGGCGCCGTGGGAAGCTGTAGCGAGGATGCCGCCGATGACGATCATCAAGGTGGTGAAGACGATGGCTGTTTTACGGCCAAAATAGTCGCATGTGAGTCTGACATTGTTAGAAGGTAGCTTTGGTGTGTGGTTCCTGGTGCATATTTACCCAACAATGACTTGTCCGATCACCTCGCCCACAAGCAAGGCATTAGACACACGCGTGCTCACAGTGCTGGTGTACTCTTGGGGGTACTCCTTCTTGAGAATAACATTGGTCATAGTCCTATGTGGCCAAGTCTTGATTAGCCCATGAGGCTACGAGCAAAAGGACTCAACTCACATCAGATTGTTTTGATACCCATCACTGATCAAAGCAAAACCACTAGCAAACTATTGTTGGTCGGTCAGTTAGATGCACGCGAATGCGAGGGGCCTTCTCTCACAATAGTGAACAGATCCGAGAGACGCTGTCTTTTCTCGGACACTTTCGACCTAGTAGTAGGAGAGTCGACTTGAGTGACACCCAAGATATCAATGGCCTTGGATGACTCGCACTGGGGGAGTGCAGTCAGCTCGCGTTCCGCAGCCATGACTAGGTCTTGCTTGCTTAGAGGGTTAAAGCTGAGAGGAAAAAGGAAAAAGGAAAAAGAAAGAAAGTGAGGGAGTGGTGGGAGCGCGATTTTAGTTTCAACGTGTTGTACAGTTCCAATGCTGAAGCGGGGAATGCCTGTCAGACTGGAGAAAACAAACTAGATCTTAGCGTTAAAAGATTAAGCTATTGGCTTCGAAGCTTAACCATGGGATGGCTGCAGTCACCCAAGTTCTGAAAGTTTGGATACTTGGCTGGCTGGGCACGTGGGTATAATGAAAGGCCCATACTGTTGATGTGTTCTTAGAGCCATGGTTTTCAGGTTTCAATACTTATGCGATGACAGTATCCATTGATTTTGAGATATACCCGCTAAATAAACGCCAACATGTGACCAGAGTGGTGTCCCTGATCCAAGGGGTATCACATATGCAAACGAAAAGTGTGATCAACATGTGCAAAGGAATCTTTTGATAAAAAAATGAATAAAACAAGAAGCGAAAGGCATGAAATGTCGTTAGGGGGAAGTACTTGCTTCCAAGAGTTGAGTGGCACATTTTCTCAAGCCCATTTGCCTAGCACCGCCATGAGGGCAGCACCGGCACAAAGGAGGAAAAAGGCGATGAGAACATCACGAATCGGAGCCTGGCGCATGGAGTGACTGAACATGAATTCGTGGGCCATCAGCTCGACGAGGGCGGTGTAGATGAGAATGCCGGCGGAGATCGAGTCGAAAACGCCATTGACAATCAGAGTGGTCCGCCCTTCAGGAGGGTAACTGTTGCGAACACCCAAGCCGATGGCGATAGCAATCGGAGTTGAGATTCCAAAGGCCAAGCCCAGGAAGTATGGGGTGTTTCGCTTGGACTTGGGCCATGGAACAGTGGCTAGACGAGAGCCAAGACCCAGGCCTTCGAATGTCTGGTGGAAAACGAGAACAATATAAAGAGTGGTGAACTCAGCTCCGGATACGGCAAGGGTCAGACCAATGAACACTGAGTGGAAGATGATACCAAACTCCAGGATGAAGATTGAAGTAAGTTGAGCGGCATAGTCCTCAATGGCTTGTTTGTCATTCTCAGAGTCATCGTTATCGTGATGTTCGCGGGAGTGACCAAGGTGGTCTTCTCCCGGCATAAGATGCTTTGGTTCAGTGGACTCGTTGACAACAGACGAATGGTCGCTCAGAGGAGTATGAGTATGGCCCTCTTCATCGTGCACATGCCCTTGGCCAAAGCTAGAGAAGCGCATCACCATCAGTTCCACGAAGAATAAGACCACAATAGTCATCAAGATGATACCCTCAACCCAGCTGTATTCGGTGATGGGGCCGGTCAGACATTCATTGGTCAGCGCCTCTTCGGCGGGAGCCAACAGATGAATAAAAGCAGTGGCAATGATAACACCAGAACCAAAGTACTTGGCCACAAAGAAGGCCCACTTGGGGAACCCACCACCTTTACTAAAACGCCGTGCGAAGACAGGGAATAGAGCCCCGAACATTGAACCAGCCATGATCACAAAGATGGACGAGATACGCAGACCCATCCGGCCGTCAAACTCATTTCCAGAATCACATGGATCCGCACGCTTGAAGATAGCGGAGGAATCCATTGTGGTCTTGTAAGGTGACACAAGAGGTATGAAAGAGGTGGAGAGGCGGGATGGAGAGAAAAGCAGTGGGAGATAGTGGGAAATCCAGACAAAAAGGAAATCCAAAGGAAGATCACACAAAATCAGCCAATTGAGATGATTAGGAAAATGGGAAAAGAAGAGTTGTGGTTTCCGACAGTTGGAGGGGCCTAGTGTGGCAGGCTAGTTTGACCACTATCCCCAAGGTCCTCGATGGTAGGCGAGCTGCGTTAGTCCGTAAGACCACGCAGAATATTACCAGGAAATCCTGACAACGATGAACTCTGTGATGGGCTTCACCCACACGATTGGACGAAAGGATGCTCAAGAATAAAAGTCTTTCCTCTTTAGGTCGCGCGCGTACAACAGATGTGAGTCGTACCGTTCAATTATGCAGAGCAAAAACTGTCCAGCCTGATAGGTTTGATCGACTTCTGGAATAATTGTCCTGACAGAAGTCCGATCAAAAGCTTCCAGGATAGATATATAGAACCTCTGGATATAAGGAATGTTCAAGACCCTCAAAATCTCAGGTCAAAAATTTGAGACGGCGACTTTGGCGGGGAGAGGACCTTGGGAGCACTCGAAGACGTCAACGAGTACTGGGTACCTCAGGGACCCATATAATTTGTAGTGTGGCTGGGAGTACCGAGTACTTCCTCGGCTGCCGGATGAGGACCTTGTGGACGGGTCGTCCTTTCCCATTGCGGCGATGGAGTCACGTGTAATGGTATCATCCTGTGGCTGATGGAAGTTTTGTCTTTTAGTTGTGTGGTTTGTCTGCTGTTATACCTGAGAAACAACGAAAGGGGAATCAAAGAGATTGGGATGGCAAAGGAACTTCAAAAGGTGAGGTTCAACCCCTGTGGTCCTGCGTCTCCATCACCAATCAGAGGATCGGCGGCAAACAAAGTCTTGGCGCGTCGTTGAGGTCATCGATTTGTTCTGGGAGCTTGTGAGCTTACACCTATTTGAACACCATGGCTCCCATTCGACGATACCTCCGCATTAGCAAGTACTCTGTATTAGAGTGCCGCATCTATTTAGATTCCCCATCCGATTCACGATGGCTCCTGAATCCTCGCGACCCTGTTCTTCCCCGTGTCATCGCTGCCATCCAGCCCTTGGTCCTACCGAAGCTGCGTGAAGAGAATCAGCGGCTATTCTCGCGCAAAAAGGGTAAACCTGTTAAGGATGTCATAACTGAAGGTAGAACCAATTCCCCATTCAATCATGCACGATGATCATACTGATTCTCAGTCCAGATGATTTTGAAATAGCTATTTTCCTTCGCGAATCTCGCACCCGCCATTCTCTTCTTACGCGTAATAAGACATTCCATGGACACGGCGCACAGGACAACAACCCGGATATGGAGGCCAAGTCAGAGCATGATCCAGAGATGGCTGCTCACACGTCTGGCTCTGTCAACGATGAAATCATGATCGAAAGCGACAGTGAGCCAGAAGGACTACACGACATCCCCGAATCTGCAGATGATACCGTGACAGCAAGTGGACGACCGAAAAGAAAGCACAAGCCCAAAAATGACCAAGTAGATCTCGACGATCTCACAGGCAGCGATGAAAAGAAGCTGCGTTTCAGTACGCACTACGAGAGCTTCAATATCTGCGGTTGGGTGCTGTGTCTGTTGATCACGCGCAAGGGTGATAAGACCAAACCAAGTGCTGCGACTTCTGAAACCAACCGACAGCCTTTGATGGAAGAATGGATTTCAACCCAGGCTCAAGCATCCGTAGATGATTAAGGTCCTTTTGCCAGGCCCGCTGTATGCCGGTGGCAGGTGACGGTGGGCCCGGGGAAGTTCCGTGTGGCTGACAAGGATCTTGTCGGTGGTCAAGCTTTCCCAGCCTCGAATGGAGGGCAACTGTGGTATGATCAGGATATCCTGTAACACATCTCTACATTGGTGGTGTTATGCACTGTTTCAAACCCTTGCAAACGCTATACTTGTGTTTCGTTTGTCGGTGTCGTAGATGCAATCATCAGAGACCATGTCGCATCTCATCAAATCACCAACTCGGGGTCTCATGTCACGCGATACATGGAAGACCTGGTCTCCGGGGCTGTCTCTGGGGGTACAGCAACCATCCCACTAACGGGCCGCTACAGGACTTGCACTGATGCAGTGCGGTGGTCAGCATGCCGGTTACGCAAGTGGCGGGCTGTCATACTCCCTCCAAAGGACCTCTCCAGGGACGGTGACAGGTTGTCCAAGCCGCTGAGACGACAATATCAGCCACAGGTCCCCGGGCGCGCGCTCTAGCTTGATTATCTGCATATCAAAAACACGCCATCCTCCGTACACTCGGCAACTACGTAACTTCCGGTTTGGATGTCTCGGTCGCATTCGCGATCGTCTGCGACATTGCACCAAAGTCCAAAATTGGCATGGCTGACCCATTTGGATTTCCTCGGAGACATTGCGATTCCACCTAAGCTGAGCAGACCCCATGTGGTTTGGTCTCCCAACCTCGGCCCGCAACTTCCAGAAGGCAAACTAGAAGACTGACAAGTGGAGCCCTAACTTGAAACAACCGGTCTCTCCTCGTCCCGTGACTGTCGATAATTTCTCAATGGAGCAAGTTCTCAGTCCCAACAAGCTGGGTTCGGGAGAGGAACTGTGGGAAGAAAATGGAAGATCCTCTTCACCTTTCTCTGTGTGTACATATGTCTTGGTACGGAGTACGAGCACTTCCTCCCCGCCTCGCATGTCTAAGATCGGATCTAGGGTTGATGTCATAAAGTATGTCATTTTGGATGTCATATCTTGGCCGAGCGAATGGACCTGCTAATTAAGCGAGCATCTTGAGAAGAAAAACTACGATATGAGTTAGACTAAAAAAAATCACCCCCAAAAAAGGCACAATCATGGGACCAACCCCGATCGGTTGAGAAACATGAATTCCAAAATCTCCGAACACTCCACAGCTTCTCTTTTTTTTCTTTCTTCCCTCTCCAACGGTGCGGAACGGAGAGATGGAGCGCATCCTAAGCGGGGCATACTTTACCTAACTTGGCCAATTTATTGAACTTTGCGGTCTGCTAGTGTGTGGTAGAGTTTTCTTGCCATGTGTTTTTCCCCTTTGCCCTCGTTTTTTCGCCACTCTTCCGCGATTTTCCCACTTTTTTCCATTTCCCCTTTCTCGGTTCCCCCGGCCTTAGTTCAGGTACACCCGTGTGGCCGCAGGTTTGCCACAGACCCCACATTGCGTACCCTTCTGCGCATCGCTGGAACACGGTAAGCCGGGAAGTCAATTGACGATAGTTCGACCTTATCATATTAGTAATTGGTCTGACCTGCTGCTTTGGGCGTCCCGCTTTTGCAAATCCCGGACCAGGTCACAGAGTACGGGGTACGCAGACCGGGAACCTGGGATTACTCTATGCGACATACAGGGCAGACCGCAGGGTTTTCACTGCAGAAAGCAGGCACCACTTTTACGAACACGGCGTAGAGTTTGCCGTCTGATTAAAGCCGAAAGCAACGGATATTTCAATGTAACAGACCATTGCATTAGGTATATTGCTCAGGGGATAATAAGATAATATCCGGGGAACACTCTAACCTCCCGAGCCGATGATTCTCATGAGTACATAGTACTCGTACATAGGTACTCGTACGAGATATACACTTCCGAGCACGGAGTACAAGTATGGAGCCCTGGAGTACTTGTAGCCCACCAAAGTAACAGCTACCCACAAGCACGCAATCCACGCCACGGCTACCTGAAGACGATACACTCAAGTACATACTCGTACGTGTACCTAGATGAGACAGCCCATTGATATGCACTGGGGATACACTGAAGAAGATCGAACCCCTCTGCAGCGTCTCAGAGCCAATGATGATAGAGGAGGGCAGGTTGCATGGGATCCATATGTTGTCTTGCATGCTTTCAAGATAATGATGTGCAATGCACAGTCCTCTGCAGGCGACCCTACACCTGTACGAGTGCGCCAGGGACCCGTCAGCCCCAGTAACCGGGGGTTCGTCGGTGCTACGGACTCAAAAATTGGACTTGCAGGCCTGAGCGAAATCGAAAATTTACTACACTGCACATTTATGCTTTGCAATATACAAAGCATGCGGAGACCCTACAGATAGGAATGCAACATGAAAATAAGCGCGAAACACCGTTGGAACTTAGGGAGTTTCTAATTATTGCATGTCTCAAGCACTCTGGTTTGGTTGTACCGGGTAGCTACCATGGTCCAGGATGGGTCCTCGATTCAACTGTCATTTTTTTGGTTTTTATCTTTTGGGTTTTTTTATTGTATTGTTTTCATTTCCCCTGGACCCCTGAGATCCTACAGAGTACCTACAAGTACGTGGGAGATCTAGTCATTACTTTGCCCAGGTGAACAAATGTACATCTGTCATATCTGAGGTCCCAATCGCAGCTTATCCTTGAATGAGTCCCGGCATTGTGGGATCTCGGCTGTCACGCCCTTTAGTGTGTAATCAATACGAATCGGCCTTCCCGTTTGGCCGTAACCCAAACAGTGGGAGTATCTTCCCGATGCTTTTTTTACTTCTTTTTTTTTTCTTTTCTCTATCCTTTTTCTGTCACTTTTTGGGTGCGGAGTACTACAAGATCTGGTACTCCGTTATGTACAGAGTGCATACAAGTATTTTCTTAACCCTTCAAAGATCTGCAAGAATGCACGTGTAGGTTAAAGCTGAAGGTTTGAGTCAGATGGAATAAGGGCTTGGACATATCTCCCAATAATATGTACCGGGTACAGTTGTACTCGTACAGAATGATCGTCGAATTGCTCAAATAAAAAACATGTTCTCACCGCATCAAGGAACCGTCCCTATGGAGCCACAGGTGGGCCCACGGGAGATTGCCCTTTACCAGTTGTCATCTCGCGTGGTTTCATGATGGACTATGCATATGGACTGTGAAACCTGGAACTGCTCTCTATGTGAAGAGAGACTATTTCCGTAAGTACTCCGTAACTCTTCTCTGTACACCGTAGTCACACAGTGCGACTGGTCATTTCGATTCGCATCACTCCACTATGGTTCACCAGAAACAGTGGGGAGCTTCTAGAAAATAGCGGAATTTCCACTGGATTTCCCCTTTCGGCTAATGTACATCCTGCTTAGAAAATCCCTAAATCCCTTTCCTAAATCAATAAATCCATAAATCAATAATTTAATTCCTACGTCAGATCAGGTGGATACTCAGCCTCCTGTTCATGGCAGGGATGTTCGATGGGGATTTTCCATTTCTTTTTGGAATTCTTTTTTCTTATAAGAGTCCTGTCGCTTTTCCTTTCCTTAAACTCCCTTCAAACTTGCTCTACAGTGCTAAATTACTCGATCTACTACTCGATCTACTACTCTCTTCGAGCTACTGAGATTCTTCTTCTCTCACCCTTCCACAACACATACACAATGCCTTCCATCGGCTCCTCTCAATTCCCTCCATGCCCGGGTCCTCCTCCCAAGGGCCCTCTGCCTCCACTGCCGAAATAAACAAATCTTCAGTCTGCTCAACGAACCTGATGACCCTGGCGCATTCTCAAAGAATCGCTCACGACCTGGACCCTCGGCATGGATATTACGACTTCGACTTTGATCCGCCTTCGACTCTGCGATCCTTTGTTTTCGAGTCGAACCGGCACCTAATTTCCCCGTCCCGCCCCCAAACAAACACCCTTTTTTGAAGCGACTACGAGACACCGGCGGGAAGACAAAGAGCACTAGCTCCACCGTCGACTTTGTCTCTTGGCGTCTTCAGTGCGCATCGCGAAGGGGGAAACTTGTTTCACCTGGCCTCGGACAGTTTCTTTTTTTACACTTCTTCTTTTCGGGGAGCCTATGTCTCTTTCACACCCCTTTTTTTTCCACTTCTCTCGCGCCATTCAGCAACTGCATCCAGGACTGTGCGCCGGCGCTACTTGTCCTTACATCATTTTTTCCTACTCTTCAATATCGACAGCGGGGTCGTTGTTTCACTCGAAAGTGACGCGCAGATGCGGAGAAACTTACATGGTGATCTGCACATCAATTGGACAATGCACATCGCCTATGTACAACCCCCCTGTCTTAGCGTCTAAGATCAGCTGGGGTCATTTTTGCGATCATTCCGTGTATGCGTCATTGACTTGATGTCTTTGACTTTGCCGCTTTGATTTCACATCTACGAGTACTCCCAGTGTCGCTTTGACGTGTTGTTTCGGCTGTCTGAATGTCTCTTTTTTTTTAATTCTCTGTCTTCCGCTTGTTTTTTTGTCTTGTTTTTTTCTCTTTCTTTTGCATCTGGCCAATCCGACTCGGCATGTACCATAGATTTAGTATACCCAACAGAGCAATCTTTTTTCATCGTGATCAGCTTATGTCGTGCATGTGAACCAAAAATTAGGTACTACGGGTGAAACATCTACCCGCCCGTTTCACCAATCAACCGAACATCACTAGCAGCGAAGCTAACAGGGATTTCTTTAGAGCGGGTGTCGCGGTAGCCCGTTGACGCCTTGTCCTTGTTGTGTATTTATTTTCAAATTAATTCGGTAAACGCCCTGTAGCCAGGATGTTTTCCAAGGCTGTAGTACATTCCAATGGTCTCCTAGGCAGCCTCGTTCGATGTACCGAGGTAACTCTCATGCCTAGATGAGCAACACACGCAACCCTTTCATCATAAGATCTGGAGTGGCACCGATCTGACGCGATCCTTATCGAGCTTCCCGTTATGATTCACAGCGCAGCAATGCAATGCCCTGTACACGACGGAGAATAATTGGCTGACAATGCATATTCCATAGTACATTTGGAACCAAGCTAACGCTCAAATCATGTCATCGCGCACCCCGTTCCATGTCACTAATCTAACGGCTAAACGCTTTGGGGCGAACAGAAAGCACGATACGAGCTTCCGTCCGAGCGCTCCGGGAATCGACAGTGGGTGCCTTTCCCCCGGGGGGGGTCCTTGCGATCATGATATACATACGCTGTGCACCGGTACAGGTTATCTGGAGCCTGGTACTCTCTTCCGGCCAATGAGGGGCCGCTGTCTACCCTTCTGAACTTCCCGGTTTTTCCAAGTAAATCACCATTGCCCAGGTGTCGCCTATGTTGCATGATCTTGGAAATCCTCCCTCGCGTGCTGGGATCCGTGTTGGCTGTTGGTCCGTCATGTCTCTCTCTCCCCCCCGCTTCTACCCCTCAACCTTGGAAGCTGATCAAGCTGACAATGCACTCCAAGTATATACCAATTGCGTGAACAGACGTACAACGTAGTACTGTATCAAGTATAGCCCCTTGTCATGTTTCAGTACTAAGCCAACCCGGGACGAGGTCAAGTGACAAAAGTAAGCTTTCGGCCGCAAGGTTCCTGACAATCGTTATTTGAATCAGTGAATCTGTGCTCACATGTCTGTGCTCTTTCTCTGCAAGTCTCTGCAAGTCTGCCACATGCGTGGGAGCCGGGGTAGAGCCACGTGTGCGATGAGGTCATACTCTTATCTGCTGTCTCACTGACACTCTCTGCGGGATTTATCTCAGCTCTCGGCTGTGCAGAGCGGTCAATAATGAGGCTCCTGGGCTCATGGTCCTCTACGGGTAGAGTGCTGTGCACTGCCCTCGATACTTTGCCCGGGCTCAGATGGGTGCCTATCCGGAGTCTCGGGTCGCGCATACTTTGGCTTGCATCAAAGTGGAAGTTGCTAAGGAAGTGGAATCCGATTCGATACCCCTATGGCTCCCGTCGCTCCGTCGATAACGCCCGAGGCTGAATTATTGAGCTAGTGGAAGCTAATGGCACGGCAATGCCACGTCTTCAGGGCCTACTCGTATCACTCTACTGTGCAGGGCTAGACTTCTCTGGGCAACCTTCTACTCGTAGGGCTCTTGGAATGACTCATAATCGACTCGGGGCCCCATTTTCCCTTTTGCGTTTAGCCCCTAGGTGAGCACCATGCTTCTTTCGTCTTTGGCTCACGCCGCGACACTTCTTGGCAGAATGATAATGCCAAGCTCACTTGCTCGGAATGACTGTATCAGAGCACAGAAGAGGATATCTGGTGTGGTAGGGAACATATCAAGTGCCGAACCTTGGAAGCAGCGCACCGCGCTTGGCCGTTCCCTGCTTTGACCGGCGCAGGGAACACATCTTTCAGATGGCCGGACATGCAGCGCAGGAGCTACTTGAGTAGCAGCATATCGTCTGGGTTTCAGGGCTATACTTAAATAAAAGAGCAAATAGAGATGCCAATTAAGTGCAGCTGCGATTTGACTCCAGAATTGCATCGGAAAAATCAGCCTGCGGTACTCATTTCCGGTACCTCTCAGACAGAATTGTGACTAGGGAAGAGATCTTGGCTACTTAAGTATGATTTCAAACCTTGGAAGGCTAAGTTTGGGAGATAATGTGCATCAGGAAAACTAGGAAAACCAGTCGCATCCATAGATGTCAGTCAGTCTATCGAGCACCCTTCTCGGGGGCATGTTTAGCTGGTTCTTGGCGACATAGCCGCTCGTTTCGGACTTCAGGACTTCAGGGCCACCTTATGTGAAGCTTTATTTTTGAATGGTTGTACCGACATATTTGTGTGTCCTGCCAAGTTGGATTCTTTGGGTGTGGCTTTCAAGTTCTAACCTTTCAACTTGGAACGTTGGAAGACTGGCGACTTCTAAAATGGCAAGCATGGTCCATATGTACCGGATAATGCCTGGCACTCGAGACTTTTCCCTTTCCCTTTTAGAGCTCACCTCTTGCCGCTTTTTGTTTTTGGTCTCGCGGTAAAGTTGGGCCTCCGACCCTGATCCTGCTCACTGGATCACCTGATTGTCACCTGAGCAACCTAAATCTACTCACTGAGCATGAGCTGAGCTGAGCGTATGAGCCTGAGCTACATCAATAAAATGCAACACACTACATCACATACTGATTATCTACCACCATGTCCGAGCACCGTGGGCTTAATCTCAGTGATCCATCCACCGGATCAGATGCCTCTTATATCACTCGCAACGCCAGGATCGCGGAAATCTATTTGAATGCCACACAGCTTGAGCAACTCCCGGACACAGTTATTCTTGAGCGATGCTTGAGTCTAAGATCTGTCATATCTACAACCTCAACTTTCAGCCAGCTTCTCCAAACCGCGCGGAAACGACCACACCTGCAACAGATAAATCAGATCGGAGTTGGCTTACAGGGTGTTGTTTTTGAAAGGGTTGGAAAAGAGTCTGCCTTGAAGAAGGAAAAACCAGGAAATGAAAGTCGCTCGTCAAACTTGAGGAAGGAGTACACAATCCACTGTCAGGTTTCGGCGGCATTCGAGCGCTACCAACTTCTCACAAACTCGGAAACCTTGGTACCTAAGGCATTTCGCTTCATACCTAAGACAGGCGAGGAGTTGTTCTGGGAGGAGTTGTTGCCAAAGCTCCCACAAGAGTACCGCACTCGAGATAACTCTATGCTCTTGCAACGCATTCTGCCTCTACCGAAAGTTGTTCGCCGCGCGTTGATCAACAAGTTTATCACTACGGATGTTTCGCAAGCGAGAACCTTACTTGCAGATCCGAGAAACAAGCACTGCCTAGCTAGAGTGTACCTTGGAAAAGAAAATGGCACTTTGAGTCACGAGTCTCCCCTGAGAAACTTTCCTATGTACCTCGACAACATGAAGGAAATCGGTATCGACACGATCAAGCTTGCCAACGCTCTTGGTAAAGCATACGCCACATTGCACTGGGGCGCTGGAGTCAACGGAGATGATATTGAATTTGTTTTTTGGGACCACAGCCGAGCAACGACTGCGCGGGAACCCACCAGACTTTCAGCACCGAGCAGTTTGTCTTTTCCTGCTTGACTTCGGTCAGTGTGACATCGTCGACCTGAGTCAGGAAAGTGAGACTGTCTACCAGGCTTTCAAAGGAGCGATGGTTACCGGTGATAATCAATATTTTATCCCACACGCGAACCAACCCGAGTTGTTTGCTGCCTTCAAAGAGGGATATTCTGCAGCCGGAACAATTATTCTCGCCGACAAGCGCCTTGAATCAAAATTCGACATGAAGGAGTTTATACAGCAATACGAAGAGTACGCCGAGGATTTTCTTTATTAGCTCAACTGGCAAGTCGTAGAATGAGAGGAAATATACTAGTTTAGGATATACTTAGTTTACTTTCATATTTAATATTTTAAGCTTCAGCTATAATAATAATTTAGAAAGAGACCTTCACTATAGTATTATAAAATAGAACTACTAAGTAGCCCTCTACTTTCTCCTACGTCCTATAAAGATAACGTATGTCCTCCTTAGTAGATAGCTCTAGAGGTAGGGTTTAGAAAATAAGAGTAGGCGCTAGACTATCTTCGAACTAAACATTATGGTATATTCGACACTACAGGGCTGGTCCATTAAAGGTATAGTCTGCGGTGGTCTAAATATCAGAGTTACTCACTGATTGGATATATAGTGTCACTAAGTAATGAGTGAGTATCTAGTACTTAAGTAAGTATTTATATAAAATCAGTCATCATACCTGTGACTGGTCTAATCGAATCACTGACTCTAAGTGATAACCAACGACTGAAAATATTCCAAACGGTATAGTTCGACCAAAATAGAAACACGTGATTCGCCCGTTCAAACCAGCCACGGCTGCCCTTCTTCCTCCAAACGCAAAGCCACCATGGTACTTCAACTGCACGTGTGGGGTCCAGCCTTTTCCCTGCCTTCAATTGACGCGCAATGTCTTGCTATCATTGCATACTGTTCCGAGGTCCTTCCTAAGGGCTCTTGGGAGCTGGTCGCGACCAGCGATCCCTCCGTCTCCCCTGCCGGTAAGTGACGTGACCGGAGAATACTTTGAATCCAATGTCTCATATTTAATGCATAGGTGAACTCCCTGCGCTTCAGAACGGAGAAGTCTGGGTGAGTCGATTCCGTAACATCGTCGACTACCTCCGCCAATACTCCGAGGGAGCATGGTACTTGGATCAAAACTTGGATGAGGCCCAACAGGCCGACAGCGTGGCGTATGTATCCCCTATATACCCTCATGTATGCGCTCTAACAGCTGCAGATTCTCTTCCTTTGTCGAATCCCGTGGCCAGTCCCTCCTCGACCTCTACCTATACGTAACGAGCCAAAACTACTACACAAACACATCTCCAGCATATGGCACCCTCCTCCAATGGCCAAACCAATGGATCCTCCCTCCGAAGCTTCACACGGCCGCAAAGTCACGAACAGAGCACATGGGGCTTTCTTCTCTAGACCTTCAAGCAATGGAGGACCAACGCCAGCGCGACCACTCCGCCGCAGTGGCCGCTGGCCAAATCCCCCAGAATCTAATCCAAAAGCCCAAAGAAACAGTCTCTAAAATGCTCGGTCGAACATCCCAATCAAATCATTTCCGTCTTGAAGCTCTAACAGCCGACTTCTTCGACCCCCTCGAGGCAATGCTATCCACCAAGTCCTGCCTCCTCCCCGCCGACCAAAACAACTCTCCTTCCTCGCTCGACTGCATCGCATCCGCATACCTGTCCCTGGCCCTCATTCCAGAGCTGGCTTTCCCGTGGTTGCGTGATGCAATGCGCACAAAGGCCCCGCTGTTGACCGCGTATACGGAGCGCATGCGCTCTCGCACCTTCGGCGTCGTAGATGTCAGTCATGCCTTTGTGCCAGTGACGGAGTCGCTGCCATGGCGCGCGCCAGATCGCCTTTCAGTTGCGACAGTTGGCAATACACTTCTCAATACACTGGCAGATAATACGCCGATCCTGAAGGAGGTCAGAGCCAACAGGCGTTTGAAACAGGCTATCCAGTCAGATGAAAATTTTAGCCCGGTCCAGAAACAGGGCCTGTCTCTTTATGCTGATTCTAAGAGCAAGGACATGCTGGTCTCGATTGCTGCGGTTGTGGCGGGCAGCGCTGCTTTAGTCGGATACATGGTGCACGTCGGGTTGATTTCCTTCTCCCGGGAGGTTGAAGAGGAAGAGGAGGAGGTGTATGAGCCTGAACAGGTTCTTCATATGCCTGCGTCTGAGATCCTAGGGTTGAACCTTGGCTAATCCCTGGCCAATGGTCCAAACAAGTCGGTATTTCGAAACTTGGCGACAGTCAAGATTGTACTATAGTATCTTATCTCTGTGTTGATTTGGAGGATGCTCTCACATCTCTGCATCAAAATCTCTGGTTTTTGGCCCCAAATCTACTTGAAACATCTCTATTTTGATGTTTTATGAACCCGAAGGACTACAATAGTAGTAAATGCCGTGTCTACTCCGGACACCAGTAATGATCGGCTCAAGGAAACCCATGTGGACTTCGCATTGACTTAAGCTCTGTACATAATCCCTGCCTACCCTGCATTCCTCCGATGCCCTAATGCCAGGCATTCCAGTCACGGAATTTCCACAGAAGGCCCGGTCAATATTCCTCCAGGCTTCCCCGCATTCCTGAACTATGAAGCTGACGTTCGTTGAAAGTTCGGACTACTTTTGATTCAATCGGGTGATATGCAAATATGCTCCGACCTGCATGTTAATAAGGTTGCATAAAAAGAGCAGAGGTAAATTCAGTCATGTGCAATGCGCGCAGTAAATGAGATAGCCCTGGAGATTGCCAAAAATAGGGTTCGTTTCAGCTTGAGTGAACATATGTTCATGTCTGGAAGGTATTTGCAAAACAAATTAAAATTACAGTATGATAATATCCATGGACGAGCACAACATGGATTTAAAGAGATAATAGTTACATAGTAAGTATGGTTGGTAGACCTCGGGAGGATGTAGGGAAAAAAAGAAATGATATCAACTCTCAAATCAGGTGGTATATGTACAAAGAAGAAGACAAAAGTGACGCAAATCATGACCTCAAAAGATATGTATGCACCTCTGCACGGAAAAGAGGCATCCGTGAGAAGTTGCCGTAGATGGAATGTGTGGCCAGGATAGTTGCCGGGGCCAGCGACCTGCGCACGCACACATCGAATACAAAAGCCATCTTGAGCGCTGAACCATTTGCGAAAGAAACAAAAACCCTAAGGTGAGGGAGATGGCAGGGGATATATCAACAGATAGCCATTTAAGAGGACCAGCCGAGGTTGACGACGAGACGGACGGGTCCGGCAGCCTGGGCGACGGCCTTGTCGGGCTTGCCCTGGTCGGCGGAGGTGTAGGCGTTGACAACGGAGCCAGCGCCGGAGGTGATGGAGGAGCACTTCTCACCCTCGTGGTTGCAAATCTGCATACCAGCGATGTCCATGTTGGCGAGCTCGGCGATAATACAGGAGACGTCCCAGCCGGAGAAGTTGTCGTTCTGGGCGTTGGACATGTCGAACTCACCCCAGGTGGAGGCGTACTCGCCGACGTAGTTGGTGGGGAGGCCCTCGCCCTCGGCAGCACCCCATCCACCCTGGGAGTTGTCGTCGATGGCAACGAAGGTGCTGTGACCGGGCTCGACGGTGAAACTGAGGGCCTTGTTGGGGCTCCAGAATCCGTTCAGGCCACCGCTGGGTCCGTAGGAGTTCCACATGACGACGGTCCAGGCCTTGGAGTTGTCGTTCTCGAAGCGGAGAACGTGCTTGTAGCCGCTGGCGCTGCTCTCCTCAACCTGGATCATGTTGCTACCCCAGGGGCTACCGACGTTGCCGATGTAGTCCCAGTCGAGGGAACCAACACGCTTGCTGGCGGTGGAAGAACCGAAGCCGGTGGTGGTGTACTTGCCGTCAGAGGGGTAGTCGGCCCAGTTGCTGGAGCTAGAGCTGGAAGACGAGGTGCTGGAAGCAACGGGGGTAGCGCTGACGCTGGAGATAGCCTCATCCTCGCTGGAGGAAGCGGCGGCGGTGGTGGTGGGAGTGGCAGTAGAGGTAGGAGTAGCGGTAGTCTCGACCTCAGCGGCCTCGGAAGAGAAAGACTCGGAAGACTGCTGGCCAGACCACTCGTTGATCCAGGAGACGAGCTGGCCATCAATGGTAGCGATGACTTCAGCACCGAGACCACGCTTCTCAGCAGCGTCAGGGACGGGGGTAGTGGCAGGAGGTTGCTCGACCTTGATATCAACATCGACAATATCTCTAGGGTGGGCGTGACGACGGTCGTGGCCGTGAAGACGAGCGACGGCCGACCCAGCGGTCAGCGCCGTCATCAACAGCATGGAGTTGGAGATGTGCATTTTTTCCTTCTTTTTTCCGAATTGAATAACTGAAAATGAGTGACTTGAGCGAGTGCTCTGAACGAAATTCAATTCAAATGAGTGTGGGAATGAGAGTGAGGAAGAACGAAGTGGACTAGGGGGGGCAGAGGATTATTAGTACAGATGCATACTGGTTACACACCAACGGGTCAGATGGGTCCTGAACCAGAATTTCTCCCAAATCAGGGGCTGTCGACCTCTGATTGGCTCAGTTCCTGGCGGTTCCTGAGCGCCGTGCGCCCATCTCGCTTGATTGGTGGGCCCGTCGAGAGTCTGGACTCAATGGCGGTGGTACTGGGTACTTGGCTCTACTATGCCCTGCATCGCGGCTGTGCGAGTACCCGTGACTTGAACATAGGGGTGTCTATTGTTTGCCCATTTCCTATTTTCTCCTATATTGCATATCGCTATTATTGCACTACTATTGCGCTCCCTCCTATTGATCCCATTGATGATATTTTCTCCCTATTGATATCTGCCTAAATGTCAGCCACGTGTACAATCGGAATGCTGGATATCTGGAGATTGGACGTCCACGACAACACTCCATCAAAACCCAATATTGAACAGACACTTAGTACCAATGCAGCCAAGTGTTGGGTATTTTCATACTTAGTACTTTCAAACTTTCACCGATGCGGTTTAAGACAACCCATCTCCCCGTCACCCGGTCTTCCCCACATAGGCCAATCGGTGCAGTGCGCAGCAAGGATCAAATTCGTCTTACGAATCCTCACTTGGGCAATCTTAAGATCTATGGGAACAGTTCATGAAGTGTTGTCGAACCTCGGAAAGAAGACAAGTGACCCAGCATGGTGGGGGAGGAAAACCCCTCGCCCAATTCTGACTCATTTCCTTACAATTACTGTTATACAATCGTAATAATTGTCTCTCACCCTGCTCATCGTATCCACGGATGAGCGCACAACAAGGTCTGGCCGCAGATCAACGGCAGAGATTCGCCCCTACGCGGCAGATGGGTCCTTGCCCTCGATTCTCTGTAAGGCACACACGCTCATTTTAATCTTTATTTTCTGGTAGCGTCAAAGCCATTCCCCACCGATATGACGAGTCTTTCTCCGGTAGGGCCCTGCCGGAGTGTTGACTCCATAATGGGATGCCAAAGTGGTCCTCCCATCGTGAGTCCAGGCCTGGACGCTTCGCCAAGCTGAATTTGATCGTATTTGACTTGCCTCCCCCCGGCGGTTGTGAGCGATTTCAAGTGCCCAGCCTCACTGGAAACTTTGATCGCGCTTAGTTTATGGACGTGGAAGGCTCCAGCATAACGAATTGTAGAAATGAGCGACTTGACCAAGAAGAATTTGTTTTTAACAAAAAAGACAGCCAAAAAAGTAAAATGTGTGGGCGGTTCTCGAAACGTTAGGGTTGCAGGTACCCGCTGCGTTCCTTACATTGAAGTCTGCAGGAACACGACCCTTGGGATTCAAATTGACTAGAATGTACTAAAATGACCCTAAACACTCCAAACGTTGTAAATCACAGTATTTTTCAACGTAAATAGACGGAACCAGGGTTGTGGCCTCGGGAGCCCAGTGTCGACCCTCGGTTCATTCCTCGATCCACGGTCTCATTGGCTCTTGGGAAATTAATTCTGCATCTAATCTCATTGAATTTTCACGTGGCTTTGCATGCAATACATCTCATTCTCGCAAAATGTACAGTAAACTGCCAATAGTATAATTAAAAGCTCTTGGATAGCGTCGTGGCCGATGAACGAAAAATAGAATACTGGTGGAGACGTTGCTATTTACGGATTGATCTTCCATTTCATCTATTCAAAGGGGAACTTTTGCAAGCCGCCTTCGCTGGTCCCCTGTTCAGGGCCAAGTCGCTCACCCATGGAATACGAGTGACAGCAAACCCCTCATTTCTCGCCAAGGTCCACGCCACCCTCAAAGGCAACGCCACCAGCTGCTGCATCGACTTTCAGACTCTCGTCTAGTCCGCAGACCCTGAACAGCATTTGTGGCGTCAACTCCTTGTCCAGCCCTGGCAGCCCATCTCGCTTCAGTTTCTCCAATCCGTCCCGCATGGCAGTGAGTGCAGGCCCTATGGTCGCAAATGGGAAGATGATGATCCGGAATCCAAGCTCTTGAGCCTCCTGGGACGAAATCGACGGCGTGGACCCATGCTCAACCATGTTCAAAACCAACGGCCACCCAGCGAAATCATCAATCACCTTCTTAGCCATCTCCCGCGATGAGATTCCCTCCAAGAACCCAACATCAGCACCTGCTTCCCGAGCCGCCCGCAATCGCGCAACGCTCTCCGCATACCCTAGCGACTGCAGCGCATCCGTCCGCGCGATGACCACAATGTCACTTCCGATGCGCTGTCGCGCTTGCACAGCCGCCCGGATGCGACTGACGTATGTTGCTGTGTCGACGAGCTGTTTCCCTGATAGATGCCCGCACCGCTTCGTTTGCACCTGATCCTCGATGTGGAAGGCTGCCACGCCTGAGCGCGCGTATTGCTCCGTCGTGCGGGCCACCATGATCGGCCCGCCGTAGCCGGTGTCGGCATCTGCAATCAGCGGTGTGCGCGGTGACAGGTTGGCCAGCATTTCGGCATTCGCCCGCATGTCATTCAACGTGCAGATGGCAAGGTCAGCTTGTCCATGTACGGAGGCCGCGGTTCCTGCGCCGGTCTGCTTGGTCAGTTGGGGTTGAGGCTGCGTGATGCTTTGCCTACCATATATAGGGCCTCGAACCCTGCGGCTAGTGCCAACCTCGCGGACATGCCATCATATACTCCTGGGGCTGTGATGAAGGCCTTGGGATCCTGCAGCGACTGTCGCAGGGTGGTTGCTGCTGATGGGAGAGCCATTGTGGATGTTGACGTCAACGAAATAGCTATCAATTGGGGCTTTTGGCGATGTGAGTACTACTCGTATGGGCTTGTTTTCGAGAGTGAGTTGTCAAGGTTTTCTCCCGGGAGGTAAGCTGGGTATCCAGACTTTGTTAACGTGTGCCCACTGAGTTCCCCACGTCGGGCACTTTTGCTTCAATGATCACCAGCCGATACCGGTATGCTTTGTCATCGCAAATGAGGACGTGGATCCGGCATCTGTTTGGTCCAAGCTGAAGTCGTTCGATGAACAGTTTACTGTACATTAATGCATGCCGGTGGTTCCGAGACATTTGCGTACATCCCCTGCGAACGCTCGATTGATGGAATACGCATGATATAGAATAATGGCAATCTAGCACTCGGTTTAAGCTTGAGATACTAACATTTTCCAGCGTAATTATTGACGAATGCAGTTTGCTACACGGAATACTATGTGCGGTGTCATACTTTGGTGACGTAGACATCCCTGGGCCAACAGGAGGGTGTGAGATCCTCAGATGAACAAAAAGATATTGCACACCATACCGAATATCATATAAGCCCTATTCTTAGAGTCTGATCTCTAGTTTGACTTCCATCAGGAGCAATGAAGTCCAAACTCAAGACTATAAGAAAACACCCTTGTCTCTTAAGCTTTTAGCGCTCAAGTGCCCGCGGGCTGTTCCCCATATTAGTCATCACTCCATCTCAACCCTCAGTCGGCAGGAACTTAGCAAATGACATCTCCCATTCCTCTATGATGAGACACACCTGTCTTCGATCTACCTCTGATCTCCATTAATCTTCGCGATGGCGCGCCCCTCCGTGGTCCAAGAATACAACTCCGCGCCAACCATCAGCGTCGACCAAAAGTCCGCGGCCGAGCTCCAGAAGTACCAAATAGCTCGCCCGCAAGGCTATCGCGTATCATGGCACGCCAACCCAGCCGTTGAAGCCCACCACTTTGGCCAGTCACACCCAATGAAGCCATGGCGTCTCACTCTCACCAAACAACTCGTCATGGCCTATGGCATGCACCACGCCATGGACCTCTACCTCGCGCGCGCAGCTACATACGAAGAAATGGCCGACTTCCACGAAACAGACTACCTCGACTTCCTGCGCCAGGTCATGCCAGGTGACATGGATCGTCCTGAGCAAGGCGACAATGTTGTCCGATTCAATTTCGGGGATGACTGTCCCATCTTCGACGGCCTGTACAACTACTGCTCCCTCTACGCAGGCGGCACCGTCGACGCAGCCCGGAAGCTATGCAACAACCAGTCCGAAATCGCAATCAATTGGTCCGGTGGCCTCCACCACGCCAAGAAAGCAGAGGCTTCCGGCTTCTGCTACGTGAACGATATCGTCCTAGGTGTCCTCCAGCTCCTTCGCCACCACCCCCGCGTCATGTATATCGATATCGACGTCCATCACGGTGATGGGGTCGAACAAGCCTTCTGGTCAACGGATCGCGTACTCACCGTCTCCTTCCACAAATACGACAAGGACAACTTCTTCCCCGGTACAGGCGCCCTCGACGACACAGGCCCCTCCCATCCCCTCAACCCAGGCGCCCACCACTCAATCAACGTACCTCTGCATGACGGCATTGACGACCAATCCTACATTGGTCTCTACGAGGAAGTAATCGGCGCATGTGTAGAAACATACCGCCCCGGTGCAATTGTTCTCCAGTGCGGCGCCGACAGTCTAGGCTGTGACCGGCTGGGATGTTTCAATTTGAATGTTCGCGCCCATGGTGCCTGCGTCGCATACACCAAGACATTCAACTTACCCCTTCTCGTCGTTGGAGGTGGAGGCTACACGCCGCGCAACGTATCGCGAGCCTGGGCGCATGAAACCTCCATTCTGCTGGACGCGGATAAAATCCTCGATTCAACGATCCCAGACTCCGTCGCATTCCGCAATCACTTTGGTCCTGATTTCTCGCTGTTTCCGCCTCTGTCAGAGATGCGAAAGTTGGAAAATAAAAATACAAAAACTTACATCGCAGATCTGGTCGAGGCTGTCCATGAACAGTTGAGATATATCCAGGGTGCACCTAGTGTGCAGATGAGTTTCATTCCGCCGGATATTCTGGGCTTGAGGGAGGAAACTGAGAAGGAGATTGAGGAGCAGACTTTGTTGGCAGAAGAGGAGAGGGAGGAGATGGATGGCGGTGGTTCGATGGCGGCCGATGCGGCGGCGGCGGCAGCGTCTGGATTGGCTTATACCGGCTCTGCAGGCGCGATTCCTCGCTCCACTCGGAGGAATCAGGAGCATGGCGCTGGGTATAAGGGGGAGTTGTATTCATAGGGCTGGGCTGGGGTCTGGGTTGCAATTGGTGTTTGGCGTCGTTTCTTCTATCTTTGTATCTTTGTGATATCCCTCTTGTTGGACCTTGTACAGTATCAAGGGCATGGCATAAAATAATTGATTGATGTATCCATCACTTTCGCCCCTGTAATGTCACGGGTAGGCAAAAAGTAGTTGTATCAGCCTAAATTCTGGAAAATGACAGAATGATAGACCTTGAGACCTGTGAGCTCTAAACATTAGTCCACCGCAGAGCCCCAGACTTGCCTGGGTGCCTTGGCCGTTACACTATGTACTTGATCACCCTTGCAGTAACAAAATGTTCATTTTGAGGATTCTAAATTAGACCAAATCGGGTATTCAGCAATGGGAGCGGCGCTGTGTTGAAACAAGGTATATCACGATTGCGCCACGCGGGTGCCTGCACAGGTTGACTACATGGCAGAGATCCCAGGGCTCGGGGAACGCATGACCGAATGGGCGATGTGTCGGGGGGAGCTGGATGGACACAGGTTGAGGTTATGATGTTTCCTGTGCATCTACGAACTTGTCCACCTCTGAGGTTCGGGTGTCTGTTCGCTCCACGGTGTTTTGGGTGGCGTCACTTTTCTCGACTATATCGTGCGGCGGGATTAGCGGGCTGCGGGATCCTGGGAACCGTTGTGCGGCGGGATTTGAAATTGGGATGGTTCCTTCTGACCTTGGAGGATGGGTGCGATTGATAAGATTTGTTTGGTGGCAAGTTGGGGATCGTGCATGTCACTGGAGAAGGTTAGCTATATCCACATCCGTCTTCAGAGTACTAGTGGGAAATTCTAACACTTGGGCGTTGATGATCCAATCAAGGTCTTCGTCACCCTCGTCTGGCCCTCCAGGGCCTCCTTGAATGGGGCGGAATAACCGAGGGTGCCAGTCAATTCCCTCGTCAGCGCGCTTAGCGGCTTCGTCTCGTTGACGGTCTTCAATCTTGGTCTTTTCGTCGGTTGCGGCTTCGTGGTTCTGGGTCAGGATCGCATGGACGGTGTCTTTCCATAAACGTTGCGACTCCCGCTCTCCCTGCTCTTCAATCGGGCGCGCTATCGGTGCAGTGTGCTTCGCGTGTGTCGCATTGAACAGAAGGTCTTTTTTGTGAGTCTGTTACCTGTGTCAGCGGCCTCCACATTGCATTGCCAATGAGCGCAGTGCATACGTGAACATCCTTGATATCCATCTCCCCGTTCCACAGTCCCGAAAGCTCATATAGTACTTCTCCAGTCTGCTCATTCTTGATCGTTCCGCCGATGGCGTTATAGGTGCCGGAGAAGTAACCCTTGGTCTTGAACTCGATGTCGGCAACGAGGTGGTTCTCGGGACAGCGCACGTAGCTGTGGTCGCCAAGCTCGTATTTCATTTTTCCAAAAAGAATGCCGCGCGCATACATATTAGGTTGAGTTAAGATGCTTGTCTTGTTAGTAGCTGCACGAGCTGTCTGCAGAAACGACCTACTATTTCTCGCCCTTCTCTTTATTCTGACCGCGGTTCATAAGTCGCAAAGTGGCGATGCCTTCCATCATACTTGCGGCAGAGTTGCCGAGGAATTTACTGCGGGGTTTGAGGGTTCCATCAATGCGAATGCTATGCTCTGGCGCGGCGAAGAAGTAGCTCGACTTTGGCGGGTGGTGGGAGGTCTGTTCGGATATGTAGTAGCCACGGGTTCCATCCGAATAGTCCCAATGGCAGGTAAAGGTTTCTCCGAGAATGGGGTTGAGCGGCTTTTTCACTCCTCTGTATAGGGAATCAATATTTGTTTCCGCCGGGTACCATGCGCGCGACATACGGAGGTTTGATGTGCCATCCACTCAGGTAAAATTTGACCACGGAGACGAATCGTTCGACAGGATCGTCAATCGTTGACATCGGGAGCAGGGTTTCCGGGTGGGCCATGAAGCTGTATAATGTTCGCATTAGCCGACCTGGCCAAAGACTATACCCATCGCTTCGGAGCAGCGGGGAAAGAGTACACACTTGGTGATGCGCTCCAGCATTGACCGAGGCTCAAGAATGAACGTCGGAAGGACGACTCGGCTCAAATCGGCGCCGGGTCGCAGTTGGGAGATGATGTGCGAGAGGACTGTCAGATGGTCAGTGGTGCTCTCTGCATACTTCGGACTCAAAACTCGCACCATTTCCCTGGTCGGGTTCAACGACCTCATCCTCTCCGCTTGGGGGAGAATCCTCCATCGATGATCTACCTGGATCTGCGTTAGATGACATGTTGGGTGTTGTCGAGAGGGAAGTTCTCACTGGCCAAGGAAGCGCGGCGGAGATGCGGGACCGGCATGTCTGCGTTCGGAAAGTATATGATCTGATTTTAGACTCTTCAAATATTTCCCTCTACACTGCCAACATTCGAGTCTAAGAGGATTAGGGGACAAGGAAAAATAGTAGTAAAAAAAAAAAGTAGCCTAGCGAGAGAGCCGGTTTGGCCGGAGAAAACCAAGAATACGAAGAGAAACAGCGCCCGGATCAAGAGAGTCACTCACAGGCAGAGAAGAAAAGAAGAAAAGAATACAGAATAGGAGAGAACAGGAGAATAGGAGAATACGAAGCTAAGAAAAAAAAAAAGAAAAAAAAAAAGGAAATGCAAATCGAATGCTTAGCTTCAAGAGAGAGGGGGGCAGTGACGTCGGGTACTGTTTTCTTTTCGACCTGTCCCCTTTACACCTCTCTTCTCGACTTCTCTCGACTTTCCTCTACTTCACACTGCTCTGCCTTGGGTCCTTTACCCTATCGCTACGGAATACTCCCTGATATACCCCATACTCGACGAGCTTTGATTCATAATCCCTTGGATTCACGATGAGGGGCACTTCTTGGCATCCGTTCATGCAGCCCCCTAATGGACCAAAATGGATCACACCCGCTCGATCAGCGGCACATCTCCACGGGTGATCTCCCTCACAAACCCCATATCTGGTCGATGGAGCATGACATGGAAATGCTCAACCGCATGGACCGACTTGAGCGACTTCCAATTCCTAAACCAGATCACCTGAACACGTCAGTTCGTATTCGTATTAACGCGGAGAACAGCTCACCTGTTCGGCGGGCACCCGCCAGAACGTGCGCCGCACATAGCTTTGTATGGCTGCCCGCATGTTCGCCGTGAGCTCTTCCGTGACCGGATCATCTTCCAGTGCGAATTTGGTCCAAACCACCAGATGGATAATGTCTACGTCCACCCCGTACGGCCAGTCGTTGTATAAGATTCGGATGTCCTCTGGGATTGATTAGTGCTGGGTCATCCTCAAGCTCGAAACTCGCAATCCCCATACCGTCGAATTCAAAGGGTTTGCCGCGAGGCTGCAGGTCGGATTGATTGCCGTCGCCCCAACGTAACCGTTCCTTGATCACGAAGCGCATTATTGACGAATACTCCGCTTTGATTTGCGCCATGAATTCCAGATACCTGCGCAACTCGCTAGGAACCCGTTGAAAAAGGTCGATGCGGTTTGTATCTATGGAGCTGGGGTTAGGACACATAGTCGTGTCGAGAATTGGCCGTACTAACCGATGATCGCCTTCACTTCTGTCCAGTCCTGTCGGGTATAGTGGTCATCGGGAGTCGAAAGACATTGTATGTTCTTTGGAGGCTGGCCATGTAGAAAACTAGGGCACTCGGCTGGCCATTGCGACCGGGGAATATTGACTAGCCAGAACGGGAGGGTCTTCGAGGTGAGGCTGTGAGTATGCGAGAACTGTGCTGGGGTTGTGGTGTTGGTATCAGTCAGTCTCTCGTCGTGTATGGTGATGGTAGCGGCAGATGTAGACGGTCCCCTCACACGGGCCATGGCGGGTTAACCACTTTGACTGTGTGTTGAAAGGTGAAATAGAACCCTCGTGGATTCCTTGGGTCGACGTCACCGTGCAGTGCCGGGGTAGGAAACGTCCAAGAGGCGTTCTCGGCTGTCGATCGTAGATCCACTGGGTGGCAATTATTTGTTTGTTCGGTCCCCTATTGAACGCGATTGATCTCGACCTTTTTATACATTATTTGGGGTCTACGGCCTTCCAGCTCTTCTTCCAGTATTCCGTACGGAGGACTCCGTATCTGCACAGCTATGGGGAACCTCTGGACAAGTCATATCAAAGTCGCAATGAGCAGATGCCCAACATACACCGCTACTTCTACGAGCTTTGCTTTGTCGCTCATATACTGAAGCAGTACGGAACAGCAGACAGCTCTTGTACAATTCACCATTCTCGTGTAAGTGTTGTGGTCTTTGCGTTGTGAGCGTCGAATACACCTTGGAGACCTTTGACATACATGAACATTTTATCTCCAACCCAGCCACATCAATCACATCAATCAATCAGCTTAGCTCCAGACACACCACAAAGCTTCATGGATATGGATCGTCATTGGGAGAGTTCTCAAGTGGTGATACACTATAAACTGCATGCTCGGTTTACTATGTAAAGTGTATGTACATCGTTCATGGTATTCATAAATGATAAAATGTCTATGACAAAACTCCTTCATCCTTCAGGCGGGCAATATCAGCCTCACTGTACTCCAGGATACTACCCAAGATCTCATCAGTGTGCTGGCCCAGGGTAGGAGGAGGCGAGCGCACGCCCGGTTTCGCTTCCGAGTACTTAATGGGAGTGTTGACAAGTTTGATGGGACCGCAAGCAGGATGCTCAACCTCAGTCACCATATCTCGTGCCAGGACTTTTTGTGTCAGTGTCAATTTTCCTGTTGGGCAGTTGAAAGAGCTTGGAACTTACCGTGTTTGTGGTTCAATGTACCCTGGATATCATTAACTGCCGCATAAGGCATACCACTGCCTTCAAAGATATCCAGCCATTCCTGGGTAGTCTTCCGAGCAGTGATGTTCTCAATCATGCTATCAATTTCTGCTCGGTGCTGTACTCTGTCACTGTTCGTGACAAAACGAGCATCCGTCTTCCATTCGGGGAAACCTAATCGGTCAGACAGCACACCGAAAAGCTTGTCATTGCCACCGCCGAAGAGAATGTCTCCGTCCTGAGTCTTGTAGCTTCGATAAGGCACAATGGATGCTAGAAAAGGTTAGATGCGTCTTTGATTTAACAGAATGTCAAAATGCTGCTTACGGTGTGCGGTACCCCATCGACCAGAGTCCTTCTGTCCACTGATTAGTGCCGAGCTAGCCAAGTTGGATAAAGTCGCAACTTGGCAATCACTCAGACAAGCATCGATATGCTGACCCTTGCCAGTCCGACCACGAGCAATCAATGCCGCCATGATAGCGTTTGATGTGTACAGTCCAGTAGTCAGATCAGTAACAGCCACACCAACTTTGACTGGGGCACCATCGCGAGCACCAGTGATATGCATCAGCCCCATCTCGGCTTCAACCATGACATCGTAGCCAGCCCGATTGCTGTATGGACCTGTCTGGCCATACCCGGTGATGCTGGCGTAGATCAACTTTGGATTGATCTTTTGCAGAGTTTCATAGTCCATGCCGTACTTTTTGAGTCCTCCGGGGAGATAGTTCTCGACCAATACATCGCATTCTTTTGCGAGTTTGTGGAGGATCTCGACGCCTGACTTGTGCTGGAAGGATAAACCAAGTGATTTCTTGTTCCGGTTCACCTTTATAGATTGTAAGTAAAATGCCGTTTCGTCTTCTGCAATATACATGGGAGTGACGAACTGCTAGGTAATAGGCACTTTCGCCAGGGCCTTTTTTAGTTGGGTCTTCATACTTTGCATATGGAGGACCCCAGGCTCTGGTATCGTCACCACGAACGGGGTGCTCGACCTTAATGACATCCGCCCTAGATTCAATGTGTCAATATGTGACACCTATAGATTGGAACAAAATGTTCGCTGTGGGGAACACGGCATACCCTAAATCGCCCAAGATTTGAGTACAGTATGGCTAGAGCACGTCAGCTTGCTTCAAGTGAAATAATTTCGACCAAAAGACCACTTACACCAGCCAGAACACGCGTCATATCAAGCACTCTTATCCCCGCCAAAGGCAGCGTCCCATCAGCCGAAGCTGAGCTGTACCTTCGCAGGGGCGTGCATCGCAGGGCATTGGGACCGCAGGCAGTGGCTGATCGACGGGCAACCGCCTGAGATCTAAGAAAGAAACCCATGATCAAGTATACAGAGTAGAAAAGAAACAAAACCAAGCACAACTTAAGTATTAAAGTATGAAACACATCAAAATCCGGGGGAATGCGAATCTCCGCCAAAACGCCGACGCCGACACCGCTCGGGGCTGGTCCTGCCGAGGTTTGTCATGCGGCAATTTCTCCGCACATCAACAACCACAATCATGTTCACGGGTCTTGTTGAAACGATCGGAAGTGAGAGCTGGTGTTTTTTTCTTCATTACATCAAAGACTAATGCCTTTTCACCAGCCGTTACGGCCCTAGAGCCCCTCGACACCTCCTCAAGTGGGGGCGGGGGAACTTCACTGACGATCTCCGACTGTGAGGAGATTCTCACAGATGCCCACTTGGGTGACAGCATTGCCGTGAATGGTATTCCAGCCCCTTAAACGTTGTTTTCACTAGGTGGAATTGACTCTGAGACCCCCAAAAAGGAACCTGTCTCACGGTGACTGCGTTCGACAAGACGTGGTTCAAGGTTGGCTGTGCGCCGGAGACATTGCGACGCACGAATCTAGGATCCCTGACCAAGGATTCATACGTAAACCTCGAACGCGCCGTTTCCGCCGATACCCGGATGGGAGGTCACTTCGTGCAGGGCCACGTTGATACCGTTGCGGAGATTTTGTCCGTCACGCCTGATGGGAACTCAATGGTGTTCCGGCTGCAGCCGCGGGACCGCAGTATTCTGCGCTATGTCGTTGAGAAGGGATACGTGACTCTTGATGGTGCCAGCCTGACCGTCACCAATGTTGTTGACGGGGAGGATGGGTATTGGGAGGTGATGCTCATTGCGTACACGCAAGAGAAGGTTGTCACGGCATCTAAGAAGCCCGGCGATCTTGTCAATGTCGAGATCGACATTGTGGGCAAGTATGTGGAGAAGAGTGTTCAAGGCTACTTTGCTGGTGCTGGTGGAGGTGATTTCGCTATCTTGGAAAAGATGGTCCACCGCATTGTCGATGAAAAGCTCAAGAAATAGATCGAGGTCATAAAAAATGAAACCGAGAATTCTTGCTCCAAATTTGTCCTGGGGCCTGTATCTGGATCAATAGATGAATAAATTTGGAATATCACCAAGAGAATAAAAACAAAACTCTCCTAGTGTAGTCATATCAGACTGAAGATGATGAGGCTATACCTAAACAGGGCTAGACAGGCCAGAGACTAGCACCAAGTTCCTACATCTATAGATGCTGCCAAAATCAAACAGCAGTTCGCAAATGATATAAGTCAATAGACAGACGGTATACACATACTATGCACATAGTATATAACATGCGTCGTTGATGCGGAAGTGTCACATGATGACGCGCAAAGGTCGCGTTCCTCCCTAGCCGCATTGATCTTGAAGTCAGCCACTTGTCATGGATCCAATCTTAGATGGATTGAATCATGCTCAGCGTGAGGCCGTCACCTCATCTGGCTCAATTCTTCAAGTTCTCGCGCCACCAGGCTCGGGTAAAACAAAGACACTGACGGCGCGCGTCGCGTACCTTCTTTCGCATCATGGTTACCAACCCCAAGATGTGATCTGCTGCACCTTCACGATCAAGGCCAGTCGGGAAATGCGCGAGCGCCTTGCGAATCTCATTGGAGAAAAATTCGAATCCCGCTTGATTCTCGGCACTTTTCACTCGATCTGTCGTCGCTACTTGGTCAAGTACGGGTACCTGATTGGCCTGCGGAAGGGATTCGGCATTGCGGATTCGGATGACACCCGTGCAATCATCAAAGTAAGTCTGCCATGTCCAGTGAGGGCCAATTGCATTTGCTAAATGAAGGCGCAGAGAACCATTAAGCGGTTGAACTCTAGCATTGAAGTCAAGGCAGCCCAGGGCCGTATTTCACGGCACAAGGCACATGGCTTGAGTCCAGATGCAGTGTCCCAACGGGCCAAGGCTGAGGAGTTAGAGCTCGTCGATATCTATCGAGACTACCAATCAGCATTGGCCGCCTCTAATCTGCTGGATTATGACGACCTTCTTTTGCGGTGCAGCGATCTCCTTCGGGATCACCCACAGTGTGTGTCCAATGTACAGGCCGTGCTGGTGGACGAGTTCCAAGACACGAATATCATTCAGTATGAGCTGATGAACCTCTTTGCCTCGAAAAGTCGACGGATTACTATCGTCGGAGACCCTGACCAGAGTATCTATGGCTTCCGTTCTGCAGAGATCAAAAACCTCAAGCGAATGCAAGGACGTTACTCAAATACAACAGTCGTTCTGTTGGAGGATAACTATCGCTCTGCTGGTTCCATTCTCAACGCTGCTCAAGAGGTCATCGAACAGGATGAGGCTCGGCCTGCCAAGGCCCTTCAGGCCACACACACTTTTGGAACCCTTCCTGTGTTAAGAAGGCTCCCAACCCCCAATGCAGAGGCACAATGGATGGTACTTGAGATAAAAAGATGCGCAGCCATGACTGGAGGTCTTTTACGTATGTCCGACTTTGCGGTCCTCCTCAGATCGGCTTCGCTGTCCACACAGATAGAGACAGCGTTTGGGAGAGCCGGCATACCATACAAGATGGTTGGAGGACGTAAGTTCTTTGACCGAACCGAGGTCAAGATTATCCTCAACTACATGCGAGTTGCCAATCACACAGGACACTCCGATGCGCTGTTAAACATCGTCAATGTTCCACCGCGCAGAATCGGCGATGAGACAATCAGACAATTGACAAGCGGTGCAGAACAGGCCAAGCTTCCGTTATGGGACTTCATCAAGGATGTGATTCAAGGGCGCCGCTCGACTGAAAAGAAACTACAAAAAGCCGCAGAACAGGGGCTTTGCAATCTAGTAAAGCTGATCGAGGCCTCAAGGCAAAAGCTGCAGGAGTGTGAAGATGCCTCGGCCCCGCGTGTTCTCATCGAGTTCATCACGGAGCGCCTTTCCTTCCAAGAATACCTCATCAGAACATATCCACTGGACGAAGATACACGATGGGCAAACGTTAAAGAATTGATGCACCAAGCGACGGAAGTCGCTGCGTTTGAAGAAGAAGAGGTCGACAAAGAGATGGACCTCCCCGAGATTGAGGGCGTGGAACAGCAGCAGACGCACGCTGGTGAAGAAGCTCTCACTCGCTTCCTTGCAAATGTCGCTTTGGCAACAGAGATTACCAAAGAAGAAGACAACAAGGAGGGCACTCCCACGGAGAAGGTCACTATCTCAACTATCCACGCTGCCAAGGGCCTGGAATGGCCTGTGGTCTTCGTGCCTGCGGTTTACAATGGAAGCATCCCACACTCGCGCGCAGAGGTGATAGAAGAAGAGAGAAGATTACTTTATGTCGCAATGACAAGGGCACAGGCTCTCCTATATTTGAGCGTGCCTATTCGGCAGCCACGGCTAGGGGAGGGAGAAGATGGCGCAACGACATTAACGCCATTTCTCCCTCCCAAATTGACCAAAACACGATTTCGACAGACGGGACCATCTCTCCACGAAAAGGTGGTTTACGCAATTGCTGATATTCTGCGACGTCCTCGGCCGTCCCTTGATGATATGTATAAGGGGCTCGAGTTTCTGCCATCGACGCTGGATGATCGATGGACACCTGAAGGTGAAGAAGACCGCAGCAAATTTGAGGGCACTTCAGCCTCCCATGATGTCTCCGACGAGCCCAATCCAAAGAGACGGCGCTCTGACATGAACCAGGGACCCAAAACAACGACCTATATGTCATCTACTGGTTATACTATGAATGATTCGACAGGGTTCACCCTTCCTCCAACCGCTACAACAGGGTTTACATCTGCGCGAGATCACATTGCCGCTTACCCCCAACTCACTTCGGAGTCAGCCGCGGAGTCAGCTTCAAGCACCCATGCTGATGCAACGAGGGCAATTGAACCGAAGCCGTCCAGCGGTGCAGGCCGCAAAGATGGCCTCACACAAGCTAGCATATCTAATTTCTTCGGAGGCCCAGGAACCCAAAAGAGGGAACCTGTTGTGCCCAATAGGCCACAGCCACCACCTCGAAGATACGAACTTCCAACGTCCCAGAACCAACGTCTACCCGCAAAGACCAATGTCCCGCCTACTCTGTCCTCCCACCGCGTCCAGCCACGACCGCTCATCCCAACCGGGCCAACACTGGAGCCTGCCAATACAAGTGGCTACACGTGGTTGGCAACTCCATCGGGACCTCCAGCCTCAAGGCCCAGGATGACGGTGACGCAGGAACGAGGCGTGGGCAATGCTTCAACTAACGGCACGGCCGGGGCAGAGGTGAAACCCGAAGCCTCGCGAGGGTTCCAGTCCGCAACGACGTTCCACACAACGACAATGTCAATGGTCCAGCAGGGGCCGAGGCGGACTTTGGGGATTCGGCGGAGCATGAATGGGTGGCAAGACCGGATGAAGCGAGAGAGCGGTGGAGGCTGAAACGAAATCGGAGGCTGGGTCTAGAATCCTGACGATATGTCCACGGGACCAGGTCAGGAGAGGTCCACCGGCTGCAATTTGGTCCGTTGCTGGGGAAGCCCCGGGTTATACTCAGCTCGGAAAGTGATTGACCAGGGAAGGGTTGGATGGGCCAGAATTTCGGTCTGGGGAGGAATGACGCACTTCCGTGCCAGGGCCTCCCGATCTGACTTGTTTATGCATTGCTGTCAGCCAGTATCTGTACACGTAGCTCAAATTCATAATCATTCCCATGGGTCCCCCCCCCCCCCCCATGTATGTGGCGGGACGGGCAGATCTTCCGATAGAGCCTAATACCTTACGATTAGGTCTATGACGAAAAATGTGAATCAATAATGAGGGCATAATAATTGAGACCTAAAGACTAGCCCTGGAGGGATTCTGGACCACTGTGGAGATCTGGCGGTGAAAGGGCCCCTAATGCCTTAGTCCCCCTATGGAGGACAACCGCCATTGGCGCAGTGACGCTAGCGGTGAAGGGAAGCGAGGAATGGTAGAGAGTACACGACAGATCAGTTCCATGTGTGAAACCCAATGTAGCTCCTACGGAGTAGGCGAGGACGGGAGTACGGGAGTATAGAGGACTAGTTGAGCCTAGTGCGAGTCCCGAACTCGGACTAAGGTTGAGCCCAAGTTCGGTAAGGTTAAGGGGGATCCATGGATCCATGGGCTATTCTGGGAAGAATGGCTGAGTCATCATTATTGGTACCAATACGGTATTTTCTGGTATTTTGCGTCTGGTTACCGCATGCCTCTCTGCCAGAATCACGGCTCCTTTTTTTCTTCACTGGCTGTCACTGGCTGCCTTACTTTGGGTCTGTCGTCTTGACCAATCAATTTCCAAGGTATCATTACCAGGCACCAAATACGTCAGTCTCATAGCTCAAGCTCCAGTGTTCCCCAGAGTGTAGATCGGGATGGCTCAATCTGGAATGGTTTGGTATACAAAAAGAAGTCATTGCCCTCAATCCAATTCATCACTCAACTCTATACACCACATCATAACACCACCAATTGTTCATCATTTTTGTTTCTTTCTACTTGTCTCTATATATATTCTATTATCTTTTTTATCCTTGTCTTATAATTCTGCTTACAGTTCAACACTGTATGCCTTGACGCTCTTGACGCTCTCTACCTACAACATTTAATACCTTCTTAATCACTTCCTCACATTATACCTTTACGACCATCTTCATCTTCTTTACCTTTTGCCTTCTCACGCCAATCCTCATCTCCCACTTCACCAATCCATCAATTCCTCTTCACGATGCCTCACAAAGTGAACAACTCCAATTCCACGCTAGCCAGCCAGAGCAGCGGTGACCAAACCACCGAAGTTCGGAATCTCAGTATGTCAGACCCCTGCCCCCGATCTCCAGATTCAGCCCAAGCTAATGCACACCCTAGCAACCAATCCCGTCCGCAAACCCCCGGTGATCGTGCACAACAAGGGCGGACAAATCTATGATGAAACCCGGCCTTCAGACTGGGATAAGCAACGCTGGAAGTAGTCCTACTACTCCAGACTCAATGGGGGAAGACGCGCATGCCAACACTTTTTTTATCCGCGCGGACCAGAGTCTAGACAACCGGCAAGGCAACAGACACGCAAGAAAAACACGCCAGAAACAGAAAGTGAGGCGGTGATCGACGATTGGGCGCTAATCCCCCCCTTTTTGGAGCTCTGAGCTTCTGAGCTCGCTCTTCGTCACCGCTTGAATCTCTTGCTCTTTCTATCAACCCCTGACCCGATCGTGTTCCAATTGCCCTCTGATTTGTCCCTTTTTCCCTTTTTCGCTTGTCGATCCTTTGCCGCGCACTCCCTGCGTCTCCCCGGATTTTGGGATGGTCTCCACCCGATCTCTGCCTCCTTGTATCAATATTGGGGGTGTCCCTGTCTACCCCTTGGACTATTTTCTCTTTGGGGCTCATTTGTGAAATACTGGCTCACTCTCCTCTCTCCATCAGCTTTTGTGTTTTTATGTTAGTGTTTTTTTTTTTTGTTTTTTTTTAAATATCTCATCCGTCGGCCATGTTCGCTTCCATTGCACTTGCGAGGCTGTGAACTTGGTCGAGACAATCTTGTCTTCTTGTTGCGATGCATAGCGTGGGTCTTATTGGGTATATTGAACCTAGAGTTCTTCTGAAGCAAAATTGATTTGTCGAGAGAAACTCTCGGTGTTTTACTATTTATTAATATTCCTTCCAAACTTGTACCTATGTAAGATGTTAAGAACATGAGTACTTAAATAATTTTATGGCTCGATTATAGCCAACGAGGACCCTACTACGGACTAAGTTTGGAACTCACCTGGGCACGACCATGCCCGCATTTTGGCATATCTATAGATGCGAAGAACTCTCAAATATTAGAAAATGCATCTGGCTTCTGTAGATGGAATCACCCTTGGACTTGCCTGGCACGACCTGTAGACGGTGGCTCGAAAAGGGGACCAAGGGTCAATCTATGAGCTTGCCTACATACAAGGGAAATACGCCGTGCTTGTGCTTGAGTACTAGCAATCTCGTGCCTGCGGTTGGGAAAGCCCAACACTTTGAAGTCTTCTTCACCTCCAAGGCTTATGAAGGCAGAAGGTGCGCTTGCACCCATTCATGATTTTTTTTTGACAAGAATGGAGCTTATCGAGCCGACGTGATTCTCAAGTGAAATATATACTTAACGTTGACCTTACCCATTCAGGGTTGGCAAGATGGCCTCGATGCTCAAGTGTTCCTCCAAATCCACTTGAACCTGGGTGGAAAACCTGGTCAGGAATATTCTTTGAATGTCGATTCATACTTAAGTACCTCGGTGTCGATGGATATTTCCACCAAACGAACCTCTGAAGTTCGAAAGTTTTAACCTTGGAAATCTATGCGTGAGACATTGACTCCTGGAGGTGCAAAATGACCTCCCTGCAGCAGAAGATATATACCTACATAAGTACCCAGGTAGGTACAGGTCTTTCCGTGGACAGGAATAACTTTGAAAGCACACATAGGCACAAAAACCTGGAGACAGACAGGACCCCAGGAATCATCCTCAACTACAAAAAGGTTGAAGGTAGTAGACTAACCAGAATGTCTGTAATCTTTCCATCTGTCCAATCTCGATATGTAATATGTCGACTTGGGGAGAGTTATGCTTTTGAAATAGTAGGGCCAGCGAGCAGACAAAAGTACCCAGGAGAACCAGCACAATGGACACCGGTTGTACTCCGTATCTCGGCTACAGGTGCTCAAGTGTTACCTAGCCCTGAAGCACATCTCACCTGGCATACCTAGATTCATTTTTAAAGATCACGCCAGTGGTATTTATGTAGCCTGGAAAGAGAAAATGAGGAGCAAGGTACAGCTCAACATGCTACAAGTTCAAGGGGCCTACATGTCTAGCGGGGTGTTAATCATTGAAAATGGGATATATTCAGGGCCAGAGGGCCGGAACCCGATTTTCGAATCCACAGATAATAGAAAACAGCACCTCGCCCCCGTCTCCGATGAAGGATTGCGACAGGGGTCGTGAGGGCAGGTGTCAAGGCTAGATACAAAGGAAGAGGATAGCAAAGGCAGGAAAGGGACACCAGGTCAAGCCCAGCGGCCAGTCCTGCCAGAAGACAGGTAATTTTTTCCGGATTTTCTCGCTTTTTTTGCTTTTTTTGTGACCTCTGCAAGCCCTTGCCAGCGACACAGAAAAGTGTCATCGAAGAAGTAGAGCCCGTCTGACATTCACAAACGAGCATGACGTGAATGCAAAGCGAGGCACATTAAAAACGATTTTGGATATTTTCTGAGATCAACGTGAGGGGCGATGGGGGAAGGGGTTGGTGGACGCGATGGGTAAGGCAGCAATGCTGCTAATGATCGTGGAGGGGCAGGGGATATCGAAAACGCGCAGCGCCATCTGACGCGCAGCAGTATAAGAAGGTGTGCAAGGGTTGTGTGTTGTTCCTTGACGAAGAGAAGAGAAGTAAAGTGGGAGGGGTTGGCAAATGCATTCTTAAAACAAAAAAATCAACATGGCTCGCGCTCGCAATGCTAGGTGGTCAAATCAAGTGCGACTGATGACCCGAACGTGGGTATTGGAAGCAAATGGGTATGCAATTTTGGAACAGGAAGTGAAGGGCTGGTCTCGACTCCGGGTCCGTAGAACCGGAGCCAAATGCAAGGCGTAAAAAACGGATGAGGCGGTCGAATTCGAGAAAATATAGCACAAGTCGATAGCTGAGATGGCGCATTGAATATTAAGATAAAATATCGAGGTGAATCAATGCAGGATCAGACGCTCCTTGGAAAGATTCTATGGGGTGACAGAAAAATCAAATGAAGTGAGACTGGAGACAATACGTGCAGGACCAAGATAATTTGGAGATGCCGTACAACCCGTTGTCCTTTTCATGTACCACCCTAATAGGTCTGGTCCATTCCCATGTGCGTAGGTGCCGCCGGGAAATGTTGGAGCGCGGCTTGCTGAGCCATATAGAGAGCCTCTTGCTGGTATGCTTCACTGTTCATGTATTGCATCTCAGCAGATGGCGCTGGAGAAGGAGAACAGCCATTGACGGTAGGAATACCGCGGGTGGGGTCGTGGTTTCCCATGTGGGGATGAGCATGCGCATGCCCAAGTGCCTCGTTCTCCGGAGTGATAGGAGGAGTGAGGTACCCGTGGGGGATAGCGGTCAACTGAGAAGACTTCTGAGGAGTAGCAAGACCCATTTCTCCGTTGTAAGGTCGAGACTCGACAGGAGTTTCAACCGGAGGAGTGCAACGAGCATAGCTAGCCAAAGAAGCTTGACGGTTGAGGAAGTGCTCCATAACCTTGGACACCCGAGAGTAGTGAGCCGAAGCGTACTTGCGCGACACCACTGTCGAGGGCTGATGCAACTGTTGGGACAAAGCCACAAGAGTCATGGAGTCGTATTGTGATGCCCAGTGAGTGTGGCGAGGCTGAGGCCGGTTAAGGATACAGCGCGAGAGAGCCAGGGCAGCACGAGCGAGCTCGCAGGACGGCTTGGCGACAAAGTCCCGGTGGAAGAGAGCAATTTCAAGGATGTAAAGAGCCATGTGTTCCTCCTCCGGATCGTAAACATCGTCAAGCAGAGCATGTTGCAAGAACGCATCCACTGTCGGATGTCCAATAGTCCAGCCAAGGGTTTGAAGCACGTGCCATTCCATCTGCGTGAACATATCGTCATCGTAGAGAGAGCAGCACATAGACTTCAATTCCTTGATTGTGGGCACCCGATCCTTCTTGTCGTTATACTTGGCCGCAATGAGCAGAGCCGCACATCCAACCAGCTGATAGTGACGCTTGTAGACCACCCGCTTGGAGCAGTAACGGTCTAGAAGGTTGATAGCCAAGAACAAAGTAGATGGCATGAGCTGGAAAGCAGTGTGAGCCTCGATCAAGAAGTCAAGAAGGTAGGGTCGCATGAACCACTGGATCTCGGTTTGGATGTCAATGGATTCGACGTCGGGGAGGGTTTGGCTCTGCATCGAGAGACATGATCAGCATTGTGAGATCGAAATGATTGAAATTGAACCGGACTTACATCCATCTCCATCATGTGACCCAGGACATCGTCACGGAGTTCATCGCTGGTGATGTGGGAAAGCTCATCCGCCATGGCGAGTTGACGCTCACGAGACACAAGCTTCTGATGCTCCTCCTTCGCTTGACGTTCCTGGCGCATCCGAGTGTCCATTCCATAGTCATCTTCAACAAAGAAGGTAGAGCAAGGACGGTAGTTGCGGTGGTAATCCATGATTGCGGAGAAGCTTGGTTTGGCCGAAATAGATGTAATGCGAGTTGAGAATGATGATGATAATGTCAAGGAATGAAAGCCGAAAGATCAATTCCTTCAAGCAACGACGGAATTAAGAGAGTGACAGTCGTGATATTAGTGTAATGGAAAGAATGACGGGGTAGTAACGATTAAGGAGTGTGCCAGCTTGACAATAGTTCAAATGCCGGAGATGATTGTCGGAAGAGTCCACAGAAGAAGTCTTCGGAGACGGAAGCTGAAAGGTATTAATATATTAGCAGAGTCCCGGTCGTAAATGATTAATATTAAAGAGTGTAATGGTGAAGTGATGAGACAATATGAGACAATAAGATCAAAGAGCGTGAATAGAAATGGAGCACGAGGTAGAATGCGGAGGGGGGATGAATGGAGTTGATATCAGTCCATGGTAAAGGGTCTTTTTGCTCCTTCGGAGAATACTAACCCAGTGAAGAGCCTTCGGGTAGAGGGCACAATGCAACCCTTACCGTGACAGCAAGACTGGCATCTAGGCAGGAATGATCCGTTGAATTAGGATTCTGTTGGATACCAACGAAGAGATGAAGGACGAGTCAACGTCTTCACCCCTAGGCTAGTGTTCTGCGGAATGTGGAATATAGGCACAGGACAACCCTATGAAGGGGTCAAGATCATCAGGGGAGAAGTCTTGGCGAAATAATGTTCTGAACTCACACTTCACGAATTAACGTGTTGAATGAACAAGCTCAATAAAGAGATTGAAGAAGAGATGAATGGGTTGTTGAACAGCTCAAGAGAATATATCCACGTTCGAAAATCAGGATATAAATCGCAAGTCAAATGGAACAGATCCTAGATGTGGACAGAAAAGTCAGTCATTCAATCCTATTGACAACATTCAGCTGAATTGACAGCAATAGCCATTCATGTCCGTCCACGTCCAAACAATATGCTTCATTGAGGTATGTGGTGCCGCGCACTGATCGTCACCCCAACATTCCGACCTGCTCAATAGATGTATTGAATTTCTTATCTTTCCATTTGCTCCATTTACCCCTGGAGTTCAACAACTCCGGGGAGTATAGAAGCAGTTCATTCGGAAAGCTCTGAGCAGCTTAGCGAGACAAAGCCACTTCAAGCCGATGAACATATATGCATTTCATAATTGTATCTGAAATCATATTTCCCCTTCGCGGGAGCATTCGTCGCTCAACGAACTGTCTTTCTCCCATATCCAGAAGCGACATCCTGTGTGAATTGGAAAAATGAACTCCGGTCTGCTGGATGTATGAAATCTGAGGCAGCAATATCGGAATGCCTGGTGGGGCGAGTTTTTTTTCTTCTTCTCTTATTTCTTCCCCTCGTTCCTTGCAGGCTGGTTGGAAAGTGCAGATAGCCCCACGAAATCCGAAAGCGCTCGATGCCACATCTCTCGTGGAGGGAAAAACGAAGTTCAACTCTGGGTTTCCATCGGGGGCTTCCGACCTGGGCACCACAACACCACATGTCGGACACCTGGCAGGACGCGGCGAACAAAAGGGAAATATCTACACTCACACAACGTATAAAACTCAAGATCAATCTGATACAGAAACCGAATTCGTATCAAAAAAGTCAACCGCTGTCGCTCGTCTAACCGGCAGGAGCTGGGACAGGAGGGTCCGAATCGTCGAGGTCCGGGGGATCAGAGGGCACCGAAGGACAGGGACGGGGGTGGGATCGCCGTATGAGTTAACAAACGTCGAATTGTCAAAGATCGAAGGTCGGGGGTTCCAGTGCAGCGGGCTGAAGAATCTCGAACGGATACTCAGCTCGTAGACCAGACTCCGGGGACTCCGCAAATTGGCAAGGGTAGAAAAGGAGGAGGGAGAAGAAGAGGGTATGAAGAGAAGGAGAAGAGGTACAAGGAGGAGGGTTTTTACTTTCTCTCTCCAGGCGGGTGAGGGAAAGAAAAGGAAGTTCAGGAAGCTGAGACAAAAGCCACGGAGATACCAGAAAGCTGCGTATGGTAATCCACGAGACCGAGTGGAGGTGGTAACTTTACCCAATTTACCCAATTTACGTGTACCTGAGTACCAGCTGTATACCAGGGTATCCGGGTCTAGTAAGGGTAATTTACACGGTAATTGGATTCCCCTTCACTGCAAGGAAAAGACAGGAGTTGAAACCTCGACTTCAAACTACACGCCATCAACGGCAGAGACTGGATATAAGAGTTTGTTGAGTTTCACCCCATTTATTAAGGTGCTGCACGTATGTCAAGGAGAGGTCCCTACTAGCACTCTATGCCAATACTTCGTACAGAGTCCCCAATTCGCAACCGTACCTCGCATACCCTTGACATCAAGTAGTCTGATCATTGACGTGAGCACTTAGTTATCTTATATGATAAATCAGACAAAACCAAGGTCTAGAAAATGCGATGTGTCCTAGATACCATAGGACTTTGAAACTCGAATTGCGTTTTCAACCGTACCCGTAAGCCGCGACCCAGTCATTTTGTTCGCACTATATTGCCTAGTAATTTGAAGTTCTACGAAGATCCTAAGAACCATTTCTTTGGCTCACAGCCTGTCCATCACCTGTCCACGGCCAAGAGGAAAAGGTATTCGTTCCAATCCAAATCTTCAAGAAACACGAATTCTACGGAGTACTCTGGGGGAACTACTACAGTACTCCGCACAATTGCAACGAGAGAGTACGAGTAATACTGGAAAGTTCCGCTCCTGATCGACTACTGTACTCCGTATTGGAGGTCAATCCTGAGCCATTGTTGGTTCGTCATTCCAGCACTTGGCTACTAGTGCAATGGCCCGGAATGGTTCTCCATAAAGCCTCCGATACGGTCACGGTCTAGGGTCTCCGGTCTTTGGCCGCTGACTGGCCCAGAAGCCCAGCATTACGCCCGACATTGACTTCATCTCGCGTTTTTCCCAGCCCATTCGCGTCCTCAGCTGAGTGGATGCGCTTGGCTAGGCTCCCGACCCTAAATTGCCCTCCGATAACCCGAGCCTCCTTTGTCTTGCAGGGATCTATCCCATTTTGCGAGCCCATGTGGGGGCCTTTCGGTCGCAAAAGCAGGTTCTAGTCACTTGTTCCTCCACGTTTCTGGGAGATTACTACTACAACTCCGTACTCCCTTGTACTTTGGGCTTTCAGGATCAAATCTAATAGTGTATCACTTTACGGAGTACACCCTCATCGCTTGTGTTCCTTTGCATACGTGCTTGATTTGTCTGCAGCCTCTCGACTGAGATAAAGTTTCTAGACGTCTCGCCTCATCAAGATCGACTGGTTTTCCTGCACGAATGCCCATCTTCACTTTATTGGCAAGGGCATTTTCTTCTGGTGGTTGATCTCACTTAGCCATTGAAGTTGAGTAGTCAATTGTGATTCGGAGCTTTTCGCTGTCTCCCCTTGCGTCGTCCCTTACAAGCACAAATGAAAAGTACTCTGTGCGTGGTAAGGTTCCCCGGGCATTAACTTCAGCCACTGGGTACTCCGTAACCTCTCCGTAGTTACTGCGTAGCGAGATATTGATCATCATGCGACTCGACCGTTTCTCAATGACATGCACAAGGTGCGTCAAAGGTGAATGTATCATACTACAATTGAGATCCTTAGCACTAGATCTGCGACACAGTTCTACATGTACCAGTAGGAACCCGTAGTCTCACTCGAGTGTTTCATGGAATGCGGATCGAACCATTCGATGGCGCCTTCTCTCACGAACCGGGGATGACAGTTGCCGAAGCAATGGTCACCCTATCGCCCACGGAGGATTCCCGCCTCGTGCGAAACTAGCAGGATTAGAAAAGGGGAAGAGGTAAGCGACCATATCAGGGCGGCTTGTACCACGCAAAGCAAGGGACCGTCGAATAAGGAAAGTGAATGATAGACACGGCTAATATGCAGAAGCAGATCACAGACTTCCACAATCGCAGTCCTCGTAGTATGTAGCATCTTTTGGTTGGAAACTCCCAGCATGCCAGGGACTTGACTTTCACCATACCAACCGGTTAAATACTCCGTACTAGAGGATTGACTTAATATTCCGTACACAGAACTAGTAATGTGCAAAATCGCATGTCCTTTTCATTGCTAGCGATGTGTCAGTCGCATACACGTACAGCGACATGACTAGCCTTCATATTTTTGAGGGTCCTTTTTTTCTTTGATGCGTCTGGCACCATGCAATGCGCCGATCCTCTTGACACCCCCTATCGAACCCCTTTTAGGTAATGGCTGCTTATTCTCGAAATCTGGGAACAATTTACATACATCATCCGAAAGTGCATATTACATGCACACTGTTCATATAGTTTATCCATAAATGGCGGGGATGGACGGGGGCTGTACAACTCAGGAGAAACAATCACTTCCATCATAATTGCGTTGCTCAGTTACGACAGATATCATTCAAACGACTAAACTTCCTAAATCCTACAACAATCTGTCAGAAACAACTGTATTTGCAGTGCCGCCTAAATAAGGGGCCCCGGGGACGAATCAAACCATGCAGCAAGTACTCCGTACGTGGTCGATGGGGCACCCTGTTGCAGCCGTGCACAGTCTCAGCAAATGAAGTAACACTTCCTCAGTTGGTCAGAGTACATGCGTCCCGATGGTGTCCGGATGCCTTGGAAACTAATGCTTGGCCGAAGGCTCCGATGTGCCTAGCCGCCGCACTACTCCGTACTGTCGATACTCAAAAGGTGAAGAAGATTGCAGGACGGTGCCGGCACATCTACTCTGCCATGTTTGCCCCTGGCTCCTGTCTTTCCTTTTTGTTTCAACTGCCGACAGAATGATGAATATCCAGGGGCGCAGACTGCTTTCAAGGCGCGCGCATATGCCGGACGCATAATTTGAGTCTGGCCTGGGGTCTGGGACCTTCATTGGCCCTGAGGCTTTTAGCCTTCTGCGGCGGATATGTGTCAAGCCTGCCTATGGTTTCTTTTTTGGGTGAACCTTGAGCGTCTCGTCGAGCGGGATTCCTCCCC